CGTTGTGGTGGTGGTGATGATGGAGGGCTGGTTGATATTCCGCAGTGAAAAGGAGGTGGTCGGAGCTTGGCGCTAGGCCAGGTTTGGTGTGCAGTGCAATCCTTCGTAAGGACCCACTATTATGAGGGCCATCTACGTACCTGGTTGGCTATCCAATTGTCGGTGAGAGCACTGCAGACTGTGATTGGCTGGTCCGTGTCAACAAAAGTGGGACCACATAACACAGTACAAAATGCTTTGAATGCAGTATGAAGGCACTGTGCAATATTACTCTCAAGACATTGCTCTCAAAGTGATCATGGTCGATCACTTGCATAAAAGAGGCAGAGTGAGAAGGAAAAAGGCCGGTTGAAGAGCGTGCATGACAAAGAGAACCGGAGACGACCGTTGTGGCTGATTGCAGACTGCAAGCAGTCTGCAAGCAGTGGCATCTGTTGCTTTTCTTCTTCTTTGTCATCTCCATTTCGTCACCTGGCGAGCCAACTCATTCTGCAAAAGGACAGCAGCAAGTCGCGGTGGAAGAGCGGTCGTTGATCCAAAAAGGAAGAATGAAGGCGGCCCCACAGGCGAGCGACGACACGGACAACGGCCCCGGATTTCCTGGAGATCAATTAATTACGCGTGAGCGCTTTGAAAGACAAGCGCTTACGAAGTATGAGAGACGTGTTGAAACGGGCATCCTACGTCGCAAGATGAAAGGGAAGGCGTCTGTCGCCCAGCCTGGCAAAATGCTGTGATGCTGTAGGAGGGTGAAGGGTACGCAAGAGTGGCGAAGACTGCGCTGCAGGGGAGGCGGAAAGGGAAAAGAATAAAATGAAAGGAAACCAAAAAAGGAGAAATGCCGCGGGCCGTCCACGGGTTTGAAAACGATGGAAGGATTGGGGGCTAGCGCTGTGCTCGTATGCACGCACAATGCACGCAGGCTCGCAGGTTCGGGCGCAAACAGGACGAAGACGACGGAGGACGGATGCACTCTCTGCGCTGCAGGCTGTGGGCTGTGTGTCTGATCCGCCAGAGGACGCGTCCGATGACGAACGGGGCGCGCACGACTCAAGACACGATGATACGACGACACGACAACAGCGGCGTACTCGTTTACGGCATATTGCATGATGCATGATGCATATGCAGCTGCGTCGCATTGCAGAAACGGATAACAGCAGTGTGGTAAGGGAGCGGAGGAAACGAAGGAAACGAATGGAAGACGAGAAGAAGCACAGAGGGCGGAAGACGACTGCAAGGGAGGTCCGTCGGCTTGCATGCGGCTGGCTGGGCAACCACCTGAGACTCGGCAACATGTTTGTCACAAAAGTCAACAGTCAACATCATGACCTTTCCGTTACGTGCGCGCATGGTGCATACAAAAGTCCTGCACGAGGTGGCACAATCGTGCGCGTCTTGGACGAATCAACCACCTTGCCAGGCTGACCCGGCAAATACGACGGCGAGTATCCAAAGGAGGAACATATGTTTTCAATATGGAGAAGGAAGCAGGTTGACGAGGCAGTGCGATGGGCGTACTCGCAGGCACATCACACTGGTCAACGCTCTGACTGACCTGCCTGTCTTGCATCGATCGGGTAGTGCCAAAGTATCTCATTGGTGCGCATCGTGGAGAAGGTGTTTGGCAAATTGGCGGTGAAGAAGAGACACGCTACACAGGCGGAGTGCAGGTCTGTCTGTGGGAGGGACGCCGGGCTGCTCAGGTGCTGAACTGTTGCCATCCGCAAAAGAAAGCACAGAGACATGCATGGAGTCGCCGGGTTTGAGCTGTCACTGTCCTTTGATTGTTTTGTTGCTGCAGGGAGGCAGGAAAGGGAGACACAAACACAGACAAAAGAGAGAGACAGAACCACAGGCAGACGTTGGCTGTGTTGGACATCCACCGATGATATACCGACGGACGTTCCAGGCGATCCGGACGACGAGGATTGTGTTCACTCACGGTCCACTCGCTTCGCCTTGCAGTCTTCGCATTGTTGCAGCGGCAAACTCTGACATTGCACTTCCAACCGAGGCAGTGAAATCCACGAAGCACTTGTCAGCCCCATGGTCTCGATGCAAACGGAGACGCGTAAAGGACGAGACTGGGATGTCCATCACCACGACGAAGCCATCAGTGATGAGCATCTCTCCACTGCTAGCCCCTTTTAGGAAATTGTTGTCGTCACGTCCAGTCCTTTGCTTTTTCGAAGCTGCTGACTGATGGACGGCACGATCAACAGGTTCTCCAGTCTCATCGAGGATATGATGCTCTCATGAACGAGAAGAGGCGCGCAGAGGTCACTCGGTATCTACGCTCTTCCTGTTACGGGCATGGCGAACTGAGGAGACAAGGAGACACTTGCCTCATCTGGCTGTGCGTCTTGCCATTCCTTGACTTATTGAAATGCTACCATAAGCACCATATGCACGCTCTTTGCACCAGCACTATGCATTCTGTAGCCAAGGCCTGAAGGACAAGAACTAGTACGTCACTCTACCGTGGGGTACCTTGAGCTAGTCGGAGTCGTGCAGTTGCGGCCAATAATCACGGACTGGCCGGCATCGTGGTTCGAAAGCTGGAAACCCAAAGCCAGACCAACAGCGAGTCGACTAATGCAACTTACGTCGGTAGTCCGTAGCGGTGCCATGCTCAATGCTCTCCATGCAAAAACTTGAAACCCTCAAGCAGCTAACCATTCGCAGTGTGACATCGCGGGGTCCCGAACAGGACGCGAGCCCGGGTCTGATTGTTGAGTTTTGAGATTATGGACTTGGGCTGGACTGGGCGCTGGCGTCGCGGGGCCTCGGAATTGGGACCTTGGGACTTTGATCTTGCCCTTTGTCGAAAGCGACTCTGTACAACAACAGCCGAACATACTTCGGTGGAGCGCTAGAAGAAAACGAGGCCGAAGAAGGAAAGGAGATGCAGTGTCAGAGGCATCGTCCGTCACGCGTCTTGACCGCCAACGCTCTCTTGCAACGGCGCGGAAAACCGTCAACCTCTGGTCCTACGCATCCCTTGCGCATCCCTTGCGTCTTACGTCCCGGTGTTCTGGGCGTACGTTTTGCTGTTTTCTTTCTTTCTTTCTTTTTTTCCCTCTTTTTTTTCATGCCCGCCGAGAAAAGCGCGAGAATCAGGATGAGCGGGCCAGTTGGAATTAGTTTGTACGCAAGGGGTAGGAGAAAAAGACGTCCACGAGTGGGATGAATGGACAAACGAGAAGAAAGGACGTGACTTTGATCAGCAGACAGTGCAACGATAAACAACGGGAAGCTCACGATCGTGGCACTGTTTGCTGCCGATGGTGCTGTCGTTGTCTCTTGGAACAGTGGGCCATCATCCTTTCTGCTCTCGACTCGAGGCATGGCCGCCAACGGCGAGCAGACATCAATCAAGCAACGGGCATAGACGAGTGTCTACGCAAGAGCCATACCTCGGGAGGAACATTGGATCATACGATGCAGCGTTTTCGGCTTTCTCGACAGAGACGGATGCCGTTGCCGTCCTGTTGCTGAACCAAGACGATGACAGCAAGGCAGAGACTGATCGTGACATGTGCCTGACCGACGTCAACAACAAAGCAAAGACATGGTGACGATGCAAGGGATTGAGTGCTATGTACTACTCTATACGTCTCTGGTCTTCATGAGAGATTTGTACACCGTCGTCAGCTGTCGGTCCTTGTTTGTGCTTCTTGTCTTCTGTGCTAGGAGATGACGGCTTAACGGTCTCGACGGAACCTTTTTGCATCCCTTTCGAATGTCTCTACGTCCTCTCTCACTTTGAAGGAAATCGACGTGCCGTCAAGAAGCAGCACAGAGGAAACAGACGGCGTCATGCACGTCACACATGGTAGGCAAGGGAGACTTGTCTGACAGTTGGCCGAGACATACGAGTGGAAGATGCAGAAATCCAGACACGGCAGATGCAAAATACAATGGTCTTCCAAACAGGGGCGGAGAAACGCCGTATGGCCCAGGCTGGCTTCGGTGGGCTTGTTGAAAGGTGAACACAGCTGTCCGTCCCTTCCTTTGACGTATTGATTTCACCGTCGCTGATCTAGTCTCGGCCAAACGACGTGAGACAGCAAAGGGACAGAGAGAGAGAGACAGGAGGCGGTGAGAAGGAGAGGTCTCGGAGAGAACGTCAGAGAATGCCATGGTAGAATTGTTGGAGGAATGCCATGCATCGTCTTGCGGAGTACGCGGATACGCCATCGGAAGAAACACTTTCTCTTGATGATGCCAGTGAGATGCCACTCAAAAAATCAACCCATGAAGGAAAGAAAAGGTTGTCAACCATACTGTTGTTGCAGTGTCTGTAGATGTTTGCGAACGTCACGTGTGAAGTGGTGATAGCCTCACCATGGTACAAGGCTCGGGTCAGTGGTTGTTGATGCTGTCTTGATCTTTATCGTAGCCATATCACCTTGCTGCTATGAGACACAAAGCTCCAGAGTGTCTAGTTTTTGAGAATGTGTGACGTTGGACGAGTTTCAAGACCCTTCTGCTACTATGACCACAGTACTGAAGCTGCAAACATTGCATTGTTGATGCAATCGAGCATACGACATGAATCAACCGCCAAGAAGCTCGACCGTTCTCACTTTGCCGCGTCGTTTTCATTCGTTCTCCAGCAGTCTGTAGATATGTATTGGCAGCCCGAGCGCATTTCTTAAGGAAGATTGGAGCCAGAAAATATGCCCGGCAACGATATGTCAGGACCAGCGCCTGCGAAGAAGGTAGCGACGTAGCAATTTTGGTAAACGCCAATATCTTGGAAGGCAGACAGTCAAGAACGACCGAGGCATACTCGCATATGACATTAAACATTATTGATTGTAGTCTAAGTATATCATACCAGAAACCGCAGACGCCCAGAGTTGAACCGTGGCGAAATTGAAGAAAGCAACGCAAATACGACGTAGAAGGAAGAAACCGAGTCAGCTGGGTCCTTGAACGGATCTCGACGCATGAGATGGCCAGCCCGGGCCATCGCCAAGGCACGCATGGCATCACGGCTTCGCCGCGGCCGCCGGTGCTTGTGTCTTAGGCTGCATCTTGCGGATCACGACCGCCTTGCCGTCCAGCTCCCACCCGACGTTGTACTGCTTCTGCAGCTCGGCCCAGCCGAGACCCGCCGACGCCTCCAGGAACCCAACATCCTCGAGCCGCAGGTACGCACGCCCAAAGCACTTGAGCGTGTGCACGCGCACGTCGTGCACGGCGTACTCGAGCAGCTTGACCAGGTGCCCGTCGGCACACCCACCGCGGGCGCCGCCCGACGCGCCGTCGCCCACCAGCCGCCGCAGCGCCACCCAGTCGTCGCGGGCGAGGGCGCGCAGGGCGGTGTCGACGGTCGCGCTGCGCAGCTTGTAGAGGCAGCGCAGGTGGTAGGCCTCGGCGAGGTCGCCGCGGCGGCAGGCGGCGTCGAGGACGCGGTAGGCGGCGACCTCGTGCAGCTCGACGGTGCTGAGGGGGCGGCGGCGGTGGATGCTGCGGAGGAGGTGGAGGATGGCCGGGTGGTAGGACTGCGGGTGCTTGGCGAGGATGGCGAGGCGGATGCAGAACAGGTACACTTGCGTGGAAAAGTCGTCGACGCGGCCGGTGGCCACAATGGCTTCGCGGAGCTTGCGCAGAGCGGCCAGCACCAGCGTCAGGTCGCGGGTGGCGGCTGCGAGGGCGGCTGTCGTCGCGGCAGTGGGTACAACAGCGAGGGGATCGGACGGCACCATTGGCGACGTTGGCGACGGACCAGTGGTCTTGCCGCTCAGCTCCAGCGACGCGAAGCGTGCCAGCAGCCCGTCCCGGTCGTTGGCATCGTTGCAGAACTGGAGGTAGCGCTGAACGATTGTGCCGTAATACCGCTCCTGGAGCTTGAAATCAGAGAGTCTGCAAAGGGGTCAGCACAGTTTTCTTTGCTTCTGAGAGCCGCAGCCACAGCACAGACCTTGTTTCGCCCTTGGAGGGCAGGCCGTAGACCTCGAGAGGGTCGACATTGACCGGCCGCAGTCGGCCCCACCCGCCACTTGCTGGTCCGCGGAGGGGTGGTGGCATGGTGAAACTACGATGCCATTCTAGACGGGAGGAAGAGCTGTGAGAGTGCAACAAGTCGCAGGGATCCAATCGTCGCAGCTAATCGTGGCCTGGCGGTGACCAAAAACTGAATTTCTAAGGGGACGGGGCTTGTTTTGTTAGTTTCGTCGTCGTCGTGATCGGCTTGTGATGTGTGTTGGCCCACGCGGGAAGGTGCAAAACGACGCTAACCGCCGAAGATGCACCGCCACAGCAGCACATCAACTGTGGCGTTGGTGAGCAACTGCAGTGGAAGCAAGACTTGCACGTCTTGGCTGTTTGGAATATGAATGTATTACATTCAGTAGAAGAATGAAGACTAATCTGGGTATCACAATTGTGCCGTAGAGATGATTTGAGATAAAGCAAACCTCGCAAGTCACCCCACGCCATCACAGAAAAATACACAATCCCAGTAACTCCTTACCCGGCCTGATATCCCATAGGAACCCAACGCAATGCCATGCTATCTTGGCCTGACTCTCTTCGTTCCTCAGCGGAACAGCGGACCAGGTTTCTTCGTGTCTGCCCACGGGCCGAGAGCCTTGGTCGGCGACTGCGGGTCGTACGGCGGCCCAAACGCGGCCTCGAGGCGTCGGAACGTCTCCATCTTGACCTTGCGCAGCCACTCGCCCGTGATGCGCTCCATGTAGACGGTGTGCAGCTGGGGCAGGTATCGAATGCCGTTGGCGCAGAACGCGGCTGTGTCGTCGTCGAGCGGCCGCAGGCGAAACGCCGTCAACGACAGGCGGCTCGCCATGACGCGCCGCAGCCGAGCAATGTGCTCGCCTTCTGCGGCCGACACGGACAGATCCCGACGGATGGCCGTGTCGAGGTCCTGGACATAGGTTTGCGAGCGACCACGCACGCCGCCACGGCCTCTGCCAGTGCCTCTGCCGTTGCCGCTGCGACTGTGGCGCTCCGGGCCCTCACAGGGCGGCCGGCTCCGGCGACTTGCGTTCTCGAGCAGCTGCAGGTCCACCACGCCCTGGATGCGTACGCCGTGATGGCCCCAGAGAGCGTCGGCGGCGTCGCGGACGTCCCAAAAGACCTTGCGGAGGCCCGGGTTCTCGAGGACCGACTGCAGCGTGAGGCCAAAGACGGAGCGTGCCGTGAACGCTTCGTGGCCGAGCGACTGGATGTCGATGACGTAGATTTCGGGGTGCGGATACGCGCGAACTGTCATGAGCGTCAGGTCGCCCAGGCGGCTGAGGCGGTGGCCATGAAGCTCAATGTAGAGGCGGGCAGAGGAGCAGACCGTAGCGAGAAAGGAGCGTAGAGATCCGAGACTCGTGATGAGTTCCGGCTTGGGGGGCGGCGCAAAGGTACCGCGCGTACCAGATTGTTCCCGTGCCATCTTTGGGGTCTAAATGCGCAGGCATCACACACTTGTGTCTAGGCCCAAGTACACAGCTTTGGTTTGTGATTGTGAGAAAGCCGGTTGGGGTGATGTTGGGGAAAGAAAAAGTGCGTTATGGGAGAGCCGCGTTGGAAACACAGAAGGGTCTTTCTGGGTGGACACATCGCAACGGAACCAGCTGGCGTTCACTTGAAAGCTAGATGAGTTGCAGGTGACATGTTTGTCATGAGACGCTCAGAAAGCTATCTTCAAGAGCTTCGTCATGAGAGGCAAACCAATGATGCGATGATCTCAAATTGTAAGGCCTCAAACGCAACAGATTGCCCTGTTGGGTTTGGCTAGGATTGGTGACGGCGGCGTGGTCGTGAGAGTTATACGAGAAACACAACTTACAAGACTGTCTATAGAGGCTGTTGTCGATAGCGTAAGACGAAGTTGCTGGCATTGTAATGAAGTCGGCTGTACAGCTGTGCAGCATATTGTTCAGGATGTCGAGGCCTGGGCCTGGGCCTGCGGCAAGGCTGCCCGCTTGCTCTATTGAGCCCACAGCTCGACCAACTGGGCCTTGGGGAAAGTGGAGCACGGCCCTGTGAGTATGGGGCAGGTGAACTACTGCGGGGGCTCGTTCTAATTGCCTAAGGAGCGTATCGTACCTCGGCAGAATGCAGTAGCGGAATGCGCATCGGTGTTGCGTGTTGCGCTGACCAGGTCGTATTGTGTATTGGCCCGTAATAACGTCCGCCCGTCACAGATGTCGTGCTGAAAGCAGCCAATGGCGGAGACGCGGCATTACTTCGTCGACGGCACAGACACGGAATTGCGACACGAAAAGGAACGAGCGTTTGGACTGCCTCGGTCTTGGAAATTCTGAAAGCGAACGCCGAGACGGAGCTATCCTTGAAAGTTACAGCCCTCTCTGTTTCCCATCGCTTCTTCTTTATTAGGCCTCCTTCCTGTGTTTCCTTCCTTTTCCTCCTCTTTTCCGCTTTTCCTTCTCTTGCTCTCGCATCTCAAAAGCTCAAGCAAACCGCACAACCGCCCACCCGCCTCCACGTTTCCGCTCCCACACACATCTCACACAATGGCCGACCGTCTGTCCCAGATCGCAGGCCACCTGCAGAGCGGCAAGCTCCTCCAGAACCAGGTCGCCATCATCACCGGCTCCGCCCAGGGCATCGGTGCCGAGGCCGCGCGCCTCTTCGCCGCGGAGGGCGCCAAGGTCGTCATCTCCGACATTGACGCCGCCAAGTCCCAGGCCACCGCCGACGCCATCAATGCGGCCGGCGGCAAGGCCCTTGCCGTGCCCGGCGACCTGCTGAAGCAGGCGTACATTGACGAGCTCGTCAAGAAGGCCGCCGAGTTTGGCAACGGCAAGATCCACATCCTGGTCAACAACGCCGGCTACACCTGGGACGGCGTCATCCACAAGATGAGCGACAAGCAGTGGGACACCATCCTGGACCTGCACACCAAGGCGCCCTTCCGCCTGATCCGCGCCGCCGCCCCCTACTTCCGCGTCACCGACGGCGAGCGCCGCAACATTATCAACATCTCCTCGACCTCGGGCATCAACGGCAACGCCGGCCAGGCCAACTACTCCCTGGCCAAGGCCGGCGTCACCGGCCTCAGCAAGACCCTGGCCAAGGAGTGGGGCCCCAAGTTCGGCGTCCGCGTCAACACCGTCGCCTTTGGCCACATCCTGACCCGCCTGACCCAGGCCAAGGAGAAGGGTGCCTTCGTGGTCGGCCCCGACGGCGAGAAGATCGCCCTGGGCATCCCGACCGCACCCGCTGCCGTCCAGGAGGCTGCCAACGCCGACATTCCCCTGCGCCGGCCAGGCAGCGCCACCGAGGCCGCCAGCGCCGTCCTGGCCGTGGCCAGCCCGCTGTTCGACTACGTTACTGGCCAGACCATCATGGTTACTGGTGGCCGCAACTGCTAAGGGAGCCAAGATAGGTAGCAAACGTGGTATGCCCGAATGAGGCGTGAGTCTTGTATAAAAGCGTTTCATTTGAGACGGATTTCTTGTAAATAAGTAAACCTTTTTTGGATAATCCTATTTGTTCCGCCTTTTCTACCAATACTGCCGCTAAGAAATCAGTGCATACGCGAGAGACACATACAAAATAGGAGTCACTCATCCCAAAGCATCTGAGGTTGTTCCTAAACAGTGCCGTCCAGCTGTCGGATCACCACCAGGCCCGACGCGAGGCCAATGGCGAAATAGGTGCCAAATGCGAAATCCGGGTTCCAAGCAAGGGCCGTGACGGAAGCCAGCTTCTCGTGGATAACCGGCCCCAGTGCCTCCTGTCCAGGTAGCGCGGACGGCCCTAGGCCGGACAAATCGTCTGGGTCCGCCGCGTCGTCCTCAAGAATGTCGGCTTTCGACTCGGTTTCCTGCTTGAACATGAACCGGAACAGCGTGCCACCGCGGAGAGAACTGGCCTCGGTGTCTTGCCGGGTCGGTCTTTTGAAGTCGCTCGCAAAAATCAACGTGGAGGAGGGCACATGCGATTCCCAGTGGGTAGGGAACACTGTGTCAAGAATGTTGCACGCCCACACCTTTCCGTCGGCCGCGCCGACGAGGGCAAACGGGTGCGTCTTGCCAACGGCCAGGCATGTCGGCGGCGATTCCCGCCGAGACGGAAAAAACTTGCGAGGGCACGGGAAGTGCCGGTGGTGCAGGAAGTCAAGCTTAAAACTCACGGGGCTGTTGGCTGGCGCAGACGTAGCAAAGCCCTGCATAAGCTCTACCCAGTCCAGCATGTTGCCTTGGATGCCGGCTACTGGGCTCGGGTGGAAGGTGTGTTCGCTGCTGGGGCGGGTGAGATCGAGAAGGCGAAGGACGCCCTCCACCGGGCGTACAGATACCAGGTACGGTTTGGATGGATAACCGGAGCGGATGTCTTGTATAGCGGACATGTGTGTTGGGAAGCGGAGAAGCACCAGCTGTGGGAACACAGACCAGAGTGCGATCGTGCCGTCGGTGTAGCCAACCACTATCCGGTTGATACCTACCCACGACATGCAAGTGGCATGGACGCCTTCCTCGCCAGGAAACTCTAGAGACGCCAACGCGTGGATAATTTTACCTAGACGCGATTTGTTAGCAGACATGGCATAACAGAGTGGGTTGCTGCAACGAAACAGGCCATGTCTTACCGTATCGAGTCTGCTCTTTCATGCCCTGTTGGGCTTTGATGATGCGTACTATGCCGTCCTCGGTGAGCACAGCAAGTAAGCCAGGCCACGAGTCGCCCATGAGCGGCTGGACAGGGCACCACTCCAACCGCTTTGGCCACCCCCAGTAGAAGCAGCTCACCCAATCTAGCCGGGCTCCGTCGCCAAAGACACGTGGTTCGCCGGCCTTGCCACCTCGCAGCGCGACTCTCCAAAACTGAATGCTCGCCGGCGACTCGGAAAACCTGGCCCTCTCTTCTTTTGTTGTGGCGCCTGAGAGACCGTCGACAGTGTTATTGTCTTCGTCGTGCTTGTGCGGGACAACGGCAACGGCGAGTAAGGAGCCTTCCATCCGGCCAGCCTTCGGCATGGGTGCCCAGGCCAGGGAGAGGACCTTGCCTCCCGGATTAAAGTAGAATACTGGACTCGGTGGCTTGTCCACAGGAATTTGGCCCTCGCGGTCGGTCTCTGTGGGTGCGTTAGGACCGGTGGACCGTGCCCCGGCGTCTGCGTCTGCGGTGGTTCTATACGTCGACGATTCGCCTGCCCGCAGACAGACTATGCTGTTCGAACTGTCATCGAAAATGTCCAAGTCCGACTCCGTAGAGACATTCCACGGGAGGAACGGTGCGGCCTCCTTTTCCCCGATTTCGTCCACCTCGCCGAACGGCGCCCTGCCCTGGGCACGCATGGCTGCGGCATACTTGCTCCACCATGAGCCGTATGCGGTCTGCTGGTCGGATTCCAAATTGTTCGGCAGCCAAGGGCTGACAAGCACCACGCCCCGGGTGTCTCCCGGCTCCACGTCGTCCTGACGGAGGGGTTTGGGGTACATGCAGCGCTGCCAGCGGATTTGGAGGTCCCAGAACAGTCTGATATTATCGGCCCGGGGGCCGTACACGGTATTGACAAGAGCCTGCCGGCGGTCCCATTTGCGAAGAGGGCCAGCGTACAATCGCATGGTGCGGTTTTCATGTGTGTAGGCCGGGATCTTGTACGCGGACCGTGGCGGTGGGCTCACAACGGGCGGCCGCTCGTCGCCCCGAGCAGAGAAAGGGCTGCCCTCGGCGTCGTCTCTGTCTTGTCCGTCTTCCCCATCTGCCCCATCTTCCCCATCTTCCCCATCTTCCCTGTCGTCTCCGTCATGCTCAGCATCTTGGCTCGCGATGGGTGCAGGTGTGCTCTCATCGTCAGGTTCATCTGCTTTGCGATGCTTTTTCTGCACACTGTCAAATAAAGTGGCAGACCTATTTCTCTTGCGCATTGTGCTGTGGATGAGGAGCAATGTACTCGCTAACGTTGCATGTGGTATTGATATGGCGATTAACGGTTTGCGGGGAGTGTAAAATGCGAGTGGTTAAGTTAACATGGCGCAAGGCTGGGGGTGAGGCTAGGTTTGTTGCTGTTGTTCTTTCACTGGCGTGTTTTTGTGATTGGATGGAAATTTGGCTGGGTGGTTGTTTATGTGGGCAACGTGGGCAGGTGCGATCGATGTTGTATTTTACTTCTTGCCGTTCTTGCCGCACATTCCCGATCGTAGCTTCCGTTGACACCATCTTCATTTAATTCATGCTCACCTCACTTGAAAATACATCTACGTCGATTCATGCTATACATAATGGCCTGGGCAATTGAGTGAGAAATGGCTTTGTCGAAGCAGCTTCACTTGCTGAATACCAAGTGGAACCTGCTCAACCTTTTTTGCATCTCAAAGGCATCCAATCTTATTCTTCTCTTTCAATTACAAAAAAAAAAAAAAAAACAAGTACAGAAGAAGTATGACTTGCTATCTGGAGATGGCATGTCATCATGGAGCTGGCTTCGTCGACTTTTTGGATAAGGGAACTGCCGAGGCAACCAATCGCTGCGGCCAGCCTTGGGGCGCAAGACCCGAGTGGCTGCAGGCTGCAGATATTGTCCCACATGCCATTCTACCCAGGCCTTCAATGCCAAGAATGCGAGTGCCTTGCCTTTCTTTGTTGCTCTCTATCGCCTTGTTGCTGGGACGAGTCGAACTTATCGGGCGCAACAATAACATTGTCAAATCACTCCATATTGAGCAACACGTCCTTCTACGACATGAAGTGTGCGTAGGCAAAATGGCTCAAGAGTGGCCAATCTTGTCTCCAAAAAGTAGTATACAGTAAATAGTAACAAATTGTTGAGATTCAAGGACCACGGGGTCCCGAGACCCTATTTGCCCTTAGTCTCCCTCTTCAAGAACTCTTCTGTCACGCCCTCATTCTCTCACCACGCCAGCGTCTGCCTTCCTTACAGCAGGGCCAGAGCAGCGACGACGCCGCCGAGCAGGCCAGCACCGACACCAGCCGACTCGCGGGGCGCGTAGTTGGTCGACTTGGACGAGGTCGTGCCAGCGGCGGCCGTCGTCGCCGGCGAGGTGGTGGCGCCCGTGGCGGTGGTGCTGGTGGATTCGGTCTTGGAAGCAGCGGCGCCGCTGGTCTCGGTGGGGGTGCCGGAGCCCGTGGTGGTGGTGGCCGTGGCGACGGTGCCGCTGCCGCTGCCGCCGGCGGTAGATGTGCAGGTGACGGCCGAGGGAACGGTGACGCCCTGGGCGGCGCACAGCTGCGAGGCGAAGACGACGGCAGAGCTCTGGTCGGCGGCGTCACAGCCACCGGGGGCCGCCAGACAGCAGGCAATGTCCGAGAGGAAACTCTTGTCGGAGCAGATACACTTGGCGTCGGAGCCACAGTTGCCAATGCCGCCGGTCAGGAACTTGTTGGCGCACGATTGCTAGAGGAGAGTCAGTCAGCGAGTTTCGGGGTTTGCGTGTTCCATACGTTTTGTACGACAGTCGGGCCAGTCCACAAGAACACCGGCGGCTGTGTGTCTCCATCTTCCTAACCCAACCTTTATTCGGGTAAACGTACAGCGCAGGTAGGCAGCTGGGCGAACTGGGCGGCGGCCAGACCGGCCAGGGCGAGGATCGTAAAGGACTTCATTGTGAGTTTGGCTGTGAAGGGCGCGCGAGCGAGAAACGGTTCAATGGCAATTGGGTGCGTTCGAGGTGACGGTAACAGAGACGACGATAAGCGCAAAGTCAACCAACACAAAACATCAGAAACACAGTCAGAAGCGAGAAGAGATATCCTACGAAGGAGGGCGACGGGAAAAGATGCGCGTTTATTAGACAATTTTACAAGCTGCTGCAAAGGGGGTCAGCAACGCAAAGAGCAGCAAGCGCATGGCAGACAAACAAACAGGCACAGAGGCTCACAGCTGTGGCAGACGGCAGGGGCTGGGAAATTCGGCTTACAAGGGGTGAAATTAGGACCACTCCTACCAGTCAAAAAAGGCACACGGTTAACGGCCAAGCGCGAATAGGGGGATCCATAATATTAGAGCCAAGGCGCTGTCGCGACGCGCCTTCCAGGGCAGTTGCTCTGGTTTCCACTGTAAAAGCTCTCCTTCAGTACGAAGTATGTGTAAGATACGAATATTCGGAGTTAAAACCCCATACGGGATTGTCATAGTGCGCCAGCCGTTGGCACTGCTGCCATTTGGTGTCTTCTCCTTGCGCCGCCACCAGGCCATTCCCCAGTGATTGGCGGTGGATCCTCTTGCCATCAAGCCAGGATGCTGTGGGCCGGGGTGAGGAGATGGGCAGAAAAAGAGGGGAAAGTGCGACCCGGGAACGGTTACGGAGTATTGCTGTGTAAAGCGCGTGCCACAAAAGAGGAAAGAAGGTCATTGTGACCAGAAAAGGCCCGGCTCCTGGGTGCCCAGCACGACTCGCGCCAGCATTTTCCTGCTAGTTTGGGATGAACGACGATGCCTTCCTACTTGAGAAAAATCGGTCGCTTTCCCCGTACTTTCGTCCCGTCCATCCCTCTTTCCCTGCTCTTACCAGCAACTCGAGCACCCCTCTTTTCCTCGCTCTTGCTTTTTGGTTCTTTTCTGCCACGACTCTTGCCGGTGGAGATTGGAGTTCGTTGGCGGAGGAATCGACATGCTTTGCATACACATCAAAATGTGTCTGATCTGGTAATATCTCACCTCACAGAGAGACACCTCTCAGCACACGTCACCCGCGCCCACTTTTGCTCCTTCGCCCTGGGCCAATGGAAAGGTGCCCGAAGTGGAACGATTCGGCCGCAGTATCGGGTTTGCATATTCGGGTCCCAGTCCCAGCGTTCGGTGGATATTTGCACCATCTTCTTAACGTGATGGTGGCTGCCGCCTGAAACGAGTCTGGTTTGCGGCTGTAGAGAATCGAATCCTTGTGTCGCCTCCGGTCATGCCAAGTATAGCGGTCAATCACGCTGTAAAGCGTTAAGAGACGGCCTTCTAACAATCGCTGATAGAGACGATCGAATACCAGGTTGTCCGTTCTTATGTTGGATCCCTTATGACCACCAGTAATTGGAGGCAGCCCTACACAAAGACTGCCGCCGTATGACACCCGGGTATACACCATATTAGTGTGCAAAAGGACAGCGTAATACAACATACAGCCTTCGTATTCGCATACCATAACAAGAATACGAAGTACCCACGGTGAAAATGAAAGTCGTGATAACTACATACGATGCTGAGAACAATGCGCAGCAAGACGCTGTCTCGATTTGGAAGCGACCGGCAAACGCTTGTCACACTGAGTCGCCTCGACGGCGCGCCACTCTTAATTTAATATTTGCAGGTCGTCGCGTCTTTGCGTTCGGTCGATTCAGTGAGAATCTGGAGTCGTTCAAAAGGCTCCGAACCTATCTGACCTAATCTGTAAGCAACTTGTATCCAACCTGTGCTGTGTGCTCCTTCCATTTACTGACAAAGGTGTAAATATCGCTCGGGCAGTTCGCACTTTCCCAAATGGCCACACCGGAGCCTTAGACTTTCCGTTCTGGTTCCCAATCGCTCGAACCTAGGTGATTATCGGCAGGTGCACACACCACTTTCCATCGTAGTTGACTTTTTGCTGGTTTAGTTTGCCGCCATCGTCGACGGTCTTTCCTGTATCACTCTTCTCCTTCTTGTCCTCTTCCCCTTTCAACATCTTCCTCCTATCAACTGCACGATTTTTATCATCATCTTTACGCCCGGCTTATACCGTCCAACCAACAACCACAACTCGTAGAGAACGTCCATCCGTCGCGCAAACAGGCTCGTGACCATTGGCCCCCACAAACCCTTTTCGCAACTACGGGCCTAGCGTTCCACAATTTCCTTCAGGACAGTGGCCCAAGTCGACTCCGTCCTAACGGAGTATTCCGACTTTTTGCTGATCAGTGGCTGTATCCCACCGTCCCACCTCCCTTTGCCCACTGGATCAGTTCTGACGTCCAGACATGCCATCCCTTTCCCACCTACGAAGTACACCTTGTGTGAACCCATCTGAGACCCCAAAAGGTGGCCCCTGGTCGGATTGGCCCAGAGCTAGCACGTCTTACAGGCGCTCCCAGACTCGGCGGCAGAGGCTCTCTGTTTATTATCACTAGCATTCCGGGTCTTGGCTGTTTTTCATTTCGGGTTTCTCTCTTCTCACTCATCCCGCCCCGGCCATCGCATTTTCTTTGCATCGCGGCTCAGTCGCCGGCTTCTTCTTGATTTCGACTCCGGACCACCGTCCGATAGCCAACGTCGTTTTCGCCTTTACTCGGCCTGGACTTTCCCAGACCCAGACCGTCGCACAGGTCGAGTCGGCTTGGACTGGACCTGACTGTACACCATTCATCTTCGCACAATCTACCCCCCCTCTGTTCACCATGGGGTTAGGTATTCTCGAAGACTCGGTCATGGAACATGTTCCTGGTACGTTGTCTTATCCGTGACGAACGCCGCGAGACAACCTTGCCAGCTCTGCACGGTGTTTTCGTTTTATCCTTTCGTTTTGCCCGTTTCTTGTTGCCATTTTGTTATGGCGCACATGTACCCCTGTACCCAACCGCAGTGTCGCTAATGCTCGTGCTGCACCACCGTAGGCACGACCCGGTACTTTGACGATCCCCTCCGACCACAGATTGCACACGATGGCCTCGCCGGCCTCAAGTGCGACAACAGCGGCCCCGAGCCCATCATCCTCGTCCCGCAGCCGTCTGACGACCCAAACGACCCTCTCAACTGGCCACTCTGGAAGCGCGACCTCATCACGGCGACTCTCTCCATCACCGCCATCTTCGCCACCGCCCTTGGCCCCATCCTCGCTGCAAACACCATTACGCTGTCTCTCTGGTTTACGCGTGACTTCACCAAGGTCGCCTTGCTGACCGGCTACTACCTGCTTGGCGTGGGCTTCGCCGGCACCTTTTTCGTGCCCTCCAGTCGCATCTGGGGCAAGCGCCACGCCTTTGTCATTGGCACATGCATTCTCATCGGCAGCAGCGCCTGGGGCGGCGCCGTCAACACCAACTACACGAGCATGCTGTGGGCGCGCATCGTCCAGGGCGTCGGCACGGCGCCGTTTGAGGCCCTCCTCAACGCCGCCATCGGCGACCTGTACTTTGTCCACCAGCGCGGCAAGCGCATGGCCTTTACCAATCTGGCCGTGTTTGGCGGCTCGTTCTTCACCCCGATTCTCGTCGGCAAGATTACGCACACGATCAAGTGGTGGTGGACATTCAACCTGATTGCCATCTTCTGCGCCATGTGCCTGCCCCTGATCATCTTCCTTTGCCCCGAGACTGCGTACCGACGCGACGACACACTGAATCTGGACCTGCTCGCCACGGACGAGAACGCCGCCATCCGCCAGGGCGCGCAACCCATTGGCAAACGGGACTCGTCGGGCAACGACGAGGAGAAGACGACCGGCGCTGCTGAACCGGCGACTGCAACAGCACCCGACGGCGCAGCCAGTGCCGCCGCCGCCTCCGCTGCTGCTACTGCTACTGATCCCAGCGCTACCGCGCCGGCCGATGTTGAGCGTAGCGCGCATGCGCAAAACGTCCCCGAGAAGGTGTCGTACGTCAAGAGCCTTGCGCTGTTCAACGGGCGCAAAACGGACGAAAACTTCTTCAAGCTGTTCCTTCGCCCGTTCCCTCTGTTCCTGCAGCCGGCGTTCCTCTGGGCGAGCCTGACGCAGGGCACGCTGATCGGCTGGACGGTGTTTATCGGCGTGGTCATGGCCGAGTTTTTCTTGGGCTACCCGCTGTGGTGGGACGAGGTGAAGACGGGCTACGCCTACACAGGTGCTTTCGTTGGCGCCATTTGTGGTTTCCTGATTGCCGGCCTGCTGGCGGACTGGAGCGCCAAGAAGCTGACGCGCATGAACAACGGCATCTACGAGCCCGAGTTTCGCCTGGTGCTCGTCATCCCGCAGCTTGTGTTTGGTGTCATGGGCCTGTACGGCTTCGGCATCACGATTGACGGCATGATGAAGGAAAAGTTCAACTGGGCGGTGCCGTTGGTGTTCTTCGGGTTCGAGGTGTGCGGCATGGTGATTGGCGCCGTGGCGAGCAGCCTGTACATTGTGGACGCGTACCGCGACCTGTCCATCGAGGGCTTCACCTGTCTGCTGATTTTCAAAAATTTCTTCAGCTACGGCCTGACGTACAAGGCGTACGATTGGCTGGTGGCCAACGGCACCAAGGCGCGGCCGGTGTTCAATGCGCTGGGCAGCGTGCAGCTTGTGGTGTGCCTGTTGGCGATCCCCATGTACGTGTTTGGCAAGCGCAACCGCAGCTTCTTTTATCGCCACGACATTCTCAAGATGCTCGGTCTGAGATGAGCGAGGGCCGGGGTGTTCTCCATGCTCCGGTATTGCCTCTGTCTCTACGCCTGCGTCTCTTCTCTCGACAACACCCACACCTTTCATTCATGCCTTTGCATATGCCTTTCCTATTCCAGCCATCACTAGATTTGCCTTTCGCCCTTCTTTTTTTGGATATATCTCAGAAGTCCAGACTTCTTTTCTTCTTCTTTTTCCCGTTTCTTTCTCATTCGTTTACCGGCACTGAGACATGGCCACAATGTGTCTCCTTAATGTAATGCTTGGCGTCATCGGGGTTTCTTTCACATAGCTACTAGATTGATCATTTTGGATCTTTTTTTGGTTTCTTTCCTTTTTATTTGAATTCTGGAAATTTAGCATGTATCGTTGCACGTTACGACTGTCATTATAAGAACTCAAAAGAGCACAATTTTGCTACATTGGCTTATAATCCAACCTTTCATTTTTGATGACTGGGTGTTCGTATTCGTTCTGATGTCCGCCGCAACGCTTCCCAACACTCAAGCACTGGACGCGGACTTGCCAGCGACAGCAACGCTCTTCTTCACAAGACGCAGCCCGCCAACCAGCATGACCAGGGCCTCGAAACCGAGAATGACAGCCAGCGTCACGAGGGCACCAATGACACCAGCGACCGCCTTGGACACACCGCCGCCACCGTTGTTGTTGCCCTGCGTCGTCACGCTGCCCGAGGACGAGCCGGTGCCGAGCGCGGCGGGGTCGCAGACGCCTGTGGTGTTGCCGCAGGCGCTGCACCAGGCGGCGGTGTCGGCGACGGCAATCTTGTTCATCTCGGCGGTGAAGGTGGTCCAGGGCAGGACGAGCTCGGACTGGCCAAAGAGCGGGTAGGCCGTCAGGCCGCCGGGGGTGAGGCCGGCGGAGCCGTTGGAGAACAAGAAGCGCACGGACAGGTCGGCCGGGTCGAGGGCGGCGGTGGCGTCGGCGACGCTGGCGTTGGTGACAATCTCAAAGACCATGGCGGAGGCGTAGTCGACGATGCCGTAAAAGTCGGGGCTGGCGGCGGTCAGGTTGGCGAGGCCGAAGAAGCTCATAAAGGTGCCGTAGGCGCCGAACTGGACGTTGAGGCGGGCGGCGGCCTTGGCGGCGGGCGCGGCGCGGACGGTCTTGTTGAGGGCCTGCAGGATTTCGCCGGCCAGGACGGCGCCGGCAATGGCGCGCACGGGCTCGGACGCGTTGTAGGCGAGCCCCCACTCGTGCTCGTCGGCGCGGGTCTGCAGCTGCAGGAGGGTGTCGCGGGTGAGCAGGTCCGCCGACGGGATGGACGCGTTGTGGATCGCGGCGACGTGGATGTAGTCGTAGATGGTGTAGGCGTTCTTGAACGAGCGCTGGTCGCTCGCAAACGTCGAGTTGATGACGGGCGCCAGGCCGGCGTAAAAGGCCTTGGTGCTGTCGAGGGTCTCGCGGTAGCGGGCGCTCGCCAGGTAGCTGTTGCTGCTGATGATGGCGTTGTTGCAGCCGCTGTTGCCCTGCAGCCAGGCGCTGTCCTCGCTGCCGGCGGCGCTCGACGCGCTCGACACGATGTTGACGGGGATGTACTGGTAGCCGCCAAAGGGAGGCTCCGTGACGGTGCCGTTGGCCAGCGTCTGCTGCGCGGCGGCGCCCGCGGGCGGGTAGAGGCTCTGGGTGAAGACGTTGGCGGAGCTCTGCAGGACGTTGTCGACGGGGGCGGTCACGCTGATCTGCGAGAGGACGGCAACGTCGGAGGCGACATTGGCGATGCGGGACGAGGCGTTGGCCGACACGTAGCGGTTGCGGAAGTAGTTGCCCGACGCAAAGACCTCGTCGGCGCCGAGGGCCGTGAGCATGGTGGGCGGCAAGGACTTGGGGGTGCGGTCGCCGTGGCGGTGGAAGACGTAGATGCCGAGGACAGACTCGTCGGCCACGACGGAGGTGGGAGCCGTGGCCAGGGCGAGCAGCAGGGCCGAGGAGGCCAGGCCGGAGCGGAGGGTGGACGGCATTGTGGGGAGGGTGTAAGTGGTGAGGGGTGTTTACAGATGGTGATCTTGCCCGGCTCAGAACACTTGGGATATTGCCGTGTGAAAATGAGACAAAACAAAGGAAGAGAAGGACAAGGACAAGAGAAAGAATGAAAGAAACACAGCCAAATAAAGTATAAAAAACAAAGGATACGAGAGGCTGAGAGATAAACGGTAGACGAGAGAGCTCAAGCTAAGATTAATACGAGTGGTGACAGGATGGGAGGGGGAGCTTTGCGCTAAAGAGGGCGATCGGCAGACAGCAGTGTATTTTTTCTCTCCTCCTCCTTCTACCATTTACTATTGAGCTCTTTTCCGCTCTCACCCGCACCTCGTCCCATGTTTACGGCCGACTCCCGGAGACGTCCTGAACGCGGAGATGCAGGCACTTTATGCCTCCCCGCGCACTGGCTTGTCCAGGTATGTTATCTCGCGGGACGGGCCTGCATCGGAGACCAACTCGGATATGTCACCAACTCGGATAGGTCACCGATATGGCTGCTCTACGGGAGTGGTTGAAAGGTTTGGAAGTCGAAGTCGTACTTTCATGCGGTGGTATTTCGTACGTATTTACGTCGTGGATTTCCGCGGGCGTGCGCTAGGTGGGGAAGGTGATACGCGATGGACGTCTGGGGCTCTTTTTCTTTCTTGGTGCTCCCCACTCGCGGTCGAGTCATGTGTAGTCGGAGCGCAAAGCCAGCGGTTGTCGACGGAAGACGGCACGAATGTGCTTTCAAACCTGCATCTGAGAGCGGCTGTTGTCCAACGGGAAAGGTACGGGAGGGGCCGGACAGCGCAGGACAGTGGCAGAGCAGGAAGAGAAGGAGCCTGGAAAGTAGCAGGGAAGCTGCAATGTGGGAGGTACACACTAAACGGCCTGAAGAGGGCCTTGACAGGATACTACAACGGTCGGCTCCGGCCATTGAAGCGCCAGTTGCGGTCGAGTCATGCGTGTCTTTCTTCTTTTCGCCCACCACAATCAAGGCGGATCGTTGCTGGTCAATGGCATTGTTGAATCTGTCGTTTGTATTTTCTTTTAAAAAGTAGACGAGGGGTTTTGAATAACACGAAAAGCCATGCCGCCAAAGAAAGAAACGTGCTGGACGAAGCAAAAGAAAGCCACAAAAAAAAAGAAAAAAAAACTTATTTTTCCTCTTTACCGTTCTTCACTTTACCTCCTTGCTTCCTTTCTCAGACCACTCAACGACGCACGGCATACGTCCCCTCTTTTTTGCCTCCACAAACCACGCAACCAAGGCCCAAAGAGGAAAGTTTTGTCGCAGGCCGTTGCGCGTTGGAGACCGTTCTCGTATCCGCTCCGGCCAAACCAACGAGAAACGTCCCGTACTCCTCGCCGGCTTAGCGCTGGTCATCACCAACGTGGCGCCCACGATAGCAAATACAGCGAGAATCAGTGACACTGATGATCCTGCCACGCCAACATGAATGCTTCCCGTACAGAATACTATGATTTACCATGATATTCATGCAGCGTACTCCGTCGACGGATAGGCCAATGTACTGATGTGCAAAATTACTATTCTTACAATGCAACCCCATGTCCATGTCCGAGAACCCACGTTGATGGGGGTCAGCTACCACCTCCAACACCATGATACACCCTCAACCTACAGCTTGCTCGGCTGCTTCCGCCCGTCCTTGACCTTTGTTGACACGTCGCCCGACAGCAGGTACGCCGGGTACTGCATGCCCGGGTCCAGACCGACGCCCAGCGAGCCGCCCTGCCGCCGCCATGCGCCGCCGTCCACGACCAGCACGTGGCCGTTGACATTGTCGCCCGACGCGCTGAACAGGTACACCGTGGCGTCGGCAATGTCGCGCACCGTGCCCCAGCGGCCGCTCGGGATGCCGGGCGAGCCGCCGCGGAGGCCCGGCCGCAGCTGCAGCGAGTCCGCCTGCTGGGCGTCCGCGGCCACGGCGTCCGGGCTCGCGAGCCGGTTCATGCCCTCGGTGCCCTCAATGGGGCCCGGCGCGATCACGTTGGCCATGACGCCCCGCGGGCCGTACTCGAGCGCCACCGACCCGACAATCGAGTCCACGCCCGCCTTGGCCGCCGACACGTGCGACTGCAGCGGCAGCCCCGTGTAGTGGAACGTGGCCGAGATGGCCAGGAACCGGCCGCCCGGCGGCGCGTTCTCGGGGTTCGGGCTCAGGTGCCGGCCGGCCGAGTCCACCAGATAGTCGATGGTGGCCTTCATCGTGTTAAAGGTGCCCAGCGTGTCAATGTCCATGACCGCCTTGAAGGCGTTGGGCGACAGCCCCGCCAGCGGGGACACAAAGTTGCCCGCCGCGCCCGCAATCACAAAGTCGATGCTGCCCAGCTCGCGCACGCACCGGTCCGCCGCCGCCTTGAGGCTGTCGTAGCTGCGCACGTCGACGTTGCCGATGTCGAGGACGCGCGCGCCTTGCCGCACCTTGGCAATGTCGAGCGCGGCCGCCTCGGTCTTTTGCGCGTTGCGGCCGATGATGCAGGCGTTGGCCCCGAGATGGACGAGCGCGCGGGTCTGGGCACTGCAGATGTCGCCGGCACCGCCCGTCACGAATACGACGCGGCCGTCTGGGAAGTGTTAGAGGGAGGGGGGGGAAAGGGGGGCCGAGGAGGGAACCGCTGGGAGAAAGAGGACCACGGCAGACGTACTGAAGATGCCATCGCGCCACACGGGGCTGATAAACTCATGCGGTTGCTTGCTGCCCATGGTGGACGGGTGAACGTAGACGTAGGTGGGCGGGGGTGAATCGTAGTATCGTAAGGAGTGTCGACGGGTGGTCTGTTGTTTTGTCAACGGTCGAGACGTCGTCGCTCTCTATATGGGGTGCGCCTGAAGAGGAGCCAAGTGCGACGGGACAGAGGTGCTGTTGATCTTCTTTCAGCCACGTTGTGTCTGTCGAGTTGTTTTGGTTCTTGTTCCGCCTTTCGCTTTCGCTTTCGCGTTCACTGTTCCATCGTTGGATTCGTCTCCTGCTGACAGGGCGATGCCGAGGCACTTGGGGTAGTAACTTACATCCACCATGTAATCAGCGCTGCACGCCCTCGGCTCGTTCCCCATTTTCTCCATCTTCTCCGCGCACTTCGCTTAACTTCTTTTGTCAGACAGTGAACTGTCCAGCGTGCTTACGTACGCTAGCGTACTGCTCCAGCGCATCATTTACGCGCCCCGCGCCAGTGAAGTTCAGCGCGCGCTGCACCACTCGAGCCTGGAACCGTGGCAGGGTATTTTGGATGTTTGACGTTTGTATTTCCAACGTGTGATTCGTGTCCAGTTTGCGCACGCAGCTCACCTCTGGCAACGCTCTTGGCCCTCAACACGTCCTCTACGTCCACACGTACACAAACCGGCCGGCTGCCCGCCATGGAACCCCCGGCACCGGAGCAGGCCTCGAAGCCGCCGCCCCGCGTCACAGCCGATCGCAACAGCAAACTCTCCGCTCTGCTCGCCAGCATCGACGCCGACCTGGACCTGGAGCTGACCGCCAAGGCCGCTGCGCCTGCCGCGGACGACTCCGGCGTCAACGCGTTCCGCCGCGCCAAGTTCTTCTTCCCCAAGGTCCTCGAGGAACAGCGCAAGGCCAAAGAAGCAAGGGAAGCGGCCGCCGCGACGAAACAGAAGGCGAAGGGCAGCGAGACACAGCCGCCGACGGTCCGTTCCTCCTCGAGCCCCGACCGGCCCCGCGGCACAGACCACGTGCCGAAACGGCGCAAAGTCTCGCACGCGGGCGCAGACGGCAAGGCGAAGGCGCCGCACGACAGCCGATCACCCGCCGGGTCGCCACTAGCAAACAGCCCCAGCCGACACGACAGACGGACGGGCGCACGGAATGCACGCTCTATCTCCCTGTCGTCTGGGAGCCCGTCGCCACCGCCGCCCTCTCGGCTGGACAAGGGCAAGGGCAGAGCTACATCTCACTCCGTCAACGCGGACGTTGTCTACGCAACGAACACCAACACCTCGTCGCCACCCCCGACACGACAACAGACGTCCACGGGCGGAGCCGACAAGGACGCCTCGGTTGTGCTTATCGAGTCGACCGACGACTCCGACTCGGATGACGACGTCCAGCCCTACCGGCCGCCCGACAGAATGGCACCTGTCGTTTCTCGGCGAGACCGGGACGAAGGAGACGTCGTGGACGAGGTGACGGATCCGGAGTTCAGGGAGTACATTGAGCGGGCCCGGGACAAGGCCGCAAAGGCTCGACAGGACGCAGAACTGGACGCCGTCTTTGGGGACGAGCTGAGCCAAGGGCCCAAGGCAGGCGCCACGTTTTCGTCCAACACCACCGCTTCGACAAAAGCCACCTCGGCATCGCAAGCGACGACGGCCTCCATGGGCCCGTCGGGCTCGAACCTGTCCAACGCCAGCCTCACGCCGTCGGGCGATACAGGAACCGCACCTGCGATAGCAAAGACAACACCACCAGCAGCACAACCACAAACGACGACCGTCACCTCTTCGCAACCCGCGTCCAGCGACCAGCAATACCGCGTCTTCATCACCTCCCACCTGCCAAACGAGGTCCCGCCTCTGCTCGCCACCATGCGCATGGACCAGGAGATGCGTTACGCCCGCAACGCCTACCTGCATCATGCCGCCAAGCACAACGTCCATCTCTCCGACGAGGCGGCCCAGCGCACGCTGCTCACCTGGAAGGGCAGCAAAATCTACAATTTCACGACGGGCGCGTCCCTCGGTGTCCAGCCCGACGCCAAGGGCCGCTTTCGCGACTATGACAGCATGGCCATGGTCGCGGCCGACGCAGGCGCGGGCAAGCCGGCCGCCGGCTTCCAGTCGGGCGGCCTGCACCTCGAGATCTGGACCGAGGACCTCTATGCCGCCTACCTGCAGGCCGAAGAACGTCGCCGCCGCCGCAACCTGGGCGAGCTCGTCGAGGGCGACCTGAGCAGCGACGGGGACGACGACGTCGAGGACGGTGGCCGTGGTGCGAGCCGGGGACCTGGCGGGGGACCCAGCGGGGCACCCGGCCAAGGCCCCGAGTCCGCCTCCGCCAACAGCACGCGCATCCGCCTGGTCCTCGCGTCGCGCGCGCACGAGAAGCTCAAAATCACCGCACACGGCGACACCACCATCGAGACGCTGGCCACCGCATTCCGGCTGCAGCGCGGCATCGAGCCGGACAAGACGGTGGCCATTATGTGGGACGGCGACGAGCTGGAGGGCAGCATGACGGTCGGCGAGGCCGAGATGGAGGACATGGACAGTGTGGAGGTGTACATTCGGTGAGACGAGGCGGGCAGGCGGGGAGGGAGGGGAAGGATTGACGTTGGCTGCAGTGTAACGAATGACGAATGAACGAATGAACATTGTGATGGGCGTGGCAATGACCTTGTTTATAACGATATCCCGCATGTTTCATGTTTACATCAGTACGAAAGTAGTTTGCTCGATTGGATTGTTTGATTTCGTACAAGGTCGTCAAATAGAACTTTTGTAACCAAGAAAATGGGACGTATGAAGAAGAACGAACGGTGAAATGCACAGAAAAGAAAAAATTGCACGAAGAAGAAAAACATAAACGCCGGCCCTGTATAATGCGAGCTCCCAAAATATCCCAAAAGCCAGAAAACCAGACCACATAACCCGTTGTCTCTCCCCTAGAACCGCTCCTTGAGACGTGCGCTGATCGACCGCAGGTTGCCGTACACCTTGCCTGGTGGTTTGCCGAGGCTGGTTTGTTAGTAGGCAATAGACAGTGAAAGAAAACAGGCGGAAGAGAAAGGGAAAGAGGAGACATACATCAGGCTGACCACGCTTTCCCGCGCCATGCCAATCTCCTTGAAGCCGCCCAGAATGTGAATCTTGGAACCGCCCGCCACGACAATCCGCGTCTTGGTCGTGTTCTCAATGGCGTACTTGGTCCGGCCGTCCTTGCCCACGATCCGGCCCACCGCGCGCGCCAGGTGGTCGCCCTCGAGCGTCTTGACGTCCTTGATCTCAAACGACTGGATGTAGATGCCGTCGAGCCGCAGGATGGCCACGGCGTCCTCGACCTCGAAGCCCATGGCGTACGCCCGCACAAAGTCCTCGCCCTTTTGGATCGCGCCCGTCTCCGTCGTGCTCTTGGACGTCCGCAGCTCCACCGCCTTGGTCTTGATGTTCATCCGCACCTGCAGCTTCAGGTTTTCCACAAGAGGTGTGTAGCTGTGTCGGAAGTCGGATCGACTGTTGTTAGCTGGTGCGTGCCCTTGCCCCTCGCCCATGTCGTCTGCAATGGTGACCTACATCTTGCTCCACGACGTCTTCAAGGGCGACATGCGGTGCGGCGGAATCGGAATCTTGCGCACTTCGCGGCGCACGGCCGTCTCGGCGTCCTTGGCCGCCGCAAACTTGGGCCGCGACTCCTCGTCAATGTCCATGCCGGCCGCAAAGTCGTCGCTGCCGGGGTCGCTGGCGCCGAGCAGGATCGGCGTCGATGTCTCGGCGGGGATTTCGGTCAGCGTCAGGGTATTGGCTGCGGCCGCCGCGTCGAGAAGCGTCTCGACTTCGTCCTGGGAGACTGCTCCTGTTAGTCTTGCAGGCTTCATCCGCTGCCACAGCAAATAACCATTGTCGTGACATACTCGGCTGGGCCTCTGGGGCCACCGGCACATCCACCTTCTTGGCGGCGGTCGGCGCAGGCATATTGAATCGCTGAGTGTATTGTGCGTTGTATCGGGTGTGTTTGGCTGTGAATGTATGTTTTTCTGGCGTGTAGTGCAATATCTGCCGCTGGTCGTCGGTTGCCGGTCGTTGTCAAGGCGGTATCTCAAACCATCGACGCTTTTTATTCATCTACACCAATTTTTCGCAGCGACAGCCCACCGGCCATTAAACTTTTTTCTGCCTTGGTGGGGAATTTTAGCAACTGTCCTTCCTTATCGGGGCTTATCGGCTTGACCGCCAACTAGCTCCCAGCCTCCACTTTTTTTGCCAGTTGCTTTGCCCCCGCCTTCCTCCTTTCCTTGGGCACTGTTTGCCAGGCATGGCTAAAAGGCACCTAAAGAGAGCGCGTCATTCGTAGGGAAGGTGTGGATTCGGCTTCACACCGACCGGAAGGAACGAGGGGAAGACAACACAGACCCAGGGAAAGAACGAATGAAAAAACCAGCCAATAAGTATTGTCACTTGCTTTTTCGAGACACAACATCGCATCAGAGTCTTCTCCCCCTCTTCGCCCACCGCTCTATCGAAAAGAGCGTCAGTACAGGAGACGTTCGCCAATGGGCGACGTATAAGCAGCCACGAACCAACGACAAAGACAAAAAGTCTTCAATCGACGTGCTAGCCCTTTTCTGCCCGGCATATCCCAGAGCGAGCTTGTACCGACTAGCCCAATTTTCCACTCGACGTCGTCCACTATTCAACCTCATTTTGTCCGTCTTCAAGCTCGCCCTTTTTTGGATTCTGCATTCCCAGTCGACAAAGACTGTTGCCCTTACCGCCCGCGCCTCGGACTCTTCCGCCCGAAATGCAAAATGCCATCTAGCTCAGCATCGACCCATCAACTGGGTCGCCGCTTCTGGGCCTCCGTCCGGGACTCGGTTGACTCGTGGGCTTGGCAAGCACCTTCAGTCGGCCGGTGGCATGGCAGGCGGTCCTTGACAGGCCTGGGCATTGCCCACTCCGTCTTTTCCGCTCACGCCGTGGCATCAGCGACGGTCGCAGAAGCTGCAGGCGGCCGCGGCGGCAGCAGAGCCGCACGACGCTCGTTCTCGTTCCTGTCGGGCCGCCAACTCTTGTTTTCCGGACGGCCGCGGCGCTTCCACTTTGGCTCTCCTGTGGCGGCCAACCCCAAGGCCTCGCCCAACCATGTCCGCCGGAGCTGCACGTCTGGCGGGCTGCTTCTCCTCGGCCTCAGCTCGCCCTCGACACCGTCCTCCACCGTCGTCGCAACGTGCACCGCCGCCGCCGCCGACACGGCGCTCTCGGGACAGAACGCGGCCCAGAAGACAGGCATCAGCCGCATCGCCCGGCAGGCATGGCAGCACCAGCAACGACAGCACCACCAGCTCTGCAACAAGCCACAACCACAGCAGAAAAGGCAGCCACAAAGCGGCATGCTTCTTCTCTCTCAGCTGGGAAGCAGAAAGCAAGGTGAAGCCCTGTCAGTATGGACCGCAGAGCCGAGACGACGCAAGAGCACCGACAGCCGCGGCAGGAGCAACACAGCCTCCTCCCGCCAGTCGCAGCCGCCCGGCGGTGACGTCAAGAGCAGACAGCCGATAGACGCAGAGTCGACACGAAAATCACTCGCATCTGAAGAGAGCAAGGGCGTGGCAGGACAGCAGCACCAGCCGCCACCTCAGCCACACCCTCCGGAAGGCGAGGACGCCGAAACAATCGCCAGCTCCGTGTCCAAATACCTGCAGTCCCATCTCCCCAAAATCCCACATCGCCCCACCAAGGAAGAGCTGCTGGCTGCTGCCAACGGCTTCACGGAGCGGCTCAAGGTCCGCTTCAAATGGCTGACAATCCGCAGCATGCGGCCTTGGAACGCCGATGAATGGGGTGCTTTCCTTTCGTGGTTTATGCTGGGGCACATTGTCTGGATCTTGGTCGGCACAACCACTTTTATGTCGCTTGTGATTTTGACCATCAACACCGTGTTTGCACAAGGTAACCCCCCTCCCTCCCTTGTTTATTTTTTTTTTTTTTTATTGTTGTCACAGTTTCATACCTAGCCAATGCATATACTGACATCCATAGAAAAATTGGCAAAGTGGGTTGGTGATTACTTGACCCAGTCGGCCGGTGTGACTGTCGTTTTCGAGTCCGCCATCGTTCCCAAGTGGAAGAATGGCGTCATCACCTTCCGTAACGTCTTCGTCTCGCGCCGCCCAGGCCAGATCAGGTCCTCTGTGACCAAGGGCTCCTCGTCCAACGCCGCCGCCATCGCTGCAGCGCGCCACACGCACGACCCGATTAGCGGCGTTGCCGAACCCGACGCCGAAGCTGAGAACAGTGAAGTCTACGTTGTCGACGACGGCAACTATACGCAGTTCGACGTGACCATCAACAGCGTCGACGTCACCCTCTCCTTTTACAAGTGGTGGAACGGCAAGGGCATGCTCAAGGATGTTGAAGTGCGCGGCGTGCGTGGTGTGATCGACCGCACGCACGTGAATTGGTCCCCCGGACCACTTGACCCATTCTCCTTCCGCCACGAGCACCAGCCGGGCGACTTTGAGATTGAACGCTTCAAGCTTGAGGACCTCATGGTGACCGTACACCAGCCCAACGGCTTCCGCCCCTTTTCCGCGTCCATCTTCTCGTGTGAGCTGCCGCAGCTGCGCAAACAGTGGCTGTTTTACGATTTCCTCTGCGCCAACCACGTGTCTGGCGCCTACGACGGCTCCCTCTTTACGATCCACCCGCGCCAGATCCAACACTCCAACACCATCCCCGGTGTCGTCGACAACAGCCACCACAACATCAACAACCCCGTCATCGAGCCCATGTCGCCCGAGGCGGCAGTGGCATGGAAGAAGTTCTCCCGCCTGCGGATCGACGGTCTCAAAATTGACCACCTCAACCGCGGCGATCCAGGACCGTTTGGCTGGATCTACGAGGGCAATGTCGACATTGTCGCGGATGTGATGCTGCCCGCTGAGGCCGACGAGAGTCTGGCCAAGGCCATGATTGACTTTTACGATAAGATGGAAGAGGCCGTGACGAGCAACCGGTATATTCGCATCCTCGACGGCAATTACGGCAGCCGCAAAGAGGACGAGGAGGCCGCTCAGATCGATGTGGACGCCTCGTTTGGCGAGCAGCGCGGCCACCTAGGCTGGGAAACGGACGACGCGCAACAGACGCCAATACCGACGACGACCGCCATACCGCCAGTGACGGCGCAGCCAGCCTCAGCAGCAGCAACACCCACGCCCCCGCCCACGCCCACGCCCACCGTCATCAAGCCTCCGACCTTCCCCGACGACCCCGTGCCGCAGTACGTCGTCATGGACCTGCGCCTGCATCTCAACGACGTCCGCGCCGCCGTGCCCTTCTTCCCCACCGCCACCGCCCTCGGCCAGACCCGCGCCCAGTCCTATGTCAATGCCGCCCTCATCCGCCCCATTGTCGCCTACATCAACGCCAAGCGCACCTACATCCCCATCAGCTGCCGCGTCGTCAAGCACCTGTCGGACTTTGACGGCAGCTGGACCACGTACGACTGCGGCCTGCTGGACGACACGTCGGCCGAGGTGTATGCGGCGTTTGCGCACGACGTCGAGGACCAGCAGTCGCGCGTGCGGCGCCTGAAAAAGGTCGGGTTCTGGACGCTGAGCATGGTGGTGCATGCTCTGCTGGCGGGTGTCGCGGGTGACCTTATGTAGGGGGGAGAATGGGTGCCCTCGAAAACCATACCACGCCACTTCTTTTTTTCCTGCTTTTGCAGTTGCGTTTTCCAGTCACTTATTTGGAGTACAGCTTTGTTCGGCGCGTCGTTTTTGTTTTGGATTTTGCTGGATTCTATGACATAGATGGCCATTTGGGGTGTAAGCGACTTGCTTTTTCTCGACGGCGTTTTTGTTTTGTCAAGGTGGGAGGGATGCATATACGGCAGGCGGTACACCATGGCAAGGATACGGAAGACCAAAAACAAAGGAAAGTGATAAACGTACGTACATATATGACATCATTTCTCTCTTGTCTCTTTACCCGCAAAGTTTTGGTGACGTGAAGAATGATAAAATGGTAAACAAGGTCTGTATTTGTTCTGTTATAGGCAGCGTAGCAGGACCGGTAAAGACAGGAGCAGAAAAAGACAAAGGCATCGTCATGTAAGCAAAATGCAGTGTGCGGTCTAGATTGTATCTAAAACAAGGGGACAGGAGGGAAACGAGAGTAGGCGTGAAGTGAGGTAAAGGAGCACGAAATCAAAAACAACGGCGACCGCATCAAAGAACATCACACACTATATCAATCCTCGCACTCTCCCTTTTCACCCCTTTCGCGTGCCTTCAAATACTGTCGTTACCATTTCTTCCATGTCTTATCCCGTATGCCATGCAAATGCGTCATTACTCTCTCTCTCGGCCCTTTTTCGTGCTTCCTTAAGCATCGTCCTTCGGCCCATGGTTTGCATGTGAAAATCAAAACCGGTAACAAAAGAATAGAAAAAACAAAGCGTGAAGGACACATGATGAATGACAAAAAAGAGACTGAGGATGTGTCTTCCCCTCCCCTCTCAAACCAGTAAACAAAAAAGGCCGTGCATTGTTGATCCTACAAGAAAACAGACAAGAAAGGAAAGACGGAAAGAAAAATGCTCTCCTTTACATGAAATCGTCACTGGACAAAGTTGTTAGCAAAAATGCGCGGTGAACAAAAATTGCCATTCCGCAATCAGGGGAGGCGAGTGGGGGAGATTATAAACTCACTCTCCGTAGGCATCGTCATCGTAGGAGCCCGTGTCGACCGTGTTGGGCCGCGCAATGGCCAGCGTCGTCTTGGTCTTGGCGGCCTTGGTCTTCTTGCCGCCCTTCTCCGAGGCCTTCTCTTCCCGCAGGCGGTCGTTGGCCAGCGCCGTCAGCGAGCTGTTGATCTTCTTGATCTGGTCGCTCGGCAGGCCGCGGCACAGCTCGCGGATCAAGTTCTGGGCGAAGACGACGTAGGGACCCTTGTGCGCGTGTGCGCTGATGATGGGGCCCAGCGTCTGCTGCAGCTTGTCAAACTGGAGCTTTGTGACGGGGTTGAGGAGCGGCAGCGAGCCCAGGTCGACCGTCTTGGACGGGTCCGACGCGTCGATGGAAATGGCCGACGCCTTGAGGGCGGCCGCCGACTTGCGGGCCCCACCGCCCGTGCCCGCGGACAGGCCCGCATCGCCAAACAGGTCGGCGGCGTGCTGCAGATCGGCCTCCTGCTCGCTGCGGCGCATGCGCTCGCGGCGCTCGGCCTCGGTCTCGCCTTCCCGCAGCGCCGAGTCGGCGTCGGCCTGGGCCTGGGCACGGGCGCGCTCAGTAATGTGCTCGGCGATGCGCTGGTTCTTGGACTTCTTGTTGGCGGCGGCAGCGGCGGCGGCGGCTTTTGCCTTGGCCTGGGCCTCCGCCTCCTTCTTTGCCTTCTCGCGCTCGGCCTCGGAGTCGTCGGCGTCCCAGGAGTCGAGGACGTCGCTATCTTCCTCCTCCTCGTCTTCGAACTTGTTGGCGCGGCGGAGCAAGTGCGGGGGCGGGGCAACAGCGCTGCCAGCCTCGGAGCCGGAACTGGAGGACTCTTCCTCGTCGTCTATGTCACGCAGAGAGGGTCAGCAAATACGTTTCTTGGTAAGGTGCTGTTCGCGCCACGACCACGAGCCTCCCCCATATCCCCCTCCCGTTATCTCGTCCCAAGACAGGCCACGTGTAGTACCAAGGCGGCCAGAAATGAAACGAGGGGCACGAGAGGTGATGGCGAGGCGAGGGGAGAGGTCGTGGTCGAGCACGAGTATTTTCAAAGGCTTTCTTGACGACACACGTACCCCACTTGCCAGGCATGATGGGCAAATTCGTCTGTATTTGCGCGGGCTTCGAAATCGAGGGGTTGTCGTCGGTAGAGAAGGGATGTGTCGTGTCTGTGTTGTTTGGAAGTGTAGTGACGATGTCCCGAGCGTGGGAGGCGCGTTGGTGAGAATAGTTTGTGTTCTGAGAAAAAGAAAAAAGAAGAAAGGGAGGCGAAAACTGAGACACTCTAGAGGCAGGAGAGTGTAGTTACGAGTCTTTGGGAGGGCAGGCGCGAACGTGGCAGGACGAAATTGTGGGCAGGAGCACTGAAAAATTGTAGTTGGGCAGGCACGGCGTGCAAAGGGGCTGACAAGGGTGAAAAGGCTGCCCAAGCGCAACAAAAACTGCAAACTAGAGGCAGCCAAAGGTTCCAAGCGGGAGAAAAAAAAAAGAAAAAAAAAGCCAAAATAGATGGCGCGTCGACTAACGACAAATGAGAGCCAGAACGGCAGCGGCCGTCGATGGTTCTTGCTAAATTAGAACAGGCTGACCAAAGGATGCTCGTTTTTCTCTTTAGCCGCCGTCGCGTCAAGGACAGATAGGGAAGCGACGAACAACGAACAAACATTCTACGTGGCAGGCGCGACTGGAAGAAGACGAGGCCGGGTGAACACTAGATGAAATGCAGGCAACAAGTTTACATATGGCGATTGTCTTCCTAGCGGATGAGAATGTTTGTCATGTCAGCGAAGATGCTCCTTGGCGGACATGGCAATGCGCCAGACACAGACTTAATGTATCCGCATCCGGGTCGTCCCTTTGGATCGCCAGTGCATGATCGGGAGACGAGACGAGAGGCTGAAGCGGGCCAGGAGACCAGACGATGTGAAACAGAGACCACGGGGGGACTGCTGTGAACAGAGGAGACAGGGGATACTAGGAAATGTAAATAATAATAACAATAAAAGTAATGATCTGGAAACCATCTGACCCCTTATTGTTGTACAAAGTGCTGTGCGCGCCTTCGTTTTACAGCCCTTCTGTCGCGATTTCCTATTCCGGCCACATGTTCCTCCCACGTCAGTTCCCCTCGCCATCCCCCTCTTCGCCTTTACACAGCGCAAAACGCAGCACTGCACGTATTCCCAGCCCAGGCGCTGTGCCCCTCGTTCAGTGTGAGTGCAGGGATGATGTCACCACAGGCAGGGGGCTGCTCTCCAATTGTCCCAGAATCCCAGAAACCAGACCCGGCCACATGCCCCAGCGCGTCGCATTTGGCGCTGCAGGGCTGCAGACTTGCAGGTCAGGCTGCATAAGGGATGTAAGATGAAGAAATTTGAAGACCAAAGATGAATGGATCCAGTCACAAATGAGTCAGAGAGCAAGCAACAGCGACGAGAAGACAAATCCACTTTGGCTCTGGATTACAGCGCTTGTGTGTTAATTTACTCATTACGTAAGACATCATATATCATTCTGGATCGCACGGTCTCGCCGATATTGAGAAAATCGTGAGGGTGCGAAAGCAGACAGTGATGTCTAACCATGAGATACGACGGTCGATAGGAGCCAAACGGTGATGCTGCAGTCAGCACTCTGCATACTATTTTGTAGAGTGAAGATTCGCGCTGGTAGGCTGGGAAACAGACGATTGGGCGTGAGTCCGGTACATTTACAGTCGTTCTACTCAGCGTTGTCGAATGCTCCTAAGATGTCTCAGTGTGAGCAGGAGTGCAGGAGAATAAGTCAGAGTCAAAAAAAAGGAACTATTGGGAACATCGTGACAATGCAGCCTGTCTTTGTTCATGGCTATCCGATGAATCGGGTCGTAATAACAAACGCTCTTGGACAAGTGATGATAAAAACAATCCAAATATAAAAATAAAATAAATATTCTTCTTCTTCTTCGCCTTTCTCAGCCTATCCTGGCTATTGGCGTCTAGCTACTTCGTAGGTAGAACCCTCATGGGGAAAAACCACCACAAAACAAAAGCATAGAGAACAACTCCATAATCAGATGTCACAATGCACTGTCAAATGTCAAACACAACAATGTCAAATGCCAATCCCATCGCAACAGATGGCCGTGGCATCTCCGGATGCATGTTCACAGCAATCCTTTCCGATTCCATTTTCTACTCTCCATCTCGCTCGTTTGTCATGTGCGTGTGACTCCTGCCACAACTCTCTCAGTGCTGGGGGCAGCCCACTGAAGTCGGGCACGAAAACGATGCGGAATAAATTTCGCAGCTGATGGCGCATGAGAGTTTGAGACGCACCTCCGTCCGAATGTCTCCGATGTTTTGCTCATCACCTGACGTCCGGTGCTTTTGCATTGGCCTGTGGGAGGAGACGGCGCCCCCATTCCGCCGCTAACAATGGTACCTGAGGCCAGCCGATTGGGCCTTGGGACTCCACTAAAACGAGAACATCCCGCGCAAGTGCAGAGCCAGATGAGGCTGTTCCCTGTTCTTGCAGACACGAGGCTGAAGGCGATATTGGTTATTTTTTGTGCCGCTGCCGGGTTGTTTTCTTTCTCCCCATGAGTAACTACCCTTCTCTCCATGTCAGAGGTCCGCTACGGTGTTTGCACGACGAAAATCGATCGGTGATTGGCGACTCCGAGGACATCGACGGCCCTTGGTCCTGGTTTGTTTCTTTTCATTCCTATTGTTTGAACTCTCTTGGAACGAGTACTTTCCCATCTACCACTTGTAGTCGCTGTTGATGTTTCTGCTGAGCGAGAGCCGATTACAATGACTGGCGTCATGCCGTTCGCAGCAGCAAAACTCGCCAGTCGGCGCAAAGCATTCGACGCTGAAGATCGCGAACAAAGTAACGAATTAGGACGCGTCTAATGTCAGAACAGGGGGAATGTTGAGATGCCCCGGGACGCTAGCGATACGAACAACGTAGTCCCGGCGCTGTTCCTTCCCCGTCGGCCCTTTCTTCTTTCCACTTACAGGCTCTCGGAGACGCTATTCAATAGTGCAGGGCCAACTGCGCCTTCCAGCCATGCACCGCACTTCTTCCTTTCTCCGGATGATCTCTCCGTAGCCCTTCCCGTATCTTTTCGCGCTCGCCCCAGCCGTCTGTCCGCCTTGCAGTCTTTCTTGCATGGCCCACGCCCTTGGCATGTGGGCGCTTTATTTGGCACATGGGATCTCTGACACCTCCAAACAAACACACACACACGCATATATAAAAGACAGCGACTGCAACGGCAAGCAGAGGCGGGTTTTGTGCCTGGCCGCCTTCTTGCCACATCCAGACATCTGAATATCAACAACATTGATCAGGCTTCACGCCATCCATCCACTTCCACCATCTCTCGTTCCATTCGCAGTACCCTCACATAGCATTCTACCTCACCCTCTCCCCTCACAATGACTTCGGTGCGCATCACATCGTCCGCCCTGGGCCCGTCTCCGCTGGTCAGCAGGCAAATCGCCCGTGCCGCCCTCCCCCTCTTCTGCTCGTCGTCTGTACAGACGCCTTTCCCTAAGCTGTCCCCTTCTTCGTCGACCTCGTCCGCCAGCCGCCGTCCAGGCTCTGCCGCTGCTCCCTTTTCCACAACCACGGCCGCCCGCATGCGTGATTTCTTCCCCGCTCGCGAGACGGAGCACATCCGCCAGACGCCGCCCGCCTGGCCCCATCACGGCTACACCGAGGCCGAGATGCTTGCCGTCGTCCCCGGCCACCGCGCCCCCGAGACCATGGGCGACCGCTTCGCCTGGTACCTGATGCGCGTCTGCCGCTGGGGCATGGACACGGCCACGGGCATGCGCCGCGACCAGCGGTCCGACAAGACGCATCCCACGACGGCTGTGGCCGCCGAAAAGCCCCTGACGGAAGCCCAGTGGATGACCCGCTTCATTTTCCTCGAGTCGATTGCCGGCGTGCCCGGCATGGTCGCCGGCATGCTGCGGCACCTGCACTCCATCCGCCGCCTGCGCCGCGACAACGGCTGGATCGAGACCCTGCTCGAGGAGTCGTACAACGAGCGCATGCATCTCCTGACCTTTATGAAGATGTGCGAGCCCGGCTGGTTCATGAAGCTCATGATCCTCGGCGCCCAGGGCGTCTACTTCAACGCCATGTTCGTCTCCTACCTCCTGAGCCCGCGCACCTGCCACCGCTTCGTCGGCTACCTCGAAGAGGAGGCCGTCCACACCTACACGCGCTGCCTCGCCGAGATCGAGGCCGGCCACACCCCGGCCTGGACCGACCCCAGCTTCACCGTCCCCGAAATCGCCGTCCGCTACTGGAACATGCCCGAGGGCAAGCGCACCATGCGCGACCTGATCCTCTACATCCGCGCCGACGAGGCCGGCCACCGCGGCGTCAACCACACCCTGGGCAACCTCGACCAAAACGCCGACCCCAACCCCTTTGTCAGCGAGTACAAGGCCGGCCGCGAACCGCCAAAGCCGCTGGCCCGTGCAGAGGGCTACGAGCGTAACGAGGTTTTAGTAAAAAAAAAAAAAAAAAAAAAAAAAAAAAAAAAAAATAACAGTCACATTCGCATCCTTTGATTTCCTTTGATGCCTTCTCATCTGCATGGCGTTCTTTGGCTCCTGCCACGGCGTTGGAAAGCGATGGTCCGGGGCGGGAGTCTCCCCACTCTGATGACTTTGTGCTTTTTGGTATGTTTTGGCGTTTTCCCTTTGTTTTTACTATTTAGTAAACGGTTCATGTCACAAGTCTGGTGGTTAGAAGAGGGGTCTTTTTTCATAGATACTGTCCGGAGATGACGGTTTGTTGTCGCGCTCTTAGCTACACATAAAAAGCACTAGGTGCGCATAAAGCGGAGACATTGATTTCAAGGTTCGACTGGAAGCATATAGAACGATGTCCAAGGACAGAACATGAAGAAAATAGAATCGTATCACGATTTCTCCCCAATTGATAACCACAAAACACATCTTGTTGGAAGAGAACCTCGTTCATATGCTACATTTGCATTTCCGATACACCAATGATCAAAGTACAGTGTCTTCAAACAGTATCGTGGTCTTGGGCGAATGTAGTCTAAGGGGAATTTTATTCAAAAATGAAAAAGGAAGTAGAACGACCCTCATTTGGGGCCTTTTGTTCAAAGAACTTTCCTATAGAATATAGATATCTCAAGGGTTGCTGGTGATGTGGGGGGACGGGTGAAGTGGTACGAACGTCAACAAACGTAACCTGGAGGGGGAAAATAAGTGGTTTGAGAATGGTAGAAAAAAACAACAGACAAAATAAATCTCCTATAGTCTCCCCACACCAGAACAAAAGCACGTCTTGGAACGTCATTTTGTTAGAACAAAACGAAGCGTCCTTTGGGGTATCCATCGTAGCGGGACACACCGCCCAAAAATATAAAAAGAAAAGAAAAGGGGCAGAAAAGAGAAGAAAAAAGGATCAAGTGAAAGGGGTGGCTATGGGTGAAGTAAGGCGAGAGGTGAAGGGTCGGGAAAGTAAGAATGGGGAAGGGATGAAGTAACTTGATATGTAAGTGGGGAGAAAATACAACCGCCAGAAAAGACAGAACAGAGAAAAACGGGTACACTATATGAAACCACCAGAATTATAGACACCCCTTGGCCGTCCTGGCCACCGACATTCTCTGCGCCGTCGGTCGGATTTGTCCTTTTCCGTTTTTGTAACATCCACTCCCCCCCCCCCAGTTTATTGAAACGCGCCACACAAAAAGAGCACATTAAAAAACAAAGGAAACGGGCCACCGGCAGCACAACCAAGAGGTCACTATTGTGGCTTCTCGTTCTCCTCGGCAACGCGGCCAAGATCCAGGCTTTTGCCGCGGATGACGCCCGAAAACGTGGACAAGGACGCCGCAGACGGGTCGGTCGGCGACGGGGATTTGTTCCGGCGCTGCTCTGCCGTTTCCTTGGCCTCGCGGTACTTGTTCTTCAGCCAGCCGGAAATCTTGCCCTTGCTGTGCTCGTCGCCACCCTTGCCCGGCTCTTGGCCTTCCATATATGCCAGAGAAGGGTCCGACGACCCGCTGGCGCCCGTTGGGGTCAGTGAGGCGACTCCCGCCAGAGACGGACCGCCACTGCCGACGGAGCTGGTGCTGATGCCGGCGTGCATGTTGGATCCGAGGCTCGAGTCCTGCCCCGCTGCCGTGGAGACAGAGCTTACGTTGCTCGTGGACGGTGGCAGCGCGCCCGGCGCTCCCGGCGCTGCTTGTGGAACACCCGCAGCTGGTGCAACTGGTGCTGGCGGCTGCATGTCGTCACGCCGTCTAGACAGTCGCCAGAGACGCTTTTTCGACTTCTCGGCAGGTTCCGTGTACGTCTCGTGTAGCTTCGCAGCGGCGGCAGTGGAGGCGGCGGACTCATCGACCTGGTCAATATCAGATCCTTCGTTAAAGGAGCTGTGGAGAGACTCGGACTGCGAGTTTCTCGATGGGCGGAGCTTGGACTCGGATGGAGCTGGTACAGCGGTGCTAGCAACGGCCGGAGCAGTGGCCGGTGTAGGCGTTGTTGTTGCTGTGGTCGCAGCTGACGGGACTTGAGATACACGCGGTGTTGAGTCGTTGGCACCATCCGAGGCCGTTGGTGCAGCGGCTTCCCGACGGTGTTCCATAGACCCGTCGTACCCGTGGCCACCAGCAGTGGCTGTGGCCAACTGGTTCGCATGCTCTTCCAGCGGGTTTACAACTGGCTCGTAGTTGGGCGACGCGTAGGCAGACGACGACGGCAATGAGGCTGTTGAACTCTGTGCGCTCGGGTTGGCGCTGCTGGGCAGCCTCTTCTTCTTGAGCTTGTTCGGCTGTGGCCGCAGTTCACCGGCACCACTCTCGCTGGTGCCGGAGCGCTGGAACAGCTGGAATCGGCGCTCTTTGGAAGGTGTGCTGGTTCCCGCTTCGGCAGCGGGCGAAATGGGTGTGGCGGGCGAGACACCCAGACCCGGCACGTCCCTGGGTGGGGCCACATGTGTGGCGCCTTCGATCATGACCGTTGTGAACGGGTCGGGTGTATTGGAGTCTTCGGGGGGTGTGGCAACCTCGGCGACGGGATCGAAAGCGGGCGCGGCCTGTGTCGTCTGGTGGGGGTTTATGGGCGTCAAAGGGGACACTGGGCTGCCGGACGCGTCCGTTCGCTTCGCAAACCGGCCAGGGCCAATGCCCGGCGATCTTGCTGGCAATGTGTTGCTGCGAGAGAGCCCGCCAGTGCTGCCGCTTCCGGCGGTCGTGGGCGTTGTAGCAATCGCAGGACTGCTGCTGCGGGGACTTGATGCATGGCCGACGTGGTTGTTACCATCGCCACCAAGGCCACCGCTGCCGTCGCCAACATGGTTACCGCTGACAGCGACGTGGGCGCTCGAGTGTCGTGAGTGCCGCGAGTTACGAGACGAGGTCGAACGGTTGCGACGAATCTTACCGTCCCGGGCCACGCTCTCGGCGCCAGCGCTTGCGTTAGAAGCAGTGCGCGACACGCCAACAGCACCGGCACCCTCCATCTGCACACCGGGTGTCACAGGTGGTGTGCCTCGGGAGACCTCCTGGACAGTCTGCTCGTCGGCAGCGGTGCCGCGCATGCCAATCAAGAAGTGGTCTTGGTTTTCGATTAAGAATATCAATACGGTCTGGTTGAGACGGTACTCTTCGGGCGCCATAGCATGCGAGGGGTGCGACAAAATACCCGGCTGGAAGATGGCGGCCAGGTTCTGGGAGTTCATGCGGTTGACGTCTGCCTTAGCGGCGAAAACGGCAAGTAGGTCGAGGATGTAGAGCAGAAGCTGGCGGTTAAGTGGAGGTAGCTCGGTAATCAGGGCTTGGTAATTGTGAATGGCACCAGCCAGGTCAAAGTTCTCCATGAACTGCGGCCCGTCGGCGTCGCTGGGACCTTGTTTGATGGCATGGCGCAATGGGTCCCGGAATCGCTCGTAGAGGGCGAGGGGGACAACAGGCTCGGGGAGGTCGTTCAAGTACCGACGCAAGACGTTGGCAGCATCATGTACTGTGTAACCGGTCCAGGACAACCCCTTACCGTACCGGTCGGGCGAGTCGAAAGCGAGTTTGAGCTCCTTGATCCGCTTTTCTGAGCCACTCAGCCGGAAAATGCCCTCAACTTCGGTTGCCTTCTCTTTCAAGAAAACACCGCACTTGGCAACGACAATGGGGACATAGCCGTAAATATAGCTTTTCCCGTTCTCGTCGACGAGGGAGATGGCGACGTTTGCGTACGCGATACTCTGCCGTAAGGGTACGCCGAAGATGCCTGGCGGAGCTTGTTCTGTTGGAGACGCATGTTAGCTGGCTGTCGTTGCTTTCCGAAAAAAAAAGAAAAAAAAAGAAAAAAAGTGCAGTCGCCCCACGTTCCACACGCAGGACCGAGCCAGTCAGTATCGCTGCACGCTGTCCGTCCCCATATGTTCCTTGGAGCTTTTCCCTTGGTCCTCGGTAGTGGCCATGACAATGGGATGTTGTGCAACAATTCTAGCCTTATCGCATCGCCCTTCCATAGTGGCACAAACAGCGTGGCGCATGCCTAGTGGCACCGTATTTCGCACGTCCTATTTCCCATCGGATGATAAAAAAAGAAAAACAGAAAACAGATCCGTAAGGAAAGGTAGAGCTGGGCAGACACAAAGTTGCACACCCCAAGCCGCAGCAGGCACAGTTGCAGATTGCAAATGCGCACTTGTAGATGTCCCAGCAAAAACGGTGGGCCCGGGTGGCCAGTACCGGCACGGGGCCAGGGGGCTGGAAATGGCCCCGGCTCTCGTTTTAAGCGGTTGCGCAATTTCGGTAGATGTCGGCCGTTCCGTCCAGGGCCAAGAAACAAAAGTACCATTATTCGACCACAGCCATAGCAGCAGACAAAGAAAGGGTGCGAGAAAAGAAAAGAAAAAAATGGAGAAAAGAGCGCAATTTATTTACCTTGAACATCGTGGTTTCGTGATTGGAGCTTGAAGCCCTTCCACCACGATTTGAGGTCGCGTTTTGTGGGCGGCGAGGCAGCGGCGGCTTGTGGTGGTGGCATCGTCACGGGCGGCGGCGAAGCAGGCGATTTCGGCTGGCGGGTTTGATGCGCGTTCGGAGCATGAGCGTGTGCTGGATTCAGGGACGCTGCAAGATGGTGCGACCGTTGTTGGTGTGGTTGGGCCTGTGCTTGTCCTTGCGCCTGCGCCAGCGCTTGTGCCTTGAGCAACTGCTGCTGCTGCTGTTGCTGAATCTGTTGTTGAAGCTGGATTTGTTGGGCTGGTGTGTGCTCCCGAGGCAGCTGTCGCTGTTGTTGCGGAGGCTGCGGAGGCTGCTGAGGCTCCTGCTGCTGTTTTGGTGGCTCTGATTGGGAGGGGCCGCCCGACAGCTGGGCGGGTGTCGCCCCTGGTGGATTGGTTGAGGGAGGACTAGAATCCGTCATCTTTGCAGACGGCGACGATGGCGACGAACGCGACGCGCCGGGGACCCGCGCAAGTCCTTGTCAGTTCTGTGAATTGACTGCTCGAGTACAAGAGGGCGGCGACTGCAAACTGTCTAGAACCGCAGATCGCGAGATCAACGGAGACGTGTCCCAGGCGCAGGAAGAGGCCAGCTTAGCAGCGACGCGACTGTCAATTACGTGGCGGGAACGGAGGCGTAGAGTGCGGAGGCTGCCGAGAACGCTGGGAAGGCTATCGACACTGGCGCAAAGGGCCGCGTGGCATATGCGGTATGGTACGCAAAGGGGGGAAGCAATCGTTGAATACTGTCGTTGGCGGCATAGACGGACGGTTCGCAAAGGACGTGGACGCGTAGGAAGCAGGTCGACGCGAAGTCTAACGAGTCGTTTCGAGTCGGTTTATCGAGAAACGAGCGCGGGTTTCGGGCGAGACAGGGGCGGGACAAACTGCGCAGACGTCGTGATGCGAAAAGACGAGAAAATTCGAAAGTCGCTATGCTGGTCGAGTAAAAGAAAAGGCGGCGCTGCGATGGGATGAAGAGATTGCGTTTGAACAGGGTTGAACAGGGCAGCGAGCTCTGGTCGAGTCGGGCAACGTCGAGCGCAGAAACAGAAACGAGGGAATTGATTGAAGAAACAAAAGTTGGCAAGACACGGCCGGCAAAAGAGCAATAGCAGTCTTTGTGTGAATGCTGCGAGGGGTGATGGGAGGGGGGGCGTGAGGAACGGCGTATGTACCGGCCGCGACGACTATGTACTCCGTAAGTTCGAGGTAAATAAAAAAAGTCGAAGCGCGCGCGACCCAGCGCCAGGAGACGAAACGTTGGGAGGCGACCAAAAACGGGGGGTGAAGAAGGAGAATGGGGGGAGGGGGGACAGTCAGCCAAATGCCAAATGCATAGAGCCGACACGGTCAAGGCGTGGGAAAGGACCACTTCTGGTCGCGGTCGATTTGTTAGGGGGCGCGTTGACAATGACAAAGAGGAAGAGATGGAGATGAGGGAGGGAAATCAAACAAGAGAATGGAGGTGCAAATAAGTCGACGAGAGCTCCAGGAGGGGGGGGGGGGGGGGAAGGGGCAAACAAAAGCAACTACAATATGGACTCGGGCAGTTTCAGTTAGGAAAGACTCTGGGCTCGCGTAGGAAAGGGCGAGTCTGCGATACAGTATTACTTCGCAGAGAACAGAAAGAGCGACCAGATAGTGGGAAGGGGCCTGAGAAAGCAGCGACAGGGATAAGAAGGAGCGACTGTGGCGCTACTGTCGGCGGTGGAGGCAGACGTAAAAAGAACGCCGTCCGGCTTGGGCTTTGTTGCTCTCTGGGCGGGAAAGAGGGATGTGCAGGGAGGTATTTTTGGGAAGGAAGCAGGACGGGTGCTGGGAAGGAACGAAGGGTGGCTCGGTGGGTAGGGGAATTAGGAGGAAAGTGGAAAGTGGCGGGAGAGCAGGAGCGACTCATACGTCGTAATATTTCGTACTCCGTGCTCCGTTATAAAACTAGCCAGGGCAGGGGAACCGGGAAGGCGGTGGGTGTTTTGCCCTGCTATTGCCTGCCCTGTCCTGGCGGGCTTTGACTGTCATGTTAGTCCTGATCCTGCTTCTATTCCAGGCAGCTGACAGGTAATAACGATTGGGCGGCGGGCCGGGGTAAGATACGTGGGAACGGGACCTTAGTGCGCATGTGCGCATCAGAAGCGAGAGGGGCTCGAGGGGGGTACGGGAAGAGACGTGCAGAAACGGTGCGGACAAGCAGTGTTCCAAGTGTTCCAGAGCCCCAGACGGTGTCTTTTGTTTCTTTTAGTGAAATTGCTGTTTCTAAAAAAAGGGAAAACGGTGGTTCTGGACTTGGACAACCAGCCTGGCCACACATGGGCCGCTATGAGTCGTTCTTTCCCGTTTTTGTTCTTGGTCGGTCGCGCCTGCTATTCTGCATTTCTTGTGGGTTCTTTTGTCCTGCTTTTCGCCATATTCGTACTCTGTTCATGCTCTTTGCTCATGTACAGAATACGCCGCGATGTCTTTCGTTCTTTGTCCCCGCCTAAGCACCCACAAAGTACCGTAGCTTCCCAAAGCCTCCCAGTACTCTCAGTTGCCACCTGCAGACCCGCGCCTACGGGCCCAGTCAAATCAAGCGTTCCTGCCCATCCGATCTAGGCACGCACCAAACTGCACCAAGGCAAGCCGCGTGCAATTCCCATTGTTCTTTGTGGTGCCTCATGTTTATCGACTTTTGAAAGTGAAGAGTGTTCTATTTGTCGCCTATTAAAGGAAAGTACCAGCAGGAAGGCCCAAACCACGTTGAAAACGGAAACGAAACAGGGGTTTCCTCTGCAATGATTTTCTTATGTAATTACTCTGTATGTTGTGTACATTCCCCGGTTTTATTTCTTTGCAGTTTTTCACGCTTATTTCGACTGGGTAAACCTGGCAGCATCTACGGAGTGAATCGTCCATAAGCCAAGACAAGGAAAAAGGAACCACAGGGGCCAAAGACCAGAAGAGGGCTGCGTAGGAAGGAACGGCGGAAAGCCAAAAGCGGACGACGAAAAGCAGTATACGGCGAAACAGAGCTAATTAAAGTCAGACCAGGCCAGGCCGTGTATACTGTGAAGCAGGCCTGCTTCAAGTCCGCAACAAAACCTCGAACCTGATCTTTCGTGGGTCTGGAGCCTAAAGCTGGTCTGGGGAATTGTCTCGTTGTCGACATCACACGCCGGTTCTGCGATATTGGTATGATGCAAGGGCGGGACGAAACGACGCTCTGAACCTTGAAATGGCAAACTTCATAAACCAAATTTTGTCGATCTGAAGGGAAATTCATATGTCGATCGCAGCGGGTGGGCAGAGGAGACAAGATGTGGGCGGGCCAAAGAGACGGGAACAGACAAAGGACCACTGGAGCCCAAGACGTCGACGGAGGGGACTGCGAAGCAGTCGCCGTTCAGACGGCAGAAAGCCGCAGCCGGGTTTCTTTCGACGATCATTTTTGACAGTGCAGAAAGTGAACAACACAAAAAAAAAAAACCCAAAAACTTTGCGAGTGTGGCTTGGAGGAAGGACTTTACGAAGAAAGGGCCCACAATGTGATGTGACGCCTGGCCAAGATCCGACATCAGACCTCAGCTGTCAATGAACCATCGCAAATGCAGCCACCCGAATAGGCGCACGATGACATCTTCTTATCTGCTCGTGCCTAGACTTTTCTCGTGTTGCCCTTTGGTCCATGCAGCTCCAGCTCCAGCTCGATCCTACGAGAGCTGACAGCTCTTCCGTAAAGCTCGTGAATTGTTGACGGCGGGTCTTGGGGGCTGTACGGAAACGTTGTTCTGCAACTTTACAATATCGACTTGTAAATGCCCAGTGCCCCAGCCTCATTTGTTCCGTTGGTACGATCCGTACGATACAGGACAATGCGACGCCATATCAGTTGGGAAGCCGTCAGGAACCAGACTGGACTAGAGCACGGTCGTTTCCTGCCTTCTGTTTTGCCTCGCCTTCATTTTGCCCTTCCAATTTATTTTTTGGCTGCGCCCAACAGGACGACGTCACAACAGCCTGCATTGGTGCCCGCCCTGCCGCCTTTCTCCCAAACACTGCTAGTCGCGGCAGGCCGACAACAACGACGAACAAGTGACAGAAGAGAGTCGACGAAAAGAGGCGACAGGGGTGCAATGCAGGATGGATCTGTGCTTCGCCTCGTTCGTTTCTTGACTGCCATGTTGTGTGTTTTTCTGAGGGTTTGGCGTATCGTGAAGGACGACGATGTGGCTCGGAACTCTGACAGTGTCCACAAACCAAAAAAAGGAGTAACAACACAATGACATCAAACGCGACATCTTCTTCCCGACTGACACGTGGGTTCTCGCCTGGAAGAATTTAGTTTGTCATACGCGGACTACGAATTATGAGGATCTGGAAACGCTTGGAAATGTTTGAAACGGCCGGCCACAGCAGACAACCACCAGGACGGTGAGATCGCCGCGCATGTTTCCATAATTAGACGTGCTCCTCTGACCTGTTTCTGGCCCCCTCGCAGCCGGCCTTGCCTCCGGCCTTGCCTCTTGGTCTGCACATTGCCATCATTTGTTTCGGCGGCCTGCGTGTGTGGCCCAAACTGGGGCACATGGGGCAGTTGGTTGCATGAGCATGGTCTTGTGAGCAGTGCGTATGGAGGGGCATCTGGAGAGAACAGAGGCTAGCTGGCTAGGACAGGTGAGGAGTGAGATGCGGGTTGAGTAGGAGAGCCGTAACATACGACTATATACTGGACACCAGACGGGGCGTCGATTGTCCAGCGGTCCGTCGGTGAAGCGCCTGACGGGTACAGAGGGTCGTCCGGAGTTTTCTGCAGAACGCTCTTTCCCCCTGTTGGTTTCTCAATACTGGTGTCGTACCTCCCATGCAAGAGTCGTGGTTTGTGCACGTTGAGGCAAGCGCGAGGCGCAGGGCAGGAATGCGGAGAATAGGCAAAAAGCACGTAGAACACAGAGAGGAGAGCATCCTACCCGCTACCCGCGCGCCTGCCCGCAGATGTTGAGAACAACGTAAGCCAACGTCCTCGTACCCTTGCATGGTCCCACAGTGAGAATTTAAAGGTGGTCACAAGGATTTTAGGTGACGCTGAACAGGTCTCAAGCATTTCAGGTGGTGAGAGTCGCCTTCCGGGACACTTTAGGCTCCAGCTTTCAGGACAGCTTCTTGGGTGCTTGTGTTGCGTGTTCTGTGATTGGCTGAAATGATGACTAATGGTTGAGGACCTGGAAGTTGGCTGGCAGTTGGGGCTGGCCACCGCTGGACGGGGCCCCGCTTTTTTAGCCGGGTACAGTAAGTCGGCCATCGACAACGAATTTTCTTGGTTCCCCATCTTGACGTATATCGAGATATTCGATTTTGACGAGCGCCGACCCCGGTCTACCACACAACGACAACACTTTCTACCTCGACGAACACCGTACCTTATACACACGCAACTTCTAACCCCAAACGAACTGACACGAACTGACATAATGGACGGGTATGCATCCCTCCGTCGAACTACGCTGCGGCTTGTCCGGGCCGTGTCTCTTCCTCGCGACCGGCTGCCCCTCGTGACCTCCTCGAACTGAATCGCTAACCCATTGTCTTCTTTCTGTCGCACAGCCTCACTGCTGCCGAGACCCGCGAGCTGGAGCAGCGCATGCAGAAGCGCCAGGTGAAGGAGTTTATCGGGGTACGCGCCGTCCTCCCATGGCCTGGCTGGCAGGTCCATTGATTCCTATATATTAACTTTGGACGACAGGTCTTCTCCAACCTTGTCGACCACTGCTTCGCTTCGTGCATCGACGACTTCACTTCCAAGTCCGTGTCCACCCGCGAGAGCGGCTGCGTCACCCGCTGTGTGCAAAAGTACCTGGCCACGCAACAGCGCCTGTCGGAGCGCTTCCAGGAGAACACGGCCGAGATGAACCAGCAGCAGCAGCAGCAGCAGCGATAGGCGGGCGAATCGTGGCGCGATGGCGGCACGACAAGGACTCTCGTGGTGACAATGACAAAACATGAAAACGAAAAAGTACAACGCATGACCGGCGTCCGATAGACGGAGAGAGGCGGACAACAACCGACATACGATACCGGAGTTTGGTGGCAAGACGCCTCATTGTATTATAGCTACGTGAAACATGGGACATTGGCTTGGACATTGACATGGACGTGGACATGCATCTTCCATGATTATTGGGAACGGGGACGACCCTCTCCTTTGAATAAGGATGAAAAGGCGACACGCAGGGTACGGCTCTCGTGACAGTGCAAGACAGTACATAGACAGCCCTTGGATGGACGAATCGCATCTTTTTTTACATTTTACATGACAAATGCTGCGTACCGGCTCCGATTCTCGCTATTTTTGTGTTCTGTCGCTCGTTCGACGTATCCTTTGTACGCCGTCATGTCGTATCTTTCCCCGAGATACAATCTAAAACAAAATGTACATACATGGCATGGAAAAGCAAACATAGCATAGCAGCCAGCATCCAAATCGCGAGACAATGGCAAAGATCAAAAAACGCGAAAAGCCAAACAGAACAATAAACACTTTGCCCCCCTCCCCCTTCACCCCCTTTTTCCTGGTGCTACTCCGTCTCGTCGTCGCTCAAGATAATCTTGACCACGCCCATCAGCTGCAACACCTTCTCCTCCAGCCGGTTCTCCGCCAGCCCCTTGAGGTGCTGCGCCTCGGCGGACCGCCACTCGCCCTCGCGGGCCCCCAACGGCACCAGCCGCTCCCGCAGCAGCCGCGGCCGCGACAGCCAAAAGTCCACGCTCTCCAGCACCAGCGCACCGTCCCATGCCACGGGTGCAATGTCGCGCGCGTGGTTGACCCGCAGCACCTCGAGCACGCGCGTCAGCAGCGCCAGCGAGTGCACTTCGTTGACGGACAGGAGCGTGAGCGGCGCGTCGCCGCCGCCCTTGGCACTCTTGCTGGTGTCGCGGAGGGTCGCGGCCGACGTGCGGCTGAGGCCCGGCGCCTCGAGCCGCTGCACGCTCGCCTCCAGCAGGGTGGGGAACTGGTTGAGCACATAGGCAATCTCCGGCGCAATGCTCGTGCCCAGCGCAATCAGAATGTTGAGCAGCAGCGGCAGCACGGCCTTGGCCCAGATGCTGTAGCAGCGCTGCGCCACCGCCACGTCCGAAAACGGCGACACGCCGGGCCGCCGCATGTGCGCCGCGAGCCCGGCCGACGTGAGGTGGCTCAGGAACCCGTCGCACGCCAGCTGCTCGGCCACCACCGGCAGGGCCGACAACTCGAGCAAGAAGAGCAGGCTCAGCTCGCCGTACACGGGGTCACGGTCGTCGACGAGCAGCTTGTCCGACCATGAAAAGAGCGACGTCGCCACATGCAGCACGTCGTGTGAGGCCATAATGTTGAGCACCTGCGACTGGCAGTCGTTCATACCCGGCGTGCTGAGGCACGCCTGCAGAACAGCCGTCAGCAGCGCCAGGTCCTCGGGCCGCGACTCGGTCTCTTCGTCGTGTACAATGGTCACCAGCGCGCGGAACCCGTGCGCCACCACGCGATCGAGGACGTTTAGCACGGTTTGTGTGGTGGACACCACCATGGCGCCGTCCTCGGACGCCGTCCCACCTTGCGTCGCAGGTGCTTTGCCGGCGGCGGCGGCGACACCGCCGTCGCCTTCGACACTGCCGATAGGAGCATTTGCGCCGGCACCGCTGTTGCTCTCGCCTTGGCCGCGCCGCGACCCGCGCAGCACAATGTAGAGGATGCGCAGCAGAGTGCGGAAGTAGGGCGTCCGCTCGACCGACCACGGATTCTCCACGCTGTGGATGCTCGTCCACACCGTCAACAGCAGCTGCGACACGTCCTTGGGCAGCAGCGCGTATTCCGCGAGCCGCTGCAGCAGCAACAACGCCAGGTTGGCCCGGCTCTGTGCAATCTTCACAAAGATGAGCTCGGGGCCTTGCCTGTTCTGGTTCGCCGCCAGGCACTGCTGGGCGAGCTGCAGCATGACCACCGGCAGCCGCCGGTTCTTGGGCAGCAGGCACACGCTCAGCTCCAGCAGCAGGACCTCCCACGCGTGGAAGAGCGCAATCTGCGCGTCCACGAGTGACAGATTGACGTTGGCCGTCTGCATCTCCTTCTGGAAGCCCTTGCTGCCGGACCAGGCCGCATCAAACGACAGCATGCGGTCGGCGAGGTCGAGCGCGTAGTAGAATTGCGGGCCGAGGTCGCGGCGCTGCAGCATCGACCGCTTGAACTGGTCGAGCGAGCAGCCCGTATAGCGGTTGCCAAAGTTGCGCTGGAAGTTGGCATGCAGTGACGCATTGTAGCCGCCGACCGCCACACCGTCGCGGATGTAGTAGTCAATGTCCTGCACGACGTCGCGCGCAAACACTTCTTCGGTTCCCATCTGCCGCATGTGGTAGAGCTGCATGGCAAAGCTCTCGGCAATGTACGCCGCAATACGGGCCTCGTTGCACGCCGCCAGCGCATCGGTCTTGGCCGTCGTCGCGGCCGGTTGCAGGTCGCACACATACGCGCGCATGCTGTCGAGGTAGTCGTTGTCGCCGCGGATCGCAAAGATGGTCCACGGCCAGTAGTTTTGTGCGGCGGCGAAAAAGTCGAGCATGGCAAGCGACTCGACGTGCGGCAGGGTCGATATGGATTTGAGGGCCTCCTTGGCCTTGGCCAGGGCTGAGTCGGACGACAGCTTGGTCAACTTGCCGTCCGTCTGGAGTGCCTCGCGCGGCGTCTTGCCCGTCAGGAGGCAGTTGGCCATCCACTGCTGCCGGTGCCGCAGAATCGTAGAAAAGAACTGCCAGATGCGCGCTGACTCCGTCGGCCGCTTGAACGGCTTGTCCATGGCTAGAAGCACGCCCAAAAAGGACCGGGATATTTGAGGGCCCAGGTAACCAAGCAGCGACGGCGGTTCGCTAGCCCGCGCGGCTGCTGTGATGATGAGGTCCGTCAGGAGATCGAGGGCCGGCCGCAGCGTGCTGTCGCTGAGCGCGCACAGGCGTGCCGGCAGCGAGGCGATCTGGAAGATTTGTGTCTCCAGCGCGGGCGCCTTGCCGGTCGTGTCGATGTGGTTGGTCACCTTGAGCAGGGCCGCCGACAGCTCGAGCGCGGCCACCACGCGGTCCACCGCCAGCTTGTACCGCTGGGGGTATAAAGTAGACTGCGGAAGCTCGAGGCCGAGGAGGAGGGAGGTGAGGAGGGGTTGGAAGCGCAGCGACGAGGATGAGGAAGACAGGAAACTCTTGATGATAAATTGGGCGGCCGGCTCGAAACAGGAGACCAGGCTTTCCTGCTCGGTCGGGGACTCGAGACTAGACGCGTTGACGACAATGTCCCGCAGGACGCCGATGGCGCCGGACACGAGGCTGGCACGCTGCACCTCGGATGCGAACTTCCAGGTGCTGGTGTTTTCGTACACGTCGACCACCGTCTGCGCAATGGAGAGGCTGACCTGCGTCAGAGTCTTGTCCGACGTGCCCAGCCAGATGCTGTCGTCGTTGCTCTTGTGCTGGTTGCTGCGGCCGTTCGGCTTGGTGGCCACTTTGCGCTGGACGGCGCTGTTCATGGCATTCTGCACGAGGCCGGAGAGGAAGCGGATGGACACGTTCAAAAAGTTGAAGCGCTCGGAAACAACGTCCGAGGCGCCAGTGAGAATGCACAGCCGGCCGGCACTCGACTCGGTGTTGAGCAGCTGGCACCGCGCCATGTAGGACCAGACACGGCCAGGGCAGAGGGGTAGGATGGCAAGCAAGAAGTCGACGCAGACAGCGAGCACGGCCATGCGCGACTCGTCGGTCTCGGCCGGCCCGTCCTGAATGAGGTTGTCGAGGGTGTCGCAGATGACAGACACAATGTCCTTGGCCTGTTCCAGGTCGCGGCTGGCCTCTTGGACAATGGCCAGTCCAGCCTCGGATGCGCGCGCCGAGTCCGCTGGCTGCGCGTTCTTGGACGCTTTGCGGACCTCTGAGCGCACCAGTGCCGCCAGCAAACGAATGGCCTCGGCGACTTCAGACTGCTGCAGAAAGCCGAGGACAGGCTCGTACATGTCGTCGGACAAGTTCGCGTCGAGGCGCTTGCCGAGGAGTGCGATCGTCGAGTGCTCGTAGTCGATGTTTACGATGCCGCTGCCGTCAATCATGAAGCGACCGTACGAGCCAGCCGGGATGACAGCGACCTGCTTCTCGTTGTAGTACGCCAACCGCTTCCGCGACGCTCCGGTGGGGAAGAGGGGGATGTCCTCAGTCAGCTGCATCGTAGCAGTCGCATGGTCAACGTCGTCAATCATGGCGTAGCCCTCGAAGCCTGGCGGCAAAGTAAATGTGAGGCTCGGCGTCTGGAGCAGCGACTCGACGACAATGTCCGAGAGCCCGGGTGTCGATGTGCATGCTGCGAGGAGGCGTGAGATGGAGACGAAGGGTGTGAATTCGTAGGGGAAGCGGTTCAGCGAGTTCTGCACGTAGAATTGCAGGAGACGGCTGTCCTTCAAAACAGCCCGGGCCACGGTCTCGTCGTCGTCGGGCAGATCCCACGTCTCGTGGCCGCCAGACAGGACAGACAGCAGTGCGCTGAGGGGGTCGGCCTGGTAGCCGACAATGGGGAAGCTGGCCGTGAGCAGCTCGAGGAAGACGAGGCGGACGCGTGGGCCTAGACCGGGGCGGAAGGCGGCGTCGGCGCCGCCACCGGCGCAGTTGGCCATGGCGATGACGACGTCGTACACCTGGCACTGGTCGGTGGCCGCCATGGCAAGTCTCGGGACCAGTGGCTCGCCCTCTGCAGCATGAGGCAGGATTTGCTCGTTTAGGAAGCCATCGTAGCGCGCCGGTTCCAACGACACAATACTGCCGACAGAGCTGCGGCGGCCACGCGGCTGCAAACTCTGATGGATGTGGAAAGGCTGGTTGTCGAGCTCGAAGCCGTCCTGGGCCCGCTGGTTCTGGGCAAGATCCCGCCGCTCCGTACGCTCTTGGAAGGACACGTCCATGCGGTGCAGAATCAGCGACCAGGACAGAAAGACGGGACTCGCCGTAGCCAGGCCGCCTTCGGCTGCACTGACAATAGCGCCGTGGATGGTGTCGAGGACGTCCGTGTCGTTGATGTACGGTTCTTCGTCGCCTTCGAGCTCAAGGTCATGGTCGAGGTAGCCAATGGCGCGGTTGAGGTTCAAGAGAACCAGCGAGTTGACGCAGACAAGCGTTTTCAGTGGCAGAATCAGTTCTGCCATGGCTTCGAAGCCAGGTGTGATGCCGTCCAAAAAGCCGTACTCGCCGACAAAGCTGAACCACTCGGCCGTCACGGCAGGCGAAAGGAACGTCCGCCCGCATGCTTGCAGCACCAGGAAGATGACCGACAGGAAATGCACCGCTTCCGCCAGGGCTGTCTGCACCCAGTCGTGAGCAAGCTCCTCTGTCACGACGGACCCTGCGCACTTCAAGGACTCCTGGATGCCAGCCCCAGCGCGCTGCATGCAACCCCGCAGCTCGGCAACGTATGTGGGGATCGATTTGAGGAATGCACGCCCGTCCAGGTCGGCGCCTGGTGCTTGGCCGAGGCTGCCCTTGACGATCTCGCTGCGCAGGGTTTCAATGGCCGCGTTGACCGCAGGGAGAGCCGTGGCGTCGGCGTCGGGAAACACGGGCGCGCTGTGCAGGATGAGGGAGGTGATGTGGTCGGCCGACTTGGCCAGGGCGCGTCGTTCGGACAGATACGTCGCCAGGAGGCGGCGCTGGCGGCTCTGGTCGGTGTTGTACTCGGTCCATAGTTCATCGGCGTCGACGGTGGTCTCGGCGGCCGGCAGGCTGCTGCTGCTGCTGCCCGAGGCGGCCTTGCGGACGTTGGTAGCATCCTGCGAAGACAGCGGGCTGGCCAAGAACGTGTGCGGTCGGCTCTGCAGCTCGACAACGACGATCCGGAGAGCAGCGACTTCATTGATGGCGGCGGTCTTGCTGAGCCAGCGGGCATCGGCCTGGATGGTCTTGAGGTCGTACTTGTCGGTCGAGGAGGGCGTGACGTGGATGGCGGCGGTGCGTGTCTCGAGGGCCGCAGCAGACTGCGCCGTCGGTGGTGCAAAGGTCGTTGCAGGGTTCTTGAGGAGCTCGAGGACAAACGGGTCCTTGAGGAATTCCGTCACCGCGGCCGAGGTGAGGCGGTCGCCGGCCGTGTCGACGAGGGCCGAGGCGATGAGTTTCCACGACCTGGCCGGTTAGTAAGGCTGCAAGGACACACAACAACAAGGAAACATGGGAGACGGCAACCTACAGCAACGCCGTCTCGCCCTCGAGGAGGCCCCCCAAGGGCGGAAAGTAGACGTTGTCCGGCGGCGGCGCCATTGTAGGAAACGGCTAGCCAGCGAGCGCAAGCATCTGCCGCGTGAAAAGCGCGCTCGGACGGTCGATTGAGGAGCCCGTTGCGCGTCGTTGGACAAGAAAACAAACGAGTGTGAGACAGATGCAGGGCGGAGTTGGCGGTCGTGATGCCTGTCTGCAGATGGTGTGTTTTGGGACGTCCGTTTGAAGGTATCGTGAGAAGCAGTGGCAGAAAAATATTATCAGAGGAAACAGCCAACTGCAAAAGACGCGGCTGGAGCTTCTCACAGCCTAGCGCTGGTTGGTTATTGCTGGGCCTGACCTGAATGGCAGGAACGGGGACCGTTGGCGTGTATTTTTGTGGGGCCAAGAGCTTTGCACTAACCAATGCCACCGCTCGCAGCTTCCTTTCCCAGTAGCTTCACTTAATCAACAACAGGAAGGGGCAACTCAAACGGCGTCAGTTTTGGAAACCACGACGTGCATAAGTTTACGATATGAAGGAAGGAGCATCAAGTGTCAGCCCCTTTTAATCTCATGTACACAAATGTATTTTTATAACTTTTAGCCTTCTTGTGTTTCTTACTCTCCGCATACTGCACAACACAGTGACGGCAGCCCTTTTTCGCCCTCAACATTCACGACAAAATCAATGTCACCTTTGCGCCCTTCAGACCCGGCGCACTCGCCGATACAGTCACATTCTTCCCGGCGTCGTCCGAGCCCTTGGCCCGCACAATGGCAAGTGTCAGACCGCTGAAGGCTTTGCGCGTCGCGCTGGGAAACGCCGTCATGTCGGTCGGGTCGCCGTTGTCCGTCGCGACGAGCTCGCCGGCGCCTGCCACCGTGAATGTGATGGCGTTGTTGGCCTGCGGCACCGTGTTGCCGTCGGCGTCGACCACACTCGCGGTCAGGTACGACAGATCAAGACCGTCGCCCGCGATCGTCGTGCGGTCGGCGACCAAGTTCAGGTGGGTGGCTGCGCCGACGGTCTTGACGGCGTCGACAGCCCACTCCTTGCCGTTCTTGTACGTGACGACACGGAGGTCCCCCGCGGCATAGGTGATGTTGTCCCAGCGGAAACGGTAGGTGTACTCGGCCTTGTTGAGGCGGCCGGCCGACTGGCCATTGACAAACAGCTCGGCCTCGTCGCCGGACGAAAAAACGTGCACGGGCGTGACCTTGCCCACCCGGTCGGGCCACGTCCAGTGCGGCAAGATGTGGGCCATGGGCACGCCCGGGCGCCAGCGTGCCTGGTACATGTAGAAGCGGTCCTTGCGGAAACCAGCCAAGTCGATGATGCCAAAGTACGAGCTGCGTGCATTGTTGTACGGCGTCGGCTCGCCAATGTAGTCGAAGCCCGTCCAGACAAACTCGCCGGCCACGTACGGGTGCTCGTCTTGCATCGCAAACACCTTGTCGGGCGACGAGGCCCAGGACGGGGCGTACAGGTCGTAGGCGCTGACGTACATGTTGGCGTCGTCGCCGCCCGAATTGCTACCCACAATGGCACTGTACGCAGACGTGACAGGGAAGATGTACGTGCCGCGCGAGCTCAGCGTCGAAGCGCTCTCGCTGGTCCAGATCATCTTGTTGGGGTATGCCTTGTGGAAGCTTGGGAAGGACGAGAAGTTCGACGTGCCCATGCCCTCGCCCTGGTAGTTGAGACTCTCCACGTCCATGACATCGGCGAACGCGCTGCCAGCTCCCGCCGAGTTCATGGACGCCGTGGTCGGCCGCGTTGGGTCCTCGGAATGGATCATGTCGTGCAATTCCTGGGCCACCCGCCGCGACGAGTCGCTCTTCTGCTCACCAATCTCGTTACCATAGCTCCACACGATGACGGACGGGTGGTTGCGGTCGCGGCGGACAAACGCACGCAGATCGGCCTCATGCCAGTCGGAGAAGATGAGGTGGAAGTCGTTGGTGGTCTTGGCGCCGGCCCAGCTGTCAAAGATCTCGTCAAAGACCAAGAAACCCTTCTCGTCGGCAAGGTCTACAAGCTCAGGCGCCGGCGGGTTGTGCGAGGTGCGCAGGGCGTTGCAACCAAAGTCTTGAAGCATCTCCAGCTGGCGCTCGGCGGCGCGCACGTGGAAGGCGGCACCGAGAGCTCCCTGGTCGTGGTGGTTGTTCGTGCCCTGGACGCGCACCTTCTTACCATTGACGAAAAGACCATTGTTGGCGTCGTACGTGATGCTGCGGACACCAAACCGGGTCTCGTACGTGTCGACGACGGAGCCGTTGACAGACAGAGTGGTTACAGCGACGTACAGATGGGGCTTCTGGTCGGGAGGTGGACCCCAGAGCAGCGGGCTGGGAATGGTGGCCGAGCTGTTGGTCGATGCAGTGCTGCCGGCGGGCACAGTGAGGGCTGTCTTTGCAAACGCAACGACAACGTCCTTGGCAGCGCTGCGCGTGGCTGCGTCAAAGACGTGCACCTCGGTGTGAACGTCGACTTGGCGGCTCTCCGTGGCCGTGTTCTCAACCTCGACAACAAGATGGGCCGTGGCGCTGTCGGCGGAGACAGCTGGCATCGTAACAAAGGTGCCAAACTGGTCCACATGCACGGGATCCACCTTGACGAGCCAGATGTTGCGGTAGATGCCGGCGCCCGGGTACCAGCGCGAGTTGTCCAGTGCGTTGTCGAGGCGAATGGCCAGAGTGTTGTCGCCGCCGGCCACAACATACGGGGTCAAGTCCAAGCGGAACGAGGCATAGCCGTAAGGCCAGCCGCCCACGAGATGGCCGTTGAGCCACACAGCCGCATACGACATGGCGCCATCAATGTCGAGAAACACCGACTTTCCCTTGTCCGCGGCCTCCAATGTCACGTTGCGGCGGTACCAGCCCACGCCGTTGGACGGCAGACGGCCCATCCCGCCACTCACGCCCGGCGCGCCAAAAGGGCCCTTGATAGCCCAGTCGTGCGGCACGTTCACAGCCTCCCACGCGCTGTCGTCAAACCCCGCCTGTGCATACTTGGCATTGATGGCTGCGGGAGTTGTGGAGGGCACCACGGGCGGCTGGGCCTTGGATGGGGTGAATTTGGTGGACGACGCAAGCATCCATGGCTTGAGCGTGGCGTACGAGAGCGAGTCCGGGTTGGACGTGAAGCGTGAAAAGCGCCAGTCCTTGTTGAGGCTCAGCCGCTGGCGGACCTGGTGACGTGCCGCTGCTGTCGCCGGGTCGCCCTCACTGGGAGTATCTCTGCTGACGGCATGTGCCGCGACAGAGTGCAGACCAGCCAGCCAGAGTAGTACGCACAAGAGCACGCTGAGGCGTTCCGAGACCCTGGAAGAGGGCATCGTGATTTGTTGCTGCGGGGACGTCTGACGGTACTGGAGATGCCGTGCACCGGCCGAGAGATGCAATGCTAAGCGATGTTGGTCTCGGAAAGTCGAACACGAAGTCGACGTGCACGAGCGTGGCCGAGCGATGCCTCTCCTTTTATACAATCAGCGTTGCCCTGCCACGGCTCACAACAAACACTCACACCTGCCTCCGCGCAGACCCGACAGCAGCATCCACGAATCGCCATATCACATCGGCAAAGGCTCAGGCTCAATACGCGCACCCTGGTCAATAAACGGATATTGGAACGATCAACAAACACGCGGGGCAGACACGACTCCGCATCGTCTGGGGAAATACGTGCAGCCCGCTCTTTAGCCAAAGATGATCGCCCGTCGCAACACGGAAACGGAAGGTCAGCCAGTGTGTTTGCACGCAGCCAAGACTATGGTATGAGAATAGGCCGCAGCTCGAGCTTGTCTAAGAAGGTGCGCAAAGCCATTCTTTTCCGTCCCAATAGTTGTGTTTGTCGTCATTGTCGTTGGCCTTGGTTTTGAAACCAGAGCTGCCAGAGCTATTCGTTCACAAGGTTTATCACCGTCTGCGGAGATCACATTTTTCCACTACGACGTGACATTGGACGTCGGACGGTCGGCCTCCGCATCGTCACGATGAAATCCCATGTGATATTGGTGCAACATGGAAGCAAATTCATGGTGACAGTCCGGCAGACATTCGGAGGACCGTCATCCGATACGGTGCGATTATCATACACACTGTATTGTAACGGACGACTGTGCCCACTAGATGCTTGACCGAAAATGGAATTGACCAAACAATTCCACATGGAAGCTGACAGAAGTCCTCGAAAAGCAGCCCGCTGCACGGCACATTTCATCCCACGATCTTTTGAACGTCAATTCGGCCGATGTTTCCTCATAGGACACTCAACATGGCCGTGCAGTCGCGGAACAGTGCGCACTGTGCGGTACGTTTACACGCTAAAGTGAGATACAGCGTGTGACAATACAAAGCTTAGCACAGAAAATTCGGTGGCGGCCAGGGCCCAGGCTAGTCCGTGTTCGGAAGCCTTCGAGTCATTGCACATCGCTCCTAACCCAAGACATAGTGTTGGAGCGAAACCGCACTTGCTTCCAAATCACGACTTTGGCGACAAAACACAGCGGCCGCTTTTGTTGTCTTGCTGCGTCGTCTTTTCTGCGCCTCCTCCCGCCCGGTGCAGACTGAGCATTGTCCTCCCTCTCATCCTCTCACGACTACGGCAGCCAGAGCACACAACACTCACACGCATCTACCCCGCCATGGCTTCCTCGTCCGACATCATCGACCACTCACCGCACCACCCGCAGCCGGCCGAGCCCATCCCCACGGCGTCCAATGTCATCCTCATCGACAATTATGACTCCTTTACCTGGAACGTCTACCAGTACCTCGTCCTCGAGGGCGCCACCGCGACCGTCATCCGCAACGACAAGATCACCATCGACGAGCTGATTGCGCTCAAGCCCACGCAGCTGGTCGTCAGCCCCGGACCCGGTCACCCCTCGACAGACTCGGGCGTCAGCCGGGATGCCATCCGGCACTTCTCGGGCAAGATCCCCATCTTTGGCGTGTGCATGGGCCAGCAGTGCATCTTTGACGTCTACGGCGGCATGGTGGACTCGGCCGGCGAGATTCTGCACGGCAAGACGTCGCCGTTGGGACACGACGGCCGGGGCGTGTACGCAGGACTGTCGCAGAATCTGCCCGTCACACGGTACCACTCGCTGGCTGGCACGTACGGCAGCCTGCCGCCGTCGCTCGAGGTGACGTCGTGGATCGCCAAGCCGGACGGCTCACGGGGCGTGATCATGGGCGTGCGCCACAAGGAGTACACGGTGGAGGGCGTGCAGTTCCATCCGGAGAGCATTCTGTCGGCAGACGGCCGCACCATGGTGCGCAACTTTTTGCTGATGCGCGGCGGCACCTGGGCGGAGAACGAGGCACTACAATCGGCCGACAAGGCGGCCGCCAAGACGCAGGCGTCGGGTTCGGGTGCGGCCGCGCCCTCCAAGAGTAACAACATTTTGCAGCGCATCTACGCACGCCGGAAAGAGCTCGTGGCAGCCCAGCGCGAGATTCCGTCACAGCGCTTCGAGGACTTCCAGGCCGCCTACGATGCCGGCGCTGCACCGCCGGCGCTGTCCCTCGTCGATCGCCTGCGCCAGTCGCCCTTTTCCGTGGCGCTCATGGCGGAGATCAAGCGTGCGTCGCCGTCCAAGGGCGTCTTTGCCATTGACATTCGCGCGCCCGAACAGGCGCGTGCGTACGCCCTGGCGGGCGCCAGCGTCATCTCCGTGCTCACCGAGCCGGACTGGTTCAAGGGCAGCATCGAGGACCTGCGTGCCGTGCGCCAAGTGCTGCAGTCGATGCCGAACCGGCCAGCCATCCTGCGCAAAGAGTTCATCTTTGACGAGTACCAGATCCTGGAGGCACGCCTGGCGGGCGCCGACACGGTGCTGTTGATTGTCAAGATGCTCGATGACGCGACGCTGGCGCGTCTCTACAAGTACAGCCAGTCGCTGGGCATGGAGCCGCTGGTTGAGGTGCAGAATGCAGAGGAGATGACGCGGGCGGTCTCGCAGCTGGGCGCCAAGGTGATTGGCGTCAACAACCGCAACTTGGAGAGCTTCGAGGTGGACCTGAAGACGACCAGCCGGCTGCGCAGCATGGTGCCGGCCGACACAATCCTGTGCGCGCTGAGCGGCATCAACACCCGCGCCGACGTGGTTGAGAACGAAAAGGACGGCGTCAACGCAGTGCTTGTCGGCGAAGCCATTATGCGCGCGGCCGACCCGGCCGTGTTTATCCGCCAACTCTGCTCAGGTGCGACTCCTTCGATCCCCACTCCCTCTTCTTCATCCTCTTCGTCATCTTCATCACGGACAAGCCCCTTACTCGTCAAGATTTGCGGGACGCGTAGTGCGGAGGCGGCACTCGAGGCGGCGCGCAGCGGTGCTGATCTGGTCGGCATGATTCTTGTTCCTGGCACAAAACGCTTCGTGTCGGACGAGACGGCGCTGGCCATTTCCAAGGCGGTGCACGAGTATCAGGAGGACGCACCTGCATCGACTACGGCGACAGCTACGTCAACGTCAACATCAACATCAACACACATTGCAGCCGACTTCTTCGACCAGGCGCGGACCACGCTCGCCAGCCTCCACAATCGCCGCCCGCTCTTGGTCGGCGTCTTTATGAACCAGCCGCTCGACTACGTTCTTGCCAAGCAGAAGCTCTACAGTCTCGATGTTGTCCAGCTGCACGGCCGCGAACCCGTCGAGTGGGCACGCCAGATCCCCGTGCCCGTCGTGCACAAGTTTGCTCCGGGTGAGCCTGGTGTCAACCAACGCGGATACCACGCTGCCACGTTGTTGGATTCCGGGGCAGGGTCGGGCACGAAGCTCGACTTGTCGGCCGTCCAGGCCGAGCTGGCGCGCGACCCGAGCCTGACGTTTATGTTTGCGGGCGGTCTGACGCCGGCCAACGTGGCAGAGGTGCTGACGACGCTGGGCCCAGAGGCGTCGGGCCGTATTCTGGGCGTGGACACGAGCAGTGGTGTCGAGACGGACGGGAAACAGGATTTGGCCAAGATCCGGGCGTTTGTGCAGGCGGCCAAGCAATTTGGCCAGTAGAGGGCAAGCATACCATGATATTTCAACGTTCATAGACAAGAAAGAGAAAAGCTCCATTGACATTTTCATCATCATAATTTATCTAGACGTTTTGGTCTTATCAATCTCATGGACTCGTTGCCTTTGCTCCTGCAGCGTTCTTCATCACCCTCTCGTCTTCTCACTGACTCTTTTCTACAGACTCTGACAGCAGTCTTCCCATCCAGACTTGCATGACAATCTCGTCACTCTTTCGCTCCTCATGTCGCTGTCAGCGCCGGCCACGTCCAGTCGAACCAAACCAAAAACTCGGATCCTGCGCGACGTTACAGTCGCCATTGCCGGCCATCTCGGGTCCGGCTGGTCCGATGCCGACGTCGCCCGCTGGACGGCCTACAACGGCGGCCGGTTTGTCGCGACCATGACGCCCGACAACGAGCAGGGCGTCACGCACTTGCTGTGCTCGCGCGAGGAGTACGCCAAACCCAAGAAGCAGCGCTGTGCCAACCTGAAACTGGCTCTCGAGGCCAAGACCGTCCGCATCCTCCTGCACGACTGGCTCGAGGACTCGCTGCACCGGCGTCGCCGCCGTCCGGAGCGCAACTACCTGCTCACGACGGTAGCCCGCCGCGACGCCCGCCAAGAACAGCTGGCCGCGCTGCGCGAGCGCGGCCGCCGCGAGGGCGAGGTGTTTGTCGACAGCAGCCTGTATCGGCTGTACCGCGACAGCACCGGGTTCGCGTACCGCGTGACGCTGCGGCGCGACCACGCCGCCGCCGGCGTGTGGGGCGAGCGGTACGTGCTGCACCTGTTTGAGTCGTTTGCGCAGCCGCCGCTGTACTGGTTTGCGGCGCGGCACTACAAGAGCCGGACGCACACGCAGCCGCGCACGTTTCGGCCGAGCGCGACGTGCCAGCTGTTTGGGACGGCGTTTGGGCAGTTTTGCGGGTTTTTCCACAAGAAGACGGGCGTGGCGTAGGACGCGCGGCTCGTCGGGGCGCCGGCGTCGGCGGGCGACACGGTACATGCCGACCTGCCACCGAAATACTTTACATACGAGCGGCCGACGGGAGGGATGCCGGTGGGCGCTATCGAGGATGAGCAGAATGTTCCGCCAGAGGAGGAGGAGGAGGAGATGAAGGGCGTGGAGGAGACAAAGGGCGAGGAAGTAGTGGGAGGGGAGAAGGAGATGAAAGAGGAGAAAGGGGGGAACGAGGACGAGAAAGAAGAGCAGCAAATCGATAACTGCCGCAACAAGGACAATGAGGACGAAGATGTGAGCAAGAAAACAGAGGAGATGGTGGCAGTGCTTTAATTCCTGGGCACAATATCCTTATTTAGAGAGGCGTCGTCTGCGAAGATTAACATGCATAACTTCGATTCGTTTTCCAATTCTAGTATCGTACTTGTGTGGCAACATAGGACAGTGCTTCGAGCGTATGCTGTCTTCGTGCAATGGGCTCAATGTTTCTCGTATCTATACAGGGCGTAGTCACCATCATTCGCCTGTGCGATTCCCTACAGCCTCAGCTTTGGCAAGAACAAAAACAGAAGCAGCAGCGCCAGCATCGACCCGTACACCATGCCCAGCAGCAGCATACGGCCCCACCAGCCTTTGCCCTCGGCCATGAGCGACAGCACGGCCATGCTGCGGCTCGCGGCCGAGAGGCTGTCCGTGGTCGTGTTCATGCCCTCGCCGACGCGGTCCACCACATCCTTGTCGTCCTCGAGCATGCGGGACGTGAGGAGCGACTTTTCTTTGAGGGCCTGGGCGAGGCGCAGAATGTCTTCCGACAGAACCTCCTGCTCGCGGCGGTGGTGGTCGAGGACGGCCTCCTCGGTGGCGACGCCGGCGGACTCGCCGTCGCCGCTCCTGTCAAAGAGGGAGGCCGATGTCGTGCGGGCAGTGTCTTGTGTCTGTGTGTCGCTGTTTGCTTCCCCCGCTTCGCCCGCCTCGTCTGCCGCCTCCTTCTTCGCCTGCTGCCGCCTCCTTGATCGTGTCGTCATTGCGGTCGTTGTCGGTGCGTCTCTTGCCGACCCCCATCGTCTCCGTCGCCCGGCGCCGCTATCCGCACGCGGTTCGTCTTCCTCCGTCGTGGTTTCCGTGGCTGGCTTGTGGACGTCGGTGTCGGTGCCGTCTCGGTTTCGGCGCTTGTCGGCGTTGCCAGTTCTGGCTGCTGTGTAGGTTGTGTAGGTTGTGTCGGCTGTGGTTGTGCCGTCTGCACGGAGAGGTCATGTGTGCTGCCGGCACCGCGTATCGAACGCACGATGTGAGAGGTATCGTCATCGTCATCGCCGCCATCTTCTGAATCGCCATCCGCCTTGTCCTCCTCACCCGCGGCCGCCGCCCCGCGATTGAACGCAGCCGCCGCACGTGCCTCGTCGTCCAGGTTGTCCAGCCGCTCCTGCAGCAGCTCCACCAGCGCCCGCCGCCGGTTCAGCTCGGCCTGCACCTCGTGCCGCCGCGACAAGACTTTGATGGACAGCGCGCCCTGCTCCACGCGCGTCAGCAGCTTGCGCGCCGCCGCCACGTCGAAGCGGGCTTGCAGGCGCTGGAACTCGTCGGTGACCAGGCGGCGCCAGCGGTCGCTGTCGGCCCGCAGCAGATTCTGTTCGAGGCGGGCCAACAGACGACCGAGGTCGACATAGGGATCGTAGGAGGCAGAAGAGGTGTTGGAGGAAAAGGACGAGAAGGAGGGCGCCGGCGACGCCGAGTAGGGCGGGGCGAGGTCGGTGCGGACCATTGCGACAGGGAGCGCCGTTGTAGTCGGTGTGTCAAATGATTGGCGACAATGCCCTTGGTATGCGTGGTGCAGACTGATGTCGCGAGACTCTGGGAGTTTGTTTCGGCGACTATTTGTGGAAAGCCGTCGAGGGCGTCGGCGTCGGTGTGTGTTTTTGTCACGGTCGCGCCTGCCGTTGATGCGACGTTGGCGGGTTGGTAGCGTTGGCGCAGAAAAGGTGAAGTTGTCCTTCCGTCATCGTTTGCGTTGTGGCGCGAGCTGCCTGTGGCTGAAAATTAGCAGCGCACAGCCGCCCCGATTCACCTAGTCCAACATAAGGAGAGAACAAGATGGCGCACGTCACAACCACAAGTACAGTTGCATCTACCAAGGCCGTCCTGGCAGTCAGTTCACCTTTTCCCACTGTACAGAAAAGATGTCGCCCCCTTGGCTATTGTTCCTGGGCGGTTCGGCGCTTGCCGAGAAGGAGCGCAGAAAACGCAGCGATAAGACGAGATGGTATTTCGTTCTGGGATACAAAGAGGGCCAAGAAGGGCGAAGAGAACAGGTGGAAAGCATTCAACGGCCTTATCCAAAGCACTAGACGTATTCGCTGCCTTACACCAGATGCGGTTATGTCCAGGTTAAGTGAGATGGCTGGCAACTCTCAACATATGTCCTGCCTAGGTATCTTCAGTCGTCTTTTCTCCATTTAATTCATTTAATTCATTAAAGTGTTCCATAAATGATATATTTGTTTTGGAAGATCGACGGCTTGGTATGTAATAGAAAATATTCTTTTTAAGATTCTACTTTTATATACACATATACGTATTTTTTTTAAAAAAAAAATCATTATGATGAAAATAACACTTTTACTAATAACTGTAATAATAAACTTACAAGGCAGAGGGAGTGATAAATGTAATCTTACCAAATGTGAAACTCTCAACCCCAACGTAGCTAAATGGAATCGTGTGATATTTATCTTGTTTGCCAGTGCGCCTATGAGTTTTTGACTGTATACTTCACACCAGACAACACTGTTGCCGAGCATACGCTTGATCACACCCTCGCCGGCCGATGCCTGGCACACGATCAGTTTACGGGTGGCGCCGGCGTTATGTGGTAGCATATTGCTTCAAAACGGCCATGTGCTCAACTATGGCGTAGCGATGCTCCAGCAACTTCCCACCTCGCACAACAGCCGCCACGTCGGCCAACGTGGTGCCAGTTCAAAGGCCCGGCACGCCCACCAGTTGGAGTTGACAAAGTTATCTTCAGTTTCAGTCTTGTACGGGCGGAGAACCAAGAATGGTTCCGGGCCATACATGAGAGGCAAAACTACGCACCGTAGTACCCTGCAGTGGCCGTGGTATGAGACTTTACAGGGAGGTGTGTCTTATCAACGACGTCGCGTTATGCTTCAAGTTGGCTGGTGAGAAGGCAGTCGGGAAGCCGGGAAGCACTGACGTGAACATCCGTTACTGGCTTGCCACTACAAGGAAAGGCAGCACAGTTTGCTGTCCACGTCAACCTCTCAGCTCTTTGAGAGTTTATGCATGCTTTATGCAGGCGTTAAGCAGGCCTGTATGGCACCCTCATGTATGTCGTATTCCGTCACTGGATGTTTCCACATCAGCTGCCGAATACGCCGGGCATCGTCAGGTTAAATAGTGTCCATCTCGTATTGCGTGCATTTCGTCAAGCAAGCACTCTAATGCGAAGACTTTAGCAGTACGAAAAAACGTCCACTGAGACACAGGTCAGGATGTCCCCCTGGGCCAGGCCTTGTCGGCCTGGGAAGGTGGATCCACTGGGACTAGCCTATTCGGGCCTGGCCGCTGGCGCGCAGTAGGGGATCAGGGGTAGTTCTGTTTTTCGGCAGCCCTGTATTTCGTAACTACGAACATGCGCGAGCTGAGGAGGATGTCACCCAAAAGCAGAAAGGCGCGATAGAAATCAAACCGAATTTACCGTACCATGCTTCCAGCATCTGATCTGGCCGATTCATCAGATGCGCGCGGTGAGCACCGTCGAACAGCCACTGAGTAGGTAAGGGGAGGGGGCGATCGGCACAATCACAATTTATCTCGGCTTCTACACAGTTCATGTAGAGACGCACGTCTGGGGCGCTCCACCATTTTCCATATGGCAACAAGGGAGGCGGAGCGATCTCTATGTCTGCTGAGTGATGGCGGCGCATTGTTGTGTGCGCCCAGTGCATATGTATCGTATGGTGCAATTTTCGTTTTTGTCTGCTGCCCCGGGCGTGCCTAGGGCTTGCATTGCAGAGAAAACGGGCTGCGTGTGTCCATCGTCAGGTTTTCTGGACAGAGCGGGACAGAATACGAGGCTATGGCGCGGATACGAGCAATGTAAGATATTTGTGCCCTGGACACTGCAGCCAACCCGTTCGGACACAAATGTCACACGGTGGCTGATACGAGGTCACAGCGCGGTGGGCGTGAGAAGGCCAGATCTGGCCTGGTTGCTTGGGTCTTGGGTCTTGGGTCTTGGGTCTTGGGGCCTGGACCTGCCTGGACGTCTGAGCTGGCCGAGAACACTGGGTCGCGTTTCCTGTTTACTTTGTATGCTTTTTGGCCCGGCCTCACTTTGGCCCCTGTGCAGGACGCAGAATCCCCGTAGCGCTCTGCGTCTGGATATATCTTACTGCACTCTTACAGGGGACAACGCCCATATCGAGCGGCATCTCTCTACTATTTTCTTTATTTTCCTCGCTGTGGGCACTGGGTTAGCCCCGATGCCCCTAATACGGGGGGCGTCGTCGCGCTCTCCCGGCCAATCAAGGCAGCTGCGTGCTGTGGTCGTGCCTCCATTTTTACCCTCCATTCTCTCGGCCTAGCGCTGCTGCGTGTTTCTATTTATTGTTTTTCTTATTGTTCCACCCCTTTGCTTGGTGGTGGTTCTGGTTCTTGCCTGCACTTGCCTCAACTCCACTTTCACGGTCGCCGCTCCTTCCCTCGTCCTGTGCCCCCTGGTCCCCTCTTCGTCGTTGCCGCTCATCGTGTCGATTCCCGTTCCTCCACCTAATTTTCAGTCACCTAATTTCTTCGTTTTATTTTTGTCTGCTTCGTTTCTTCAACTCTCGTTCCATACCACTCAATCGTTCCTCCATCTCGCGACGGCACGCCACATTCGCTTGGTTCTTCTTGGTTCTTCTTTTGTTTTTCTTTTCAGCCACGTCCCGCCACTCGTTTCAGCGGACGCCCTTTATTCGATTCTTGCTTCGGCCTCCCTCCTATTCACCTAATCCGTTGTTTTGTTTGTTGTTCCTCTGGAATTTGCAACGTCTTCGCTCGCTCCACCGCCTGCATTCCTCGTGCCTCTTGCAACCGCAAAAAAGAGCATTGCACAGCATCTCACCGAACAAATCGACGAACAACAACATTACTCTGTCGTACTGCGCCTTCAGTGCTCCAGTGCTCCAGTGCTCCACGCGTGGTCCATCCCCGTGCAATCTGCGACCTTTCGCATATCGTCTCTGTGCGTTGCCTGCACTTCTCGTGCAACAGAACGAGCCGTTGCTTCGTCTGCATCGCCCACGTCGCCATACCCTCCTCGCTCTTCCCTGGACCCTGCTCGTTACCGCAGCTGCAAGAGCGGCCTCCTTTTCAACCTTGTTGAAGTCCGTTTTTGGGTTTGCTTTTGTTTCACGCATACTTGACTTGGATATCTCGATCGTGTTGACCCTTTCGCTCTTCTTCGCCCAACCCTCTCTTCTGAGCCGACAGATCTGACCGTCGACGTCCTCCACGATCAAGATGAAGCCGTCACAGTCTCTTGGCCGTGTGGCCTTTGCCCTCCTTTCCATGTCCACCGTCACATCCGCCTTCTCATGGTCTCCACTGAACCTCGACGCCTTTGTCGTCCGTCGTGCCGATACCACAAAAACGAGTGAGTTCCAGAAGTAGACGAGAGCCTGCGTTGGAGGGAACACCTTGTCAGATCACTAACCTTGTCGCAGCAGCATCTACCCCTCCGGCCCAGACCCCCGGCCCCAATGCCGACAACACATTCAACCTCAACACCGGTGCCCAGGAGACATCGACAACCACGACCGCGACCAAGGACGGTAAGACGACCACCGGCAAGGACACTGCCAAGGTCACCCCCACCGACAAGAATGGCAACACGGCCACCCTCAACAAGACCGTTGAGGCCACTCGCACTACGTTCAACCCCGTCGACCCGGCCGGCGGTGTCGTCATGGTCACCCCTGCCACCACGGCCAACTTTCAGCTGTATAAGATTGGCGACTTCGTCACTTGGGCCTGGAACTACACCGGCCTGCAGGCCACCCCCACAGCCATTGACGTCCTGGCCTCGTGCAGCTTCGCTACGCGCACCTTCACCCTGACCCAGAACATGACCTTTCAGACGCTGGGCTCGTACACCTGGGATACCGGCGCCTACCAGAGCAGCAACGTTGCCTCGCCGCTGCTGACCGAGCAGTACACACTCATCATCTACGACGCCGAGAGCAGTGTCAGCGCCACCGCCGAGGCCGGCTATCTGGACACCTACGATGGCTTCACCTTTGGCATGTACGCGCCGCAGTCCTACACGCCGCTGTCCGAGGGCTGGATGTGTGCGACATGCAGCGGCGCCCTGTCGGACACGGAGCGACGCGCCCTCGGCTTTGCTCTGACCATGAGCATCATCACCGTCGTCAGCTTTACGTGGTTTGTGACGGGCATGCACGTGGCTCTATAGGCAGCGATCGATTCTTGATTCGACAACGAAAATCGAAACAACGAAGAACCCGCGACGCTTGTTGGGACTGGACTTAATTGTCATGTGAAACCGGCTTGTTCTCCCAACGCCTTCTCACCTGATTCCTCGTCCTCTTCCATACCGTCTCCTACCGTCTCCTTTGCACATTCAAGTGCTTGACTTCCGGCGTTGACATTGTATGTTTCTTGTAATTTTTATTTTATTTGGGTTGACATCGCTCGGTGTATCGGGATCTATGGGGTACAAAATGTTTACGGAGATTTCTGCGAGACGCTGCTTTTGGTTACTATTTTCTCCGACTTTCTCTCTTTCGGACTTTTTTTCTTCATATGTGTATTGCATCGGGCGACATTGGTTCATGAGCTCACACTCTCTCCGTCTGTTTTTTACTCTATTTTCATAGCTATTTAGCTCAGCGTAATGAATACCACTGCATTACAATTTATCTGGCATGAATGAATCTATGTAGTCCGTACAATCGCACAATCTGCCTATACCATTCGTAATGAGAACCCGGCGCCGCGCTCTTCTTTGTCGCGCCTGCCAAAGATGCCCGTAAAGTCCACGGCCCCCAGGTCTGCCACGGCCGCCCCGCGCTGCGGCGCATTCGGCGTGTCCCGCCGCCGCCGCCGCTCTTGGCCCGCCTTGCTCGGAAACGTCGGGAACATGGCCTCTTGTTTGGCCCGCGGGTCCTGCCGGAAGTACTCGTGGTCCAGCATCTCGTCGGCCGTCGGCCGTTTGGCCGGGTCGAGGGACAGCAGCGACGACAGCAAGTGGCAGCCGGCCGTCGTGAGGAGCGGGAACTTGGCGCGGATGGCGGCTGTTGTTGTTGTTGCTGTTGCTGTTGCTGTTGTGGAGGGTGACGACGGGAGCCGCAGGGCCCGTGCGTTGGGCAGCCTCCGAAACCCTGGCCACGTGGCGTCCGTCGGCACGCCGCACAGGTCAAAGATGCGCTTCAGCTCATCGACTTCGTTCTTGCCCTGCAGCAGCGGCTCGCGCGTCAGCAGCTCGCCAAAGATGCAGCCGACGCTCCACAGGTCGACGGCGCGACCGTAGCGCCGGGCGCCCAGCAGCAGCTCGGGGGCGCGGTACCACAGCGTGACCACGAGGGGCGTGAGGTGGCAGCCGGCCGACGACGACGACGACGACGATGACGACGGCGTGGCCGCCTCCTCGCTGTAGTACCGGGCCATGCCAAAGTCGGCAATCTTGAGCTGCCCGCGGTTGTTGAGCAGCAGGTTCGACGTCTTGAGGTCCCGGTGCAGGATCCAGCGGCCGTGCAGGTACGCCACGCCCGCCGCCAGCTGCCGCAGCAGCGTCTTGACCTCGGACGCCAAAAAGGGCTGCGGCATGTCTTCCAGGATGCTCTTCACGTCGTGCTCGACAAACTCGAGCACCAGCAGAATGTTGTCAATGGGCCGCCGCTCGCCGACCACCACCTCGCGCAGCGCCACGACGTTGCGGTGCGCGCAGTCTCTGAGCAGCTGGATCTCCCGCAGGCCCGTGACGGGCACGCCGCTGCGGTCGTGCGGGTCCAGCTTGAGCCGTTTCAGGGCCACCACCTCGCCCGTCGCCCGGTCCTTGGCCCGTGCCACCCAGCCGTAGGCGCCTTCTTCAATGTCGTTGAGCTTGTCGTAGCGCTCGACGCTGCGGCAGGGGTCGGGGAGGGCGCCGCCGCTCAGCCGCAAAAGACGGCCCTCGGGGGCGGCTGTGATGTCGCTTCGTTCTTTGCGGCCGCCTCGTGGTGGCGGCGCTCGCCGGACGTCGTCGCGCTCGGGTGTGTATTTTCGCCGTTTCAATGGGCGACCGTCGCCGTCCACGCCATCGTCTGTGTCGTCGTCCTGCTGGCTTTGTGCTGCCACTGCTTTCCGTGCCGCTTCGGCGGCCTCCTTTTTGGCCCTCTCGATCGCCTTTAGCCGCTTCTTTTCTTCCTTCTTCTCCTTGTCTCTCCGCCGCTTCTCCTCAAAGGCTGCATCCTCTTCTGCGTCGGCCCAGCGCGACTTTGCCGCGCTGGCCATGTTGGAGGCGCGTCTGGGCTGTGCCTGTGGCTGTAACTGTGAACGTATTGTAACGTGGTGTATTCGTTCGGTTTGCGAATTGGGAGAGTCGATATCGAAGTGGAGCCTGAGGGAAGGTTCGATTTGAAGAGGCGCTGTCTGTGTACAAAAGAGAAGGCGCAATGCTCGCTTGCTGTAGTTGCCAAAAGTTTGAAAATGACGTTGCAAGGCGCCAGTCGTTGTTTCCCAGTTGAATTCGCAAAAGATGGCCTAATCAGCCAATCAGAGCTTCTAGTCCCAGTTGGCCCACATTATTTCGAGAGCCTCGCCATGCGACTTCAGCGCCAGTTTAGAACCTCCGTCGTACATCGACATTAAGCTCCATGGCCGGGCTCTCCATTTGGTTTTCAGTCCAAGCCAAGATATTTTTTTTTTGCTGGTATGCTGCCTCGTTACCCAAAGTTTCGATGAGGAAGTGAAAGATATACTGACTTTCTTGAGTTGACCAGCAATGGACTCATGAGCCCGACAAGAACTGAACCATTTTGATCTTGGTAAAATGAGGTCGATGCGCCACGCTGCCTCAGCGCGGCGGCTGTTGAGGCCATGCTGTCAATGGAGTATGACAAGGCCATGGCAGACGAGAACCGCTGGTTTACCTGCTCTTCTTGCGCCACACAGTCGCCAGGTTCACCGCCAACAGAGACCATTTTCCTCCTCTCCCATCCGCCGAGACGAGAACGAGAGTGAGGAGCGCAAATGGTCTACGCCGCTGGCCAAACAGCTGGCCGACGCGATATCCATCACAGGACCCATACCACTCGCAAGCTTCATGCGCATGTGCCTGACATCGGACATTGGCGGCTACTACACCGGCGCCCTGGCCGACACGGGCCGGGACCCATTTGGCCGCACGGGTGACTTTGTCACATCGCCCGAGGTGTCGCAGGTGTTTGGCGAGCTGGTGGGCATCTGGTTTGTGGCCGAGTGGATGGCGCAGGGCCGGCCGGCCGCGGGTGTCGAGCTGATTGAGGTCGGGCCCGGTCGCGGCACGCTGATGGACGACATTCTGCGGACGATCCGGCACTTTGGGCTGGCCAAGAGCCTGGAGGCGGTGTACATGGTGGAGGCGAGCGCACAGCTGCGGGCGGCCCAGAAGAACCTGCTGTGCGGGCCGGACGCCGAGCTGACGGAGTCCAAGGTGGGCTACCGCGGCGTGGGCAAGCACGGCGTGCCGATTGTCTGGACCGAGACGATCCAGTCGATCCCCAAGAGTGAGTCCATCAACGTGCCCCGAGCAACGTAGTGGAGGATCCGTTTTATGTTTTGTTGCTGACTAGTCGGTGCACAGGCCCCGATACCATGCCTCTGATTGTGGCCCACGAGTTCTTTGACGCATTGCCCATCCACACGTTCCAGTCGGTCGTCGTGCCGCCGGCGCCCAGCGAGGAGAACCCGTCGCAGCCATCGCAGCCGTCGCCCTCCGTCACGGTCCGCACGGGACATCTCTCGCAGAGTGCCAAGTCCGCCTCGCCCCTGCAGTGGCGCGAAATGGTCGTCACGCCCACGCCGCCGGGCTCGACCCACGAGAGCCTGGGCACGCCGCGATCGCAGCGCCCGCAGCACGCCGAGGCCAGCAACGACACCAGCCCCGTCCCGGACTTTCAGCTGACGCTGGCACCCGGCGAAACCCGCCACTCCCATTACCTGCCCGCCATGTCGCCCCGCTACCGTTCTTTGCTCGAGCGCATGCCCCAGGGCGGCGCCATCATCGAGGTCTGCCCGGACGCGGCGCTGTACGCGGCCGAGTTTGCAGCGCGCATCGGCGGCACCGCGGCGCACCCCAAAGCGAAACCAGCGGGCGCCGCGCTGATTCTGGACTACGGCCCGGGCGACGGGTCGATCCCGGTCAACTCGCTGCGGGGCATCCGGCAGCACCAGATGGTGAGTCCGTTTGCGGAGCCGGGCCTGACCGACCTGAGCGCGGACGTCGACTTTGAGGCGATTGCGGAAGTGGCGACGCATGCGAGCGAGGGCGTCGAGGTGCACGGGCCGGTGGAGCAGGCGGATTTCTTGCTGAGCATGGGCATCCGGGAGCGGGCACAGGCGCTGGCCAAGACGGCGGGCCTGGGCCAGGACGGCGGCGCGAATGAGAAAGACGCCAAGGAAGCCAAAGCAGCCAAAACAGCCAAAACAGCGGCCGCCGACATTGAACGGTCATGGCAGCGGCTGGTGGATCGCGGCCCGAACGGCATGGGCAAGGTGTACAAGGCGCTGGCGATTCTGCCGGAGAACAGCGGTCGGCGGCGGCCGGTCGGCTTTGGCGGCGATGTCGTGCAGTAGGGTGCTTTGTCATATATGAACGGAAGTTAAGATTGTACAACCAAAGAAAAACTAGACATCATAACCAACGTTGTGCCAAAATAGTGCAGTGTTTTACAATATACGGAAGGCCCGCAAGCCTGAACAAGTGTCCGATCCCGCATCGATCCGCCTCTTTGTTTTCAAATACATCATTTGATATCGAACGGACCCTTGACCTTATTTAAATGTTGTCCTTTCTTCCGTCTCGAGTGTCCACCGATTACTTCTTATTTTTTACCAGGCCGGACTCCTCACCTGATCCCTCGTCGTCGTCATCCGAGAACTTGTCACCGTCACCCACAGCAAATATGGTATCGTCGTCGTCCAGCGAGTCGCGCTGGTGCGCGGGCTTGGTCGACGACTTGGAGGCCGACGCAGATGTCGAGGCGCGCTGCAGCGGGTTGGACTTTGGTATTGGTTGCGGCGGCTGGGCCGGTCGGCTGCTGCCGCCTGCATTGGACGAGGCGGCTGCGTTGTTGTTGCTGTTGCTGCTGCTGGCACCCAGGTTCGCCTCCTCGGCGCCCGCAGCGCCCGCCCGGTCTCCGTGACCGGCACCGGCACCACTGCCGTTGCGGCCGCCCGCATTCGGCTTCAGCTGGCCATCGTCGTCGTAGTCGTCGTCCTCGTCAAAGTCGTCCGGCACGCCAATGTCCATGTTGGCAATCTCAAAGGTCCCGTCGTCGTCCTGGGCAATCTCGTCGCTCATGGCGAACCGGCGGTTGTTGGCCGTCGGTCGCCAGACGTAGGCCACAAAGGCGACGTCGGCAAAGTACACGAGGTTCATCCAGCCGTCCAGCACAAACCAGCGCGTCTTCCAGTGGAAGGGCACAAAGTCCGGGTCGCTGGACGAGGCGAACGAGAAGCTGTTGAAGAAGAAGAAGGAGAAGAGCGTGATGATGCTGAGCAGGATGCACCACCACAGCTTCTTGTACATGGTCTCCTTGGCGTGCTGCTTGCGCTCGCGCAGGTCCTTGAGGGTAAAGTTGAGCGAGTTGAGCGTCCAGACGTAAAAGGCCGTGAGCGTGCCCGCGAGCGGCAGGATAATCAGCAAGACATACGGGCCGGCGGCGTCGGGCGTGACCAGCAGACTCGTAATGGCGTACACCAGCCCGAACACGAAGTGGGCGACGGCCAGGATGCGCACGTACCACATCACACGGCCCAGCGAGGACTTGACGACGCCGTACCCCATGCACACGATCAGCAGCAGGAAGAAGGAGAAGGAGTTGCGGAAGGCGTTGAGGACGGCCACGACGACGAGCAGCACTTTGGAGCCAATGTTCGCGCCGTGGCGGTTCAAGAAGTCGTAGAAGCCCCAGGTCATGAGCATCTCAAAGACGAGGAAGATCAAAATGGCCGTGATGTAGTTCTGGACGGCCAGGATGTCGGCGCGGTGCTGGTAGTACAGGAAGCCCCAGAAGACGGCCACGACGGCATAGAGGATGGTGATGCCGCCGTAGAACGGCAGCTTGGGAATCTGGGTGGCGGGCAGCTCGCCGTACGCGTTGCGGAACTCGATGACGGCGCCGTAGTCGGTGGCCTGGAAGGGCGCCGTGACGACGCAGTAGTAGCCGGTCTTCTTGATGGAGTAGTTGACGGGCTCGGCGTTCTTGAGGTCGACGGCCTTTGTGAAGACCAGGTTGTTGGATTTCTCGGTGGTGTTGGGCTGGAGGACAAACTCGCCGAGGCTCGTCGCGTTGCAGTAGCCGAGCTTGACGTACTGGGGCTCGCAGATGATGACCTTGGGCTTGGACGGGTCGGGCTGGTCGCCGATAAAGGGCTCGTCGCGCCACTCAAAGATGAGCAGGCTGACAATGGGGTCCACGGGGCCGTCGTACGTGTCGAACTTGACGAGGATGAAGGGCTCGACGGCGCCGCCCCACGAGCTGCGGCTGTACATGCCTGGCGATGTTAGCGGTTGTGGTCTGACCATGGGCCGACGTCGTCCATCGTCGCCACGGCAAACTTACCAGCGCATCGCTGCCGATTGTCTTCTTGTTGGTTCTGTGAACGCATACTGTCAGCTACATTCGACGACGGTCGGGCAAGAAACAGGAACCCCGGGCGTCCTCGTACGATTCGTTCTTCAAAGGCTTCCACCACCGTTGCCGTCCACAATGCCAGCGCAAACAGCGCCAGCATCCGGGACAGCCATCGAGCCATCGTCGGCGGCTCTTTGGTGATCGCACACGTCAATCAGAAGAGGAAGCGGCGCTCGAGATGGCGACTGCGTCGAGAAGCAAAGGTGCGTTGAGGCGGATGGAGCGTCGAGAGTTTCGAAGGAACGCAAACAGGGGGTGCAGGCGGGTGGATGCGGCAGTGTCGGCAATGGCAGCCAGTCCTATGCGTAGACTCTCGGATTCGATGGAGACAATGCAATCGACAACGCGAGTGCGGCGAGGCAGTAAAATGGAGAAAAACTGTCAAGGAGGTCAGAAGGAGAAATTCGATGCAAAGACAAAAGCGTCTCGGCGGCGGGTGCTGGAAAGATGGAACGAGGCAGGTGCGCAGTGCTGGCCTTCTTGGGCTGCTCAGCTCAGGCCTGTATCGTATTACTGGGTCCAGGCCACCTAGCGTAATGCGGTAGTTTGTCAAAGCTAGGCGCCAGCAGTGCGGTACAGCGGGCTGCTTGGGATTTGGGGTAGCATTTAGCGTGTTTTAGGCGGGCGGACAGGGCCTTACATCACCTACAGCTGGCTCCAAGACCACCGATTCCGATAAGATAAGATGCTACGTATGCACACCAGCCGGATCAGGCAATTGCTATGGGAGCTCGAGGAAGAGGAAGTTGCCACTCAAGGTAAGTAAGATACGATGGTCTGTTTACCTTGCAAAAGTATCTCATCCAAGCTCATGCACACGGAACGCTACCTCTCCTTCACCTCTACGCTGCACCATACTTTATGTCGTACATGTATTGGTATACATTATTTATTCCCCCATTACAGCTGTCACTCCATCCCTGCACAACTACAGAGCGATTGTTCTCGCCGGGTTAAACGCGTGCAGCCCTTTCCCCTCGTCCTGGTGCGCCTTTCTTTCAATGATGCGGAAGCTGGACTTTCCTGATTGCCCCCTTTTATCGGCACCGGCAGCATCCTCTGCCTTGAAAATGTCGGGGTTCGGCGGGAAGACATAGCCGCGCTGATTGGCGACGAGCCGGACGCCGCCGCGCACAAAGTCGTTGCTGTAGTGCGTGTGGCCATAGATCCATGCCGCGACGCCCTCCCACGGTTTTGTGTCATCGGCCACGCGCCCGGCGTCTGCTTCGGTATGTCTGGTATTGCCGGTATTGCTGGTATTGCTGCCTGGAAGGATGAGTTCCGTCGTAAACGCCGACGCCCACAGACTTCCGGCATACTTGGACCGTGACGTTCCCTCGACGGTCGGCACATGGTGTGTTACGACGACGACGGTGCGCTTGGCCGCCGCCGCCGCGGTTGCGGTTCGCAGTGCGGCTACCTGCTGCCGCAGCCACGCTACCTCTTCGCTGTGCATCTGGTTGTGGCTGTCGATCGTCCAGTCCTCGATGTACTTGACGTCGCCAATGGCGTGGCCGACGACGTCGCGGGACTCGGGCGGGACATGGGTCCAGAGGGTGCAGCCAAGGACCGTGAGGCTGGGAACAGGACTTTCCTGCGCGTCCTCGTCCCACCGCGTGCGGTGCAAGATGCTCACTTTGCCGTTCAGGCTGGGCTCCTTTTCGAGCCGGTGTGCCTCGGAGAGGCCCCTCTCATAGGTCAAGGTATAGAACTCGTGGTTGCCGAGGACGTAAAAGATGCGCCGATAGGACGAGACGAGGCCCTCGAGAAATCCCAAGAGCGGTTCATAGTCGACCAGCCGGCCGATGTCACCGGCCAAAATGAGATAGGCTGCGTTTGTCTTGGGCACCTTAAACGTGGAATACTGGCTGCAGATCTCGAGGTGCAGGTCAGACAGGACGTGGATGGGGCCATCAACTTGCGGTGGTGATGGTTGAGCAGATGCTGTTGTTTGTTTGTTTGGTGTTGGTTCTGGTGACTCTTTCTTGTAGAGAGACAGCCGGTTGGCGAGTTTCGAAAATGCCTTCATTTTGGCAGTGAACGTGTGATGATTGTAGATTCTGCCACTCCTGCTTTCCGAGCCCAGAGAAACGAAGACCAGATATAGTTGTTGACCGGGATTTTGTAGGACTCAGAGGACTCGAAGGACTCGGATCTCAGCCTTGAGGCTGGAGCCTGTGTTAGTGATCGGCACCGCTAGGCTTACCCACCCCTGAATGTTTAGCGCATTGCGCCTACGCCAATCGCTCGCGGCCGCATTACATCACATTCCGAATTTCTGATCCTTCAACCGATTTTTCTGCCCTTCTCAAAACGCACCGGCAGACTCATCCTCTCGACCTCTTCCCCTCCCACTGCAACCATGGGCAAGGGCACCGACAAGCTCTACATCACCCACTCCGAGTGGGCGTCCGCCGACTCCTTTGGCGCCAGCAAAGGCGCCGCTGGTCGCTCCGGCCTCGCCACCCTTCCGAACCACGGCGCCGCCTTCCGCCGCCTACCCTTCAACTACTGCGCCGCCAGCCTGCAGCCCTTCCAGAACCCCGTGTGCACGCCCGATGGCACCATCTTTGACGCCGAAGTCATTGCCGCCTGGCTCGACAAGCAGAAACCCAAGCCCGGCACCAACCCCGTGACCGGCGCGCCGCTGAAGGCCTCTGATCTCATCAAGCTCAACTTTGCGCGCAACGACGCCGACGGCTCGCACGACCTCATCGATCCCGTCACCTTCAAGGTCTTTTCCGACAACACACACATTGTGGCCGTGCGCCACGGCACGTATGCCAATGTCTTTGCGTGGGACACGATTGAGCGCATGAACGTCAAGCCCAGGATGTGGCTGGACTTGATGGACGATGCGCCGTTTACGCGCAAGGACATTATCACGCTGCAGGACCCGCAGAACATGACCGGCCGCGACATGAGCCAGTTCCAGTTTGTCAAGGACGGCAAAGAGGCAGCGCCGGCGCCGGGCGGCCAGAAGGGCACCGACGACGCTGACGGCGAGGAGGGCGACGGCAGCGTCAACGTGGGCGCGCTGGGTCGCATGGGCGAAAAGATGCTGCGAGCCAAAGAGGCCGTCGACAAGGCGCGGCGGGCACGCGATGCGGGCGGCGACGTGAACCGGTCAGCCAGCACGGCCGTGGCCCGGACAGGAAGCGGCAACGGCGCGCTGGCCGCGTCGTCCACTACCACCACCACCACATCAAATACATCTCGTTCCGACCTACAGCGCAAGCCCGCCTACAACGCAGCCACCTATACCACGGGACGCGCGGCCGCTAGTTTCACCAGCACGGGCCTGACGCCCGAGACGAGCGGCGAGCGCGCCGTCCTCAGCGACGAGGAGTGGATGCTCAAGCCCAGGCGCATCAAGAACAAGGGCTATGCGCGCATCGAGACCAACGTGGGCCACCTCAACATTGCGCTCCAGACCGAGTTTGCCCCCAAGGCCGTCTGGAACTTTGTCCGCCTCGCCCAGACGGGCTACTACCGCAACGTCGCCTTCCACCGCAACATTCGCAACTTTATGATCCAGGGCGGCGATCCCACCGGCACCGGCCGGGGCGGCACCAGCATCTGGGGCAAGACCTTTGCGGACGAGCTCGAGGGGCCGCTGACGCACAGCGCGCGCGGCGTCGTCAGCATGGCCAACAAGGGCAAGGACACCAACTCGAGCCAGTTTTTCATAACGTACCGCGCCGCGAAGCACCTCGACCGCAAGCACACCATCTTTGGCCAGGTCGTGGACGGGCTGGACGTGCTGGACCGCATGGAGACGGCGCCCGTGGACAAGGCCAAGGGCGACCGGCCCATCGACGACATTGTGATCCACGACGTCGTTGTGTACGTGGACCCGTTTGACGAGTTCTTGTCGGAGAAGCGCAAGGCGGACAAGGCGGAAGAGAAAAAGGCAGAGATCCAGCGGCGCGGTGGCACCGACGACGACAAGATGACCTGGACCGGCAAGCGGCTGCGCGGCACCGACGACGGCGCGTCTGGCGGGAGCAGCTCGGTGGGTGTTGGGACATACCTTAAGCAGGCGTTGGTACAGCAGCAGCAACAGGTCGCCGCTGCCGCCGACGACGATGCAAGTCTGCAACAAACGCCAGAAGCGTGGGAAGAACCTGTTAGGAAAAAGGCAAAGTCAGGCGGCTTTGGCAATTTCGACAGCTGGTAGCTTGGGCGGGCGCTGGACGCATGCATAGTGTAATTGTATCCAAAAACGTACAACTGTATTGGTAGGCAAGCGTGGGCTTCTAGGTTCGTGGGCTTCTAGGCTATAGACATCAAAAAGCAAAGAAATCGTTTCCATCAAGCCAAATGCAATAGGTTATAGAACGAAAATCTATCCGTTTGTAGAATATGTGCAACGAAGTGAATAAAAAAATGTTAGATGCAAAAAGCCAAGAGATGATTTCAAAACGAAGAGCAGAAAGGGTAAACTGTAAGAGAGTTGAAAGAGAATAAACAAAAGAGCCCAACAAAGGGTTTCCAATATGTAGTCCATATCATGTCATGTATCATGTCAAATCATTCCCGTCTTAATCCTGTGTATGTATGAAGTCTAGTTTAAAATGTTTTGTTGTCCGTGTTCATTCCTTGTCGTTACATCGCAGACGCACTCAAGAATGGTTTTCGTGTTGTCACTGGCGGCGGGGGCGGCATCGTTGTGTTGCTGGTTCGCATAAACAGCTTCAGCCACGGGGACTTGATGAGTTCGCGGTTGCGCACGATGGACGCAATCGACCGAGCTTGCTTAAGCCCTGTCTCGTCAAAGATGGCGCCCAGTCGAGCCACGACATAGGTCTTGAGCTGGGGGCTGCAGACGGAGCTGACGCCCACGGTAAACAGCGGCCAGACGGCCGAATTGGTCACCGAAGCCAGAAGCATAAAGCGCTGTGCTTCTTCGTCAACATTGCGTGCTCGTGTTGGGTTGTCGAGGCTGGGACCACCGTCGTCAAAGACAACTTCGTCATCGTCACGGGCTGCATGGCTACCGTCGCTGCGATCGTCAAAGTGCACAGACGGGGTCTGCACCGACCCGGCTGACGAGATCGGCGACTGTTCTGGTGGCGTGGGTGGCTCACGGACTTCTGTCGTTGAGAGCGGATGGACGACGGTCGGCATAGGTCTTAGTGAATCATAATATGGGTTGACTGGGTTGACCAGACCAAAGTGCTGCGGAATGCTGGCAACAATGGCCGAGTTGACACGGTCCAGCTTCGTCCAGGCCTGCCGGAACGCTGTCATGTACTGGGCCGGCACCAGTTCACCGTCATCACCAGTATCCGGGAAATGCCGCTGGATAGCAGAGAGGACGGTTTCCAACACCAAGATGCGCCCTGCCCGTAGCCAGTTCCACACCGACGCCGAAGCCACACTCGGATATACGTGGCATACGTCGCGGAACACAGCCTTGTGGGCCCGTGTCACCTTGAACACCTTGTAGTAGCAGTCTGCAGGGAAGGAGGAGATTGTCTTGTCGAATTCGGTTTCGATGTCGTCCATGCGCGCGAGGAGCTCGTCGAGGTTGCCGGAGAGACTCGTCGTTCCTACGTCGTGCCTTGCTTGCAGCAGCTTATAGATTGGCTTCCACAAGTTGATCCCACCAAACCCTCCTGGCTCGTGTTCGACCACGATGTTTAGTAGTTCGTCCTGCAGAGCCACCAGCGCCGGTGGAATGGGCACCTGTCTTTGCATGCAGGAAATTGTGACACTCTCGCACAGCATGTTAAACATGCGGATCCCGGCACGCGAGCGGAACTGACTGGCGCCCCGCAGTTTCGCCAACTCCACAGCACCGTTAATGTGATCGTGCCACGTTTTCATCGTCTTGAGACCAGGCTCGGCCATCATCTCAAAGACGCCCAGGATCAAGATGGACAGCATAGTCGTGTCCTTGATCGCTTCTTGAGGGTCTTTGAGCGCCTCATTCGTCAAACAGAGTGCAGTGCCGTAGCTCTTTCGTGCACTGTCGATGATTTCCTCCGAATGGGTCAACTGTGAGATGCCGACAAGACCTACTGCAGTCATGCTCGCCATCACGCCGTCCAACGGTCGCTCCACCGTGAGTGAACCTGGTTTCCAAATATCATAAAGAAAATCGAAACGCTGATGAGACACGTTTTCGTCCATGGTCACGTAGCGAGAAAAGAAAAAGGCGGTGCCGCGTTCTTGGCTCGTGGGTTCGATGGTGTACATTTGTGCAATCATTGGCGTTTCTGGCCAACTGCCACCATCTGGTGATGGCAAAAGAGTATCGTCACGTGTCCATATGAGCTGGTGTTGCTCCTGTTGTGGCTGCTCCTGTTGCTGTTGGTGTATTTCCAGTACGGGCTGTGTTTGGTGTGCTCGTTGTCGTTGTTGGTCATCGCCATCCGCCTGTACTTTTAACTGTGCTGGTGGGGATGCTCTTGGAGACTGCGGTGGGTTTTGGAGAGACTCGGGCTCGAGAAACGTCAAGGGCATTGGCGTCTTGTTGTTTTCGACAAAGTTTGCCCCGTTGTGATGCAATCCAGGAGTCAACAGAGTCAATGATTTTGGCCGCGAGCCAGCCTTGGATGGCGAAGAAGGTACCGTTGGCGTCTTTGGTACGGCGAGGGCAGTTGACGACGATGAAGATGACAAATACGCAGGGGAGCTGTCATCGTCCGGAGACGGAACCGGATCCGGCGTTCGCGCAGAGGCCTTTCGCCGTTGCCTCGCCTGCGCCTTCCGGATGACATGGGAGCTCTCATCACGGAACATGAGATCCACTTGGTTCCGGTAGCCGGGGCATTTTTGTTGGCGTTTTTCGCACTGGCCACAGCCGGATTCTCTTTGATCACACTAATAGAAAACATGGTTAGGGGAAGCGTGGAGGAAACGAGTAAGGGCCACAGAGGGGAATTATGACAATGAAAGACCGGGGAGAAATAATATCAAAGCTCCGTCGTGCACGAGCAACGATACAGACCATGGTGAACGACGATGATCAATGGGGAAAAACGAATCTGAGGTATAGGGGCTGTTGTGTTCGATGGGATAGAGGCAGCTATGGCAGACGGGGCACGAACTTACGCGTATCTTTCGATCACGACAACTGCTACAGCCTTTTGAAGGCGGGCCGCAGTAAACCATGATGAAAGGTTGGGGGCAACGACGATTGACGGCCTGCCTAGATATAAACGAAAATCGAATGCCGCCCGAGAAGGTCTCGATCAAAGCCGACGCGGCGGTGGCACAGAGGGGAAAAGAAGAAAAAAAGGAGAGTGTTTAGTTTCGACCGTTCAGGAAATTTGCGGGCTTGCAGTTTGGTTGAATCTCGCGCTGGTTACGGGTTTGAGACAGGTTGACACCCCTATGGCGACCGGAAGTCCTCCTTTCGATAGGGCTATGGCCTGGGTCACGCCCTATGCCTTGCGTCGGCGCGTCTGTTACGCCCCAGTGGCTGCAGGAGCGTGGTGGTGGTGGTGGTGGTGGTGGTTGTGAGTACCCCTAGATTGGTAAGATACTGGGTTGGTCGATGCTGTCTCGGTCGTACCTGGATTGTACCTTGGCGAAGATTGGCGGCTTGTCTCCCACACCCACTAGTAAAGACAGCCTCCACGTTCGAAAGCCTTGACCATAAAGCGTGTTCAAGGAAGATCTGTCGTATGTGCGGAATGTGCTGTGCCTGGCGGTCGCAAGGTGTTGTCACGGGGCGGGGAGACCTTTGAGATGGCCCCGTTTCCTAGTTGACTGGATGCTTGGCTGGTGTGGTCCTGTGTCTTCTGCTTGTCCCCTTGTTTGCTTGGACTTGAGGGTACCGCAATGATTGCAGGTGCTGCACCTTGATATTTTTGCCGCCGTGCTGGGCTTACTGCCCCTTATTCGCACGTACCTGTTTCCGCTGGTTCACCAAAACTATGGTAAAATCGGAAGGCGGTCAGCCGTCGGAGACGTTGAATCAGTGGCCTTCGAAGAGGTCGACGCCAAAGGCGACGCTATGGAGCCGGGATCCTTGCGTATGTCTAAAAGGATTGAATTTGTAATGAGCGTGTTTGAGAGAAGTACGCGTCGGCTTTGCGTAGGCGGCTGAGTGTAAGATTCAGTCGAGAAGTGATGGACGAACAGTACCGTCAGGCCATGCCACCGTGAAAGTGGTGAACAGCAGTTGCGTCGAGCGTGTGTCGAGAGTTCATGGATAGCATGAAAACAGAGACGTGGGAAGACGAATTGTGCAGTTCATATGTCACGCTCGTCTGCTATTCTCCTTCTTCCTTCCAACTGGCAGGCAAAAGTGAAATGGCAAAAAAGAAGGAATGACTGGCAAAGGACCGTCTGTGCCGCCCAGTCCGCTGTTGGTCTATGCAGTCTTTACGAGACAAATTTGAGGACGAAAAAAAGTGCATGTGCGATTTGCTCCGATTCCTTTATTGCCTGTTTTGTCCTCTTTTGTCCTTTTTGTAATGTGCTGTCCTTGTCAGACGTTTGGCTTGCTCACGCACGCAGAAGACGTTGGATTGGTGCGTGCCGATCGTCTCTGTGCTGCCCGATGGGGAGGACAATAGGGCTGAGGCTCCTTGGCTGCGTTTGCTAGACGATGCTGCGGACCAGGTAGAATGCAGAAATCGCTCTCTTTCATAGGTTCACCAAACAGCTTCTAGAAGAAACCGGGGAGCTTGGGGACGGAAGTGGATGGCGATTCGCCAGGATCCGAAGCAGTGTTTGATCGCGGGCTGATGCAGTCGCGTCCAGAGGCTGAGAAGAGGGAAAACCTAACACCAAGGAGGGGAAGGGAGTCACAGAAAAGGGGGGTAGTTGGTAGTGTGAAGAGACGTTGGACCGACAGGCACTGCCACAGACGCACCACGCAAAGCGTGTGTAGGTCTGTCAGTTGTGGTCTTATTCTTTGGTACCTGTGTTTTATCCAATCTTTGAGGATGGCGCCGTTCAAGGTGACGCCCGAACGGGCTGGTTTCTCATGTTAACCCTCATCACTTTGCCCATGTCTGCGGATAGTTCCGGAAAATACGTCTCAGAAGGAGAGAGGAAGGAGTGGGAGACGGAATTCATCTGGTCCCCTTTCCCACCCCTTCCACTTGTTGACAATGTCGTCGCGCCGTCGAAAAGAATTGGAGACCAGTCCATCTTGGCAGGACGGGGATAGGGCCGGTTGTCGAAGAGCCTCCAGACAAAGTGTATTCTGATTGGCTGCTTAGCTCGTTTCCTAATCAGGGCACCTGTGCGAGACCAATGGCAAGCCGCTGAGATGACCGTTGATGGAGAACGCCGTGGGCCATAAATGCGGGACGTTGAATGTGGTTGAGTTGCTGTGGCGGTGTTTTGGGCACGCCAAGATCCGCAAAAGAAGCTTAATCTGATCGTGTTCTGTTGGCCAGTGCTGCGGCCAGTTCGAGAGGGTGAAGGAGAGAGGGATAACCCGAGGCCAAAGAGATATAAAAAAGAGACGAAGTCAACAAATCAAGACGGGATGAAGATTTCGGAGTACGAGTTTTGAGAAGAGAGCTTTTGGAAAGAACGGGTCGCGTCAAGACTTCTTGACGAGGAAAGAGCGACTGTGTGTTCCAATTGCCGGTTTGGTTGCGGCTTCCCTTTTCCGCGTGGCGTTAGATTATTGCGGCCTTGCAAAGACTTCTCTTATTCCACGTCAAGCCACGTCACAGATTTTTACCGTGAAAGGAGGACTAGTAAAAGGGAAAGTCGACGAATATGACGATAAAATGTGCCGATACGTCATAACTTACATGGCGAAGTAGCTCGACAGTCAATAGAATGAGAGGCATCGTGACTTACAAGCGGCCGAAAAGGGAAACAACGTGCGGCACACGAATGACGGGCCACGCGTGCCTTCCCCAGTTGTCGACGTTGCTGCCTGGGGGCAATCGGATCTGATTGACGGCAAGAGCTGAAATTGCACGTGATGTGAATATTCGCATGTTTGGTCTCTTTTGGGAAGGCCGTACGCATAGGGCTACGATGCTCAGTGGCGGTGTCAAAAACACAGCCACGCGCATATCGGCTTTTGTTGATTCTTCTTCTTTTGCCGATGATATGGTCGGCTCCCTTTTCTTCTCTTTCTTCTCTTCCTCCTCATTTTGGCCTGCTGCCTGGTTTTCTTGCGCGGCCTCTCCATTTATGTACCGTCTTATCCAGTCTGCCGCGAGATGTCTCTTCTCCGGACGATGAACAGTTTTTCGCAGGATTCCCACCGCTTTCCGCTAACACACTTTCGGGTCACACCCATTTAGTGGAGCCTGAAGGGCTCGCATTCGCATTTAGTGACTGAATTGGTACTAGCTGCGTCCATCTGCATTAACGGCCATCCGTCCATCGACATCACGTGACACGTTTCACAAGGCAAACTGACGACGGAAACAGGAGATACATGTACGAATTGAAACCGTCATCGCTTAGCGAAAGGTCCGTGCCTTTCGTCCCTGGCCAAGCTAATTTTGACACAGTGCCTTTCATCATTCTTGGTATTTTCCCAATTCGCTTTCGTTGTTGGTGTCCAAGCCTCGCCGTGTCGCCCACCCGGGATAATAGAGAAACGCCAGATTCGTCAGGACGATCGACGATACGGCGTTCCTGGCCAACAAGGTTTTCGAACAGGCACACCAGGATGGCATCGGCAATTGGACCATTGGAGTAGAATTTGCTGAACTGGGTGGACTAGGTGGACTGGCACGGGCACGCCGCCAAGCCGACAAGAAGCTTCTTTCCCCAGTGCCGTTCCTGCCAAGCCATCGTGACGTCGCCTCGATCTTCTTCTCACGCATTAATTCATTTTACGACCTGTGTCAGTTGGATTTGCCTTTTACTCTGGAGATGAGGTGCCTCTGTGTTGAGAATTGGCAGGAAGCGATAGACTGTTGCTTCTTCCCTGTCAGTAACGTGGAGAATCTCAACGGCCCTCGTCTGTTGTCCTAGAATCCATGAGTCGACAATGACAACAAGACTGTCAATGGGAGACTTGGTTCAAAATATGAAATGATTTACTCTACGAATGTCCTACATCTTCTCCGTCTTTGGAACGTCGCTTGATGAGACCCTGTTCTGTTCCCGTTTCCAGTAAGGCAAAAAGAGTGGACCAGCTTTTGTCGTCGCATCTTTAATTTCTTCATTGTCAAGCTCGTTCGCGCATTCGGACCCAGAAGGGTTTAGTGTGACCAGTGCAACGGTCCCCCCGTCGTTAGCCACGGCCTGTTGGCGGCCCCAATTGGCTCCCCTGGCCAGCGTTTCGGGTCCTGGCCCTTGCTTGCCAGCCTTATGGTGTTTTGGTGTGGGCCACTGTGGCTCCGAGTGCGACGAGTGTCGATCTTCACAAGGTCCCAGGCGCAATGAATGATGCGGCAGCTCCAGGGAGGCCAGCGGCAATGGAGACGAACCAAAAGAGAGAACGAGAACGACGAGGGAACGGTGGGCTCGTAACTATAAAGCAAAAGGGGCTGCTCGTTGCAAAAGGAAGTTTTGTCTCGTCACCATCTCATCACTCGTTGCCGACTCATCACTTATAAGCGGTTTCAGCTTCAACTTCCACTGCCTACCCTCCATAATCATCACATATTCTCCTCTTCATACATTTTCTTTTAATCATCACCATCACACTCCCCTATTTACTGAAATCCATCTCGACCGATCTTGAGGGCGTCCTCCTCTTCTCACCTCGTCCTTTCCCTCCCATCGCCATATCAACGTATCCTCCAACCAAATCGCCCAACATGGCTCTGACGATCTACAACGACATCTCCATCGTACAGTTGGTCTTCTTCTTGCCGTCTCTGTTCATTGCCGGCACCCTCTGCTACCGCCATGGCATCCGCCGCAGCGCCGGGTGGATCTACCTCGTCATTCTGTCGCTGATGCGCATTATCGGCGCCAGCATGGAGCTCGCGACCATTGCCTCGCCCGACAACATCAGCCTCGCCACTGGCGCCTCGATCCTGCAGACAATTGGCCTCTCGCCGCTCATTCTGATGCTGCTCGGCCTCGTCACGCGCACCTACACGGCCCTGCCCGAGCACAAACGCCCCAGCATCCCCAACGCCCAGATCCTGCGACTGATGCAGCTCGTCGTCATCGTCGGCCTCATCCTGTCCATTGTCGGCGGCACGGACATGAGCAGCCAGGTGCAGGACGCCCTGTCCAAGGGCCAGCCCCTCTCCTACACCATCCCCTCGTTGACCAAGGCCGGCATCGCGCTCATGATTGTCGGCTACGTGCTGGTCCTGCTGTCGTCGCTCGTCCTGACCACCTGCCTGAGCAGCATTGTCGACGGCGAGAAGCGTCTGTTGATGGCCGTGCTTGTCGCGCTGCCCTTTGTCTTTGTGCGCCTCTTGTACTCCATCCTGTCAGCGTTTGACGCCTCGAGCGCCAACTTCCGCCAGTTTGGCGGCAGCACCAACGCCGGCTACGTCGTGCTCGGCATGTGCACCGTCATGGAGATCATTTCCGCCATCATCTTTGAGGTCGTCGGCATGACGCTGCCGTACGTCCCGCACAACGAGCGCGGCGCGCTCCTCAACCCCACGCGTGCCAACAACCGCTTCGACGCCAACGGCCAGCCCCTCGGTGCCTACCCGCAGCCAGGCCAGAACGGCCAGTTCTACCCCAAGCTGCAGCCGAACGAGTCGGCGTGACGGTCCCCCGGCCCCGACAACTCACCTAGACAACACGGATCGAGTGGCGGTGCATACGACAGAGAATACTACTACAACCAGCAGCACCACAGTCACTCGAGAGTGAGGTCCGGGGCCCAACCAGGCGACCGGTTGATCGGCGGTGGTAGAAGCCATTCTCACGGAGATGGTCGGCGAGTGAGGTCTGACGGGCGGGATCGCGGGCATGGGCATGGACACCGGCGCAGCAGCTCGGGCCATCATTCCAGACCTCGTTCGGACGGTCGCTCCCGTCGGCATTCCGCGCAGAGCTCCGACCGCGGCCAATACACCTATGTTTCGGTGGACAGGCATTAGGAGTGGGGAGTGCACTATTGCACTGTAATATGTTGTTTCTTTTGTTTCTCCATTCTCTTTCGTCTTTTGCTTTTGCTTTCTACAGCATATGGTGGCGTCGAGCGGGTTTTTACGTGTATAATTTTCAGCAGTCCTCGTCTTTTTACACCCTCTGTTTTTATTCCCTACACTTTTATTTCCTACGTATTCCTTAAAACCGTTAATAAAGAAGTAACACCGGATAGGCATCGCAGGGTGGTTTGTTATCTGCTGTAGCCTTTGGCGTAACTTGTTGACCATCCATATATCGTCCTCTAGCGAGCCGGTGGCAGTCCACTTTTACAGACGGCGTGGGAAATATCATAGGCCAGCTCTGGGCAGCGAGACAAGATATCAAACCAGCTCTTACAGGAGACCTTTCATAGAATGCGACATCGTCGTTCCGGCACTCCAAATGTAGTGTGATGCGATGACCACATTCTTATATGTTATAGATATAATAGGATGTTCATATTTGTTACAAAAAATAGACGGTACCGTCAATTTAATTCTAAAATAATGACAAAATTATACAAAAAGCATTCGCTTGAAAACTCTTTAAGTTATATAACGAATATAAAGTAATATAGAAAACTGTAGCTCACCGTCGTCTTATTCTTCAAATTTATCAAGTTGGCCAACGTGACTTACATACAATATAGGCTAGGTGGGCAGGCCCCACTAAAATAGAGCCTCGTTCTTGCCTCGTGCTTGGCACGTTTGTTAGTAGGGGACGTTCGAGCTTTTAATAGCTTCTTTCCGGGCGACTTTCCAACCGCAGACTTTTTGCCATCCTGCCAACAGCCACAACAGGGTCGCAGCAACATCACAGAAGCAATCGAATCATGCCGGTACGTCCAGTTATCGTATACACACTGCCCGACAATTTTGTCACAGCTCTTACGACTTGTCAACGCCCGTGTTAACCCCTCACCTCGCCCGACTACAGCTTATCATCCTCTCCGGCCTGCCGACGTCCGGCAAGTCGACACGCGCCAAGCAGCTCTACGACTATCTTGCCGAGCGCATTGAGGCCGAGGCGGCCAAGGCTGCGGAAGGCGGCACGCCGACCACTGCCGCCACACCAAAGCCAACGTACCGCCTGCACCTCATCTCCGACGACGCCCTCTCCATCTCGCGCGCCGTCTATGACCTGTCCACTCTGCCTGCCCATACCCGGTCGGCCAACGCCTCCGAAAAGGACGCCCGCGCCGCCATTTACGGCGCCGTCAAGCGCGTCCTGTCGCCGCGCGACATTGTCGTCCTCGACGGTCTCAACTACATCAAGGGCTGGCGCTACCAGCTGGCCTGCGAGGCCAAGAACGTGTCGACGACGAGCGCGGTCCTGCAGATTGGCTGCAGTGTGGACAGGGCGCGGGAGATTAATGCGGAGCGGCTGCAGTCCGCCAGCACCGGTACCGGCACCGGCACCGACACCGACACCTCCACCGAACCGTATTCGGTCCCCAACTGGGACAACCTCGTCTTCCGCTACGAAGAGCCCAATCCCATGACGCGCTGGGACAGCCCGCTCTTTGCGCTGACGTGGGACGACGATGCCGCCGAGACGCGCGCCGTGTTCGACAAGCTGTGGGACGCTGTGGCCGGCGCGGGCCGCAAAGAGGTGCAGCCGAACAAGGTGACGGTGCAGCGGGGCAACGACGGCGGCGGCGACTTCTTGTACGTGCTAGACCGGGAGACGCAAGACGTGGTCAAGCGGATTCTGGAGACGCAGAAGGAGCCGGCGGGCGGCAACGGGGAGGTCAGAATACCGAGCGGCGACTCGCAGAAGAAAGGTGACGACCTCGTGGTCGAGCTGCCCGGCAAGGCGGTCGGCCTTGCTCAGCTGCAGCGGCTGCGGCGGGCGTACATGGGCCTCAACCGGGGTGGCATTGGGCTGGAAGGTGTTGGTGGGCAGATGACGGCGGCCCGCATACGGGAGAGCTTCGTGGGCTACTTGAATGATGCGTTTGAAAAGGAGGGTTGATGGAGGGGTTGAGGTCGAAAACGGAGCAGGGTTGGCATAGAGACGGCGCATAGGTTCAGTTCATGTATATTTTTGCTATTTAATGATACCCATTCATACACTTCGTAAACACCAAAATCAAAACAGTTGTCCAAGTCGAGCACCTCGCACGAAAGAGTGATAATTATAATCTTGTATGCAACTGCCGAGCATTCTGCTTTGCTGACTCTTCTCTTTTATCTTCTCTGGCTCTCTCGCACAAGTGGTGGGAAGTACTACATTGAAAAGACACGACAGAACTAGGACAAACAAGGTCGCTTTACAGGCGCGCAAAGGGAGTATCAAGGCTGGTTGTTGACGACCAAAGCAATCGCAATAACTACGGCAAACTAGAACTGCCACAAAACAAATGGCAGTAAACGACCAAAAATAATTAGGCGAGGCTATGGGCGGAGGAAGAACACAAAAGATACAACGAAATGCAGCGCAATTACAACAAAAAAGTAAAACGAAAACACACAAAACGATACAGGATAAAAGCACCGCCGGCCCCGAAAACAATGATTCTTGATACGGCCTCTAGTCTTCCCGAAGAGCTTGGAAGACAACAATGCCATCTTGATTGGTTTACTGGGTACCTGACACGGATGCCAGATAGCCCAGCAAGAAGTTGCGGTTGGCTGGCGAGATGGGTGCCTGGCTGCTGCCACGTCTTGAGTTATTAGCCTCGATGGCTGGTGCCGAGTCTGCCGCTTCGTAAGGGCCGAACGGGGCGTGCTGCTGTTGAGCATGAGGTTGCGGCGGCGGAAGATGTTGCGGCGCGTGCATGCCTATGGGGTGGAGACCGGCACCGGCAATGCTGGCAGCAGAGGTGGTGGACATGGCAGGCGGCTGCGGCGGTGGCGGTGGCTGTTTCGCAGCAAACAGCGACAGCAGCTTCTGCTTGTGCTCGGGGTTTGCCGGCTCAGGCGCTCGCACGCTGGCGCCGCCCGTAGCAGCGCTCGTAGACGGGTAGTTGAGTGTGGGGAGCGGGTGTGGCTGCGGCGGCTGGTATTGGTCTCCGGGCGCCGGCGCGGTGGGCGATGACGACGCATGACTAGGGCGCCGCACGGCCGTACCGTGCGGCGGCAGGGTGGCTGCCACAGCGAGCGTGGCCGCAGCGGTGTTGTACGGAGGCTGTGAGCCACGTGTTGAGGGTCGTCTGTCGCTCGGCGATGTAGAGTACGGCTGGCTCACCTGGCGTGGGAGGCTGGGCTGTTTGCGGAGCTGCGTGGTCTCGGCTGGCAGTTCGGTAATCGGCGACGCGAACGTCGAGGGATGCTGTTGTGAACGGTCTGTCCTGGTCGCATGTGCATTTACGCCGCTGTGGCTGGGGCTGCTGTTCTGCTGGGCCTTGGGCCGTGTCAGAAGTGTCAAAGCACCGAACGGCAGGTTGGTCTGGGCATTCATCTCGATCGGACCGCCATTGGCACGCGCTGCCGCCTCAATTGCCTGGGCCTGGCTTTGGCCTTGGCCTTGGCCCAGAGAAGCACCCTGCTGACTTTGTGTCGTGGAGATTGTCGTCGCCGAGTACACCGTCCGCTGGGCTGTGACACCTTGCGGGCCACCGGCCGACTGCCTGGTTCTCGCATTGTGGCCCAAAGTGGCATGCTGTGGTGGCGCGGGTGCCGATGCCGGAGAGCCGGACGCAGGGACATGGATCGGTGCTGCGGCCTGAGGTACTGGCTGCGTAGTTTGCTTCGTGAACATGCTAAGCAGGGACGACCTGTGCTGATCGGAGTGCTCGGTGCGGACAGGCGGCTGGTCTTGCGGGCCGTTGTTGGCCGCAGCAGGGCGAGGCAGGTACTGATTAAAATTGTCGTTGTTGCCGCTCGGAAGGTTGGGTGCGCCTTGATTGGGGTTCTGGGCTGCTGGAACCGCTCCGGCCTGGAGTGAACCGTATGGGTGCTGCGAAGCCGGCTGGGGACGGGCGCCGTGGAGGTTGTGCTGGAGAGTCGCGTATGGCTGTTGCGGCTGCTGAGTCTGCTGTTGCGGAACAGCATGGGATGCGTGGCGGGCCTGTTGCTGTTGCTGCTGTTGCTGCTGTTGCGGCAGTTGCTGAGGCTTCTGCTGTGGCCAACCAGGACCGCCAGCGGTTTCCAGGGGAGGCGCACCACTTGCGCCACCTGGACGAGTAGCACTGTCGTCTTTCTTGAACGCGTTCAGCAGAGCAGCGGCATGGTTGCTCAAAGGGGCCTGCTGGCCGCGGTACTGCTGCTGCTGCGGCGGCGGCGGCGGCGGAAGCAACATGCTGTTGCCCTGCTGCGACGATGCGTCTGGAGACGCTAGCATGTCTCTAGCAAACAGTGCCTTCTGGACAACGGGCGGAAGTGGCTGAGGGTGAAGGAGTGGGATCGGTGGCGGAGCATGTTGCGGGGAACGGAACGCCGCAGCCGCGGCTTGTGCTTGGGCAAAAGCCTGCGCCGGCCCTTGCATGTCGTTGCCGTTTACCGTATACGGAGGTGGAGGCGGAACCTGCGGGTTTGGTGCGAAGGGATTCATGTTCTGGCTTTGCTGAGGAGGCTGTTGCGGGTAGGGGTAATTTTGAGAGGACTGTTGGTGCTGCTGGCCCTGTTGCGGCTTCTGCAGCTCAAAACGTTGCTGCAAGTGCTGGTTTTGCTGTGCAAGCTGTTGAGCATGGGTAAGGTGTTGCTGTTGCTGTTGCTGTTGCTGTTGCTGTTGCTGTTGCTGTTGCAGGTTCGGACGAGGTGCATCGTATTGAGGGTATCCTGGCGAGGGCTGACCTTGCACTGGTGGCGGACCTAGCTGAGGAATCTGGTGCTGGGGCGGGGGTTGTTGGTACTGGTGCTGCTGCTGCTGCTGATGCGAGTACGGAGGCAGTTGGTGCTCGTATTGCTGGTGGTGTTGTGCTCGTGGCGCGTTGGACTGCGGCTGGGACACCTGGCTCAGGAGATGGTTGAGAGAAATACCCTGGCCGCCACCCGGTGCCGGCGCTGGTGCTGGCGGTGGAGGGGCCTTGATGGTGCCGCCCTGCTTTAAGACGGCAAGCAGTGCATTGGCCTTGTTTTGGTTGGGGTCCACAAACGCATCCTGCACCGGCGGCGGATGAACGGGAGCCGGTGCCTGCACAGGCGGTGCTTCGTCGGACGGCAGCGGCGGCATACGAAGCATCTGCCGCAATTCCCTATTTGCGTTTTCCAGAATCTGGTTGGGATCGGCAATACCGCTAAGCGTGTCCTGGGTGACGGGTTCGGGCAGTGCATTGCCTTCGTCTTCCGTGTAGGTGTCCTCGGCGTGGGCCATTTGCGGCGTCGGGTAGTTGTTGCCGGCGGCGCGCGCAGCGTCCCTCTTCCGCTGGAAGGCGATCCACTTCCGAAGCGGCCCAATGAAGGGCGCCACCATGTAGAAGCGGTTGGAGGTCGCGGATGTGGGCTCGTCGGTTTCATGGCCATTCGCATTGTTCTTCTTTCGATAGCTCGGCAGGTCCGCAATCTTATACCACTGAATGCCGCCAATCTCCTTGCGGGTCTTGGGCTCGAAATGGGTGTCCATGGGCACGTTGCGGAACACGTACAGCCGGATCTGCTGGTCGCGGAAGGAGGTGTCGATGAACTTGACCTCCTCGGGAGGCGGCACGAGGCCGGCTGAGCGGATGTCAAAGCCGGTCTCTTCGTCGACCTCGCGGACGGCGCAGTCCAAGTCGTCCTCGTCCATGTTGATCTTGCCCTTGGGGAAGCTCCAGTTGGCGCCCTTCTTCCAGCCCTTGACGAGCAGTGCCATGTCCATGGTCTCGTTGAGCAGGATGGCGCCGCGAACGGGAATGCTCGTCTTGTACTTGAGGAACTGCTCAAATGCCAGCACGTGGTGCTCGATCGGAAACGGTGCAAGCAGCGGACACCGCTTGAAGATGGAGAGGCAGAAGGTGCGTAGGGTCATGGCCGGGAGGGAGCGGTCGAGGGGGCGGATGAAATCATCGTAAAACCAGTGGGCTTCTTCGACCTGAAAACATATTCGTGCCATAGACGTCAGGTCTGCTTGAGGCAGGTTGTTGATGAAGCGGACGCACAGGTCGTCCAGCCCTGGAGAGGTCAGCAGGTGTCATGAAGGGGGTGTACAGGATTGCCATAGCAAGCACAAGAAGCGTACAATCGTCGAGTGTCATCTTTTGTGAAGTCATGATGGCGACACGGCAACAGCATAGCCAGGCTGCGTAGGAGGAGACGAGAGGGTGTAGGAGGAGGCCGAGGACAGCCGTCAGATCGCCTGATGGACCAAGGAGAGCAACGCAACCCGTGCGAAGCGCAAAATCGCGAGAATGGAGCGAATTCGATGGAATGAACAGCTTCGGCCCAACGTTGATCGTTTGAGTAGCAGGTCACGAATCGGCGGCGGGGGACACGCAGGACACTGTCAACCAGGCTCGCTGGCGGAGAAGCTCGCCGTAGTATGCAAATCGGGGGGGCCACACAAGGCTTGTGCGTCTGGTGAGAGACAGGGCGTCGGGCCAAGGGCCGTTTGCTAGAGAAGAGGAGAGTAGAGGCTGCAGCGTCGTCGAGTGGATTTTGCGAGAATGAAGTGTTGGGGCAGGATCGCAATATCGCGGATGGGCAGCAGGTGGCACCTATCACGACAGATATGTATCGGGCACTGTGATTGGGTGGCGCACGGCTATGCAGGCGCAGACGTGTTGTGCTGGGTTGCGGATTGGGAGAGGAGAGATCAACGGCGGAGGTTGGAAAAGACCGAAGGCAAAAGATTGGAGGCGCAGGGCGGAATGGATTAGATGCATACCCACGGTGGGGTCAGGCTACGGCTCCAGTTGGGCAAGGCAACGGCAGAGGGCTGGTTACAGCAAGTGCGTTAGCGGCAGGGGGCAGCTTTGGGCAGGAAGGAGCTGCCGACACGGCGCTGTGCACGCAGGCGCAGAATAGGTACAGAACGGTACCTGATGTGGCACTAAGCTCCAAAAAGCAAGTACAACCAAGTGGCTTCCTCCGTCTAGTCATGTGACTTTCATGATCGCAAGCCAACACAAACGGCCCAGCTTGCATGTCCCAGAACATTGAGAGGCTCGACAGGTTACATACTGTCACAAATTTTAGGTAGCTTTGGCAATCCTATCTACATCTACCGAGGTTAAAAGGGTGGCCTTTTGTCGATACTATGAAGGCTTTGCCATGACAAGGCCGGCCGGTCGGCGAGGCTGAACAAACAATGCGGGACGAACCAGGTACATTGAGACAGACAGTGTTGACATTTGAAAGCAGACAAGTGCCGTTTTCCAATGCCCCAACAGACGTCGATTGACAGCTGCATTGAATAAACCAGCATCAAATCCGACGTCTTGGTGCAAGTTTTGTAGACAGCCTGACAGCTTCAGCCACTGCATGCTTAGCGTGGTTTCCCTCCCTGGTCGTTACGTCAGGCACATGCTTGGCTTTGCGTGAGGAAAGGTGCAGTCCAGGCCTCCCATGTCTCAACAAGGAAAGAGGCCTGCAACACACTGTGGCGCCAAGTGTAGCAGGAAATAAAGTTGGCGTCATAGAAGGCAAGAGCTGCTCCATTCCGTGCCTGATGAACGAGACAACTTAATAAGGAAGGGCCGCAATTGATTCCCCATTCAAGCTTCGTCAGATCTCTTCCTTTTCTCCTTTTCTTTCGTCTTTCTCACACCCTCTTACATCGACCAACAACCGCCCCCTAGCGACTGGCCGACGACGAAAATAGCCTTTGGCTCCTCCAACGCGGCGCTTTCTGAAACCAGCGACAACAGACGCCCACCAATCCAGCTCCCAGCGGCTACCACCGCAGCACAGCAACGGATCCGGCAGTTTTCCAGTGGCGAACAAAGCAATTGGCCGTCAATTGAAGGAGCTGAAAATAGCACTCTGCTTCCGCCAGAGACCTTTGCGACTTTGTATATCATCGCGCGACTGCCTCTTTTCGTTTCCACTATCGGGTATCCCTCTGCTCAAACACTTGGAACTCCTGAACTCAACAAAAATCTGCAAATATGTCTGCGCAACTTTTTAATATGGTCGCCAAGCGCGCCCTCAAAGACGCGGCGAAGAAAAACATCAACTCCAAGGTGCGCCGTCCCCCCCTCGCGCCGTTCGAACCTCATCCCAGTCACGCGATACATACTGACACCGTTAGGACCCTTACTTTGAAGAAGTCGCCATCTACGGCCGCGATGGTCGGCCCACGGGCCGCGTCAAGAAACAGAAGAAGGGCATCCCAGCCATCCTTTCGCGCAACGACGGCAAGGTGCTGAAGAGGGTGCGCAGACAGGCCTACCGCCTGGACATGTCGCTCTTCAACTGCTGCGGTATTCGCTTTGGCTGGGGCAGTGTCATTGGCTTCATTCCTGTGTAAGTTTTGCTCTCCTGGCGCCGTCTGCAACCCTTTCCTTTTCTTCCTAGTCCTCCGTAAGGCGACTGTGGTATCCGTATCCGGATTCGTTGACGTCATTTTGGCTTAACACCAAATTGGTGCAAAACACGCGGGACGCGAGGGACGCGTGCGACACGTTACACAAAGCCGACACCCACAACTGCCAACGACAATGCTTGCTAACGATTATCGTTCTGTAGGGTTGGCGATGTCATTGACCTTTTACTGGCATACTCTGTCGTTACATCCTGCGCCAAAATCGACGGCGGCCTGCCTCCCGCGCTCCAAGCCCGCATGTACTTTAACATTATGCTCGACTTTGGCATCGGGCTCGTCCCCTTTGTCGGCGACGTCGCCGACGCCATGTTTCGCGCCAACACCCGCAACGCCTGGGTTCTCGAGGAATACCTGATCAAGAAAGCAGAGACAGAACAGAGGCTCCGCCAAGAAAAGGCGCAAAGGGACAATCAGAACAACCAGCAGCAGCGCCTCGGCGACGGCCGGCCTCTCCCAAACCCTGGTCCTGCTGCTGGTGACGGTGCCGGTGCGGACCCCGAGCGGCCTGCTCCCAAGAAGAGCTTCTGGTCATCGTGGGGCCGCTCGGCGCCACAAGACGTGCAGACCGACCAAGAGATGGCCGTCGTCGAAGGTGCGCAGGGTAGACAGCCGAGCGATCTGGCGTATGACGGCCGAGCGTAGGACGCGAAGTTGCCAGATGCCGTGGCAGTGAAATCCTTCTCTCCCAAGCAGCATTGAAGGGCGTGTTTAAGACATATTGGGAGGTGCCTAAAGTAGCCACAGTTGCCGACACATGCCGGTCACGACGCGGGCTTAGACGAAGATACCAGGCAGCGACGACGATCGTGCCGTGGCGGCCTATTTTTTTCCCCCTCGGTGATGCATGGTGCGATGGGTCTTGTTTACTTTGTCGTTCTCTTTTTTTTTCGTATATTGCCGTATATCCTTTTGCATTTTTCGGCGTCTTGGGAGATGTGGTGTAGAATGGGGAATGTACTAATTCGGAGAGCAAGGATTTAAAGCAACAAAAGAACAGACACGCTGTACATGTAATGGATGATAAATACGACCGTCCAGACGGACAGCTAGATAGATTATACGATAGTCAGCATGAGTCAAGAGGTATCCAGAAATGTGCGGAGTGAATGGAGCCAGTGTTCGACGAATGAAAACAGGACACCTTAGCCGGACGTGGATCGCGTCGTGTAAGTACTTCCTACTTTGATCTGATAAAACGACGACCTCGACAGCGGATATTCGGGCCAGGTTGGGGCAACTCGCGAAATCCTGGCAAAGTCCTGGCAAAACATTAGGCAAACAGGCGAGAACCAGGTCAAACCAGGTTCGATGGATCTGATAAGACTCACGCGTCTGCCCCGTAAGTGCGACGCGTCGTTTTTTCTCTGCACAGGCAGCACAACTTGTGGATAAACTGTGCGGAGCAAATTGACAACCAAGAACAGGAACGGGTACGAAGTAGGACATATCTTACAGAAACAGGAACAAGACAACGCAAGTAACGCCAGGGATAGTTGAGAGGTTAGATGGAGACAGCTCGCGTGCAACGAAGGGAGGAGCCACTTACCAGCCGGGCTCGCCAAAACACATAAGGCCTCAGCCAAGATCCCATTCTCGCGTAGAGTGGAATCGCCCTTGGCATAACGATCTTAATGGCACCAAGGGCGCTAGGTGAAAATACGCTGTTGCTTGTCACTTTAACACGCACAAATCCAACTTTGCTTGTGCACGCGGCAGTCTGCCGACCAGGAATTCAATGACAAGGGAAACAGAAAAACAAAGATCTCGGCGATATTGAATGGCTTGGATAAACAGTGACTCTACTGAATTTACCTGACCTGGAAAACGTCGCAGCTCCAAGTAGCCAAGCTGTCGTGGATCGTTGCGCGGTCGACCGTCGTAAATCCTCGGTGATAGATGTGGCCGTCCATCGCTTTCCAAAAACAACGCTCTACGCGTTGTCCCTTTGCGTGCTTCGCATCCCTTTGTTGCACATCCTTTGCCTCTACAATTTCAGGAGTGACACGGCCGAGCATACGACGCACATGGCACTGTACACAGTATGAGGGCTCTTGAGAGTGGCTACTTCCCATGGAAATCGTTCTCTGCAAAATTAAAAAATGAGTAGCTCTAGAGCTTCATCCACGCGAGTCGCACGAGCCGCGTCTGGAGAAAACAAAAGTGGATGGGGACATGGGTGTGAGTGGGTGGTGGGACCTTCAGCCATCGAAAACGAGTGTGTTTGTACTTCGTACAGCTTTTGTTGCGCCCGTGTTTAATGGGGAGGCGGCGTTCTGTGGTCGGTGCACGGTGAACCATCACCAACGAGACGCGTCGCGTCTTGCTTGCCCGCCTCTCCAGTATTTTGGCGCTAACCCCCCATCTGACCTGGCTTTCCGCGGTTTCCTTGCTGGTCTACTTAAAACAATCCAGCGCCAGCCTAATTTTTTCGCCTTCTGTTTTCTTGCTTCTCTCGTTTCTTTGTTTCCCTTCCACCTCAACCAATTGACTCTTTCTTTTCCCCCATCTCCAACTTTGAGCAGCATCTCGGTTCTTTGGCATTGCATTCATCGCTTCATTGTTTCTCTTGCATCACTTTCGTTCTCTCACACATTCACAATGGCCACCAACGTGACCCCGTCCAAGGCTGTATGTCGCGTCGCGTCTTTTCACCCGACCATTTCAACGTCCTCCTACTAACGCGTTCCCTCTGCCACAGGCTGCCTCTGCCATCGAGTCTTTCAAGATCGAGTCGCCCGTCAAGAAGCTGGACTTTGGCGATGCAAACAAGGAGAACATCCTCGCCGAGGATGCGAAGCCCAAGGAGCTGGTGAAGGAGGAGGTCAAGACGGAGGAGGCCAAGAAGGCTGTTGCCTCTACCGTCAAGCCCAGCGAGGCCGACGAGCCACTCCTGCAGGAGAACCCCCAGCGCTTTGTGCTGTTCCCCATCAAGTACCACGAGGTGAGTGACATCGCGAAAACTTGGAGTTTGTCACGTTACGCGTCGTTTCGTGTCACGACACCTCGACGCGTAAAGTGATCCAACGGCGAATGTTCCGCCAAGTGTTTCCCATCCACATACAATGTCCAACATCATCTAACAATTCAAAAGATCTGGCAGATGTACAAGAAGGCCGAGGCCTCGTTCTGGACCGCCGAGGAGATTGATCTGTCCAAGGATCTGCACGACTGGAACAACCGCATGAACGAGGACGAACGCTACTTTGTCTCCCACATTCTGGCGTTCTTCGCCGCCTCTGACGGCATTGTCAACGAGAACCTCGTCGAGCGCTTCAGCGGCGAGGTCCAGGTCCCCGAGGCCCGCTGCTTCTACGGCTTCCAGATCATGATGGAGAACATCCACTCCGAGACCTACTCCCTCCTGATCGACACCTACATCAAGGATCCCGCCCGCCGCACCTACCTCTTCAACGCCATTGACACCAGTATGTTGCTCCGTCGTGTTCCCTTCACGACTTGGCCTGTCCCTGTGTTAACATTCTCTAGTTCCCTGTATCCGCAAGAAGGCCGACTGGGCTCTGAAGTGGATCTCCGATGAGCAGTCCACCTTTGCCCAGCGTCTGGTTGCTTTTGCTGCCGTCGAGGGTATCTTCTTCAGCGGTGCTTTCTCCTCCATCTTCTGGCTGAAGAAGCGCGGCCTGATGCCCGGCCTGACCTTCTCCAACGAGCTGATCTCGCGCGACGAGGGCCTGCACACCGACTTTGCCTGCCTGCTGTTCTCTCACCTGAAGAACCGCCCCAGCAAGCAGGTCATTGAGGACATCATTGTCGATGCCGTCAAGATCGAGCAGGAGTTTTTGACCGAGGCGCTGCCCTGTGCCCTGCTGGGCATGAACTCCACGCTGATGAAGCAGTACATTGAGTTCGTCGCCGACCGCCTGCTGGTTGCCCTCGGCAACGACAAGGTGTACCGCGCCACCAACCCGTTCGACTTTATGGAGAACATCTCCCTGGGCGGCAAGACCAACTTCTTCGAGAAGCGCGTCGGCGAGTACCAGAAGGCCGGTGTCATGGCCAACAGCGCCAAGAAGGAGGACGGCGAGAGCAACCTAGGCAAGGGCGAAGGCGACTTCACCTTCGACGACGAGTTCTAATTCTAAACGGATCGTCGCGTCGCTCTGCTCCTTTCCTCCTGCCTCGCTGTTTGATACCTTCCCATCCTCATCCTCTCCTCCGTACATAACGTCAGCATACCCACTGGAGAGGCATTTTCGACTTGAACATTAATTTCCTTTGTTTTTTTGTGGCTTGGCTTTTTTTGGAATTTGCTGGGTCTCCTAAGAAGAGGGTACAGGAAGAGTTTTGTTTTGTTTTTACACGTCACCACTCTTACCTACCGATTCTTCTTCTTTTTGGTTGTTACATAGCGGCGTTACTTGGAATGATCGGATCTGTTGCTTCGTTGTACGGCACCGACTGTTATGCTTTATGGTTTTTCTCTTCTTTTTTTTATATCTTCTTTCATTTGTAGCAACGCGGTTGACGGATTAACAAAAGACATGCGGTTTCTTATACAAGACCATGTACTGCTACTAGATGCATACACTCACCACTTGATTGTTAAAAGATGCTGTTCACAATAGACTTCTCCTTCATTTGCATAGCCACGTGAAGTCATAAACTTTTATTGTACTTTTGTATCGTAAACCTCTCACGAGATGTTCGTGTGAATGCCCAACGTTGTTCTTTAAAAAATGGCCCAAGCGAATCGCGTCCATTCCCCTCGTCCAAAATCGCTCCTATCTTTTAAAACCTCCCCTACCGCTTGCCCTTCTTCTTTTTGCCCTTGCCGCCACCGCCGCCACCGCCGCCTTGTTGCTGCTGTGCTGGCGCCGGCGTCGGTGCGGGCGACGGTGCTGCGCCCGACTCGTCCGCCGGCGTGGCCGCTGCCGCAGCTGCCGCCTCCGCCATGGCCACATCGTCCGCCTGCTCCTCGGCCGAGGCAGTCCCCGCCACCAGCCCCGCCTGCCGCCGGCTCAGCTGCCCCAGCAGCTGCACCAGCCGCGACACCTCGGCCGCCTTGGTCGTCTCGTACTTGAGGCACACCCCGCTGGCCGGGTCGACGGTCTTGAGCACCAGCTTGGCGCGGGGGTTCTGGCCGACCGCGTTCGTGGTGGCTGGCGGCGCATCCGGCAAGGTCTCGCCGTCCTTGGCCTTCTTGACGCGGCGCACCGGCTTGGGCTTGACCGAGTAGCGACAGGTAATTTTTGTCTCGACGAGTTAGCAACACCACGTCCACGGATCGTCGTTCCTCTTTGTTACTCTTTGCTGCGCGTTGCTCCTCCTGCAGCGACTTACTGTGTGCGGGCGGGCTTCCAAGAGAAGCGAGCTCTGGTGGAGCCATTGCTGGCTGGTTGCGAAGGTGGCCATTGTGATGATGAAGGAGGAAGATCGAAAGGGGGGAGAGAGAGTGGGTGAAAGGGGATGGCGGTGCTCGAGTGCCCGATGGGATACTCTCTGTCGTCGAATGCGAGAATGGACGAGATGAGTCGAGGTGTGGTTGTGCTGGACGTGCAGATGGGTTGACTCGCGTGCCGTTTGTCGTGTGTTGTTGCGTTCAGTTAGTTCGTCCGCCGTTAAATGCAGTGTCAAGAATTTCGGTTCGTCTCTGGTTTGTGTTACCCCACCAAATGGTTGTCCAGAAGGTACCTGCAACTTGCGCTAATTCTCACGAAAACCGAAGTACCCATAAAACCAGAATCTGCATATATGCATGAGATGTTTAGATGCATCTATGCGGGATAAACTCAATCAAAGCAGATGTCATGATTATATACGCGCACATTCTTATTGTTTTGTAAAGTCGACGAACGATATTTATCATTATTCATGTAGAAACTCTGCAGCAGACCTTGCGTGTAGTTGGAAGAGGCAGAGACGTATGAAATGGTGACCCTTCTCAACGAGTCCACCAGTCCGCGAAGCACATCCGGGGGCGTCACCGCATAGATGTTGGCGCCGCAGAACTGCATAGCATGTTGTTTGTGCAGTGAATCCACGTTCTGTAGTATTACTAGAACGCGGTGTCTCGCTATACTGTGCCATGAGGAGGCAAAGCTTTGTGGATGCGTTGATGCGCGGGCTGTCTGGCTGTTCCCGCTCATCTGGCGCGGCACATGCCGCCCGCCACCTTGGTTCGGTCAGTGCCCCGGGCATCTCGCTGGGCTGCTTTTATATAGAATTATCCCATCGCCTCGAGTCGTTCCTCGTTCCTCATGCATTGGCGTCCGGCAGCCAAAACACCAGCGCCTGGTCGGCCGTTGCAAAGAAGTTGAAGCGCGGGTTGAACGCCACGACCGCCGCTTCCCGCTTGTCCTCCAGCACAAAGGCTGGATTTAGGACCTTGTTCTCGCCGACTGACCCCAGCGTGTCCCACACCATGACATTTTGCTTCGTACCGCCAAGCACATAACGGCCGTCTGGCGTGAAGCAGCAGTCGCCGCTGCCCTCGAGCCGCGTGGGGTCGGCTGGTGCGCCCGACGCACTCGGCACGTCACCGCCCTCGCCGGCGGCTGCGCGTCGCGTGGGATCGTCCGTCTTGCGCAAGAACGCCTTGAGCTTGCCATCAAAGGCGTCCAATAAGAAATGGCCGGCACCGCGCGTGCCGACGAGAATGTGCTTGCCGTCGTTGGATATGTCGAGCTTGGTCCACCCTTGCAGCAGGTTGCGCTGGTCGACGGCAGCACATTGCTCGACGACGTCGAAAACGGAAAATGGCGGTTTTTGGTAGTTGCGGTGGTCGTACAGAAGAACGGTGCCAGCAGCAGGCGAGGCGACGGCAAAGACGTTGCCCGACGGGTCCCAGGCGGACAAGTACGGTTTGTTGAGGTAGAGGAGGCCGGTCCATTGCTTGCTAGCGACGTTCCAGAGGCGGACGGTGCCATCCTGACTGGTAGACACAAAGTTGTCGGTGCCCGGGTGCATAGAGATGGAGGTGACCGAGGCCTCGTGGCCTTCAAAGTAGCGGATAAACGAGTTGTCGTGGGTGGCAAGGTAGCGGATGGAGTCTGATCGTACGGGCAGGGAAACACAGTTAGTGGCGGGACATCGTTTGCATAGATTGGGGCGGCGCCTGCTCACCGTTTTGTTTTGTACTGGCGTACACGATGCTGTTCGACCAGTGCGTAAACCGCGCCAGCTTCGCGCCGTACTTTTTGCTAATCAGCGCCTTGTCGTGGCGCCCCTCCTTGACGTTGTAGATCTGGATGGTGTCGTCGCTCTCCGAGGTCATGCACAGCTCGCCCGGGTCGTCAAAGTCGAGCGACAAGATGTATGTGGGCGACTTGTTCTTAGCGTCGCGCGCAAACAGCTTTGTCGGCCGGAAGCTGGAGATGATGGAGCTCAGCTCGGTGGCAGTGTCGCGCAGGGCCCGCGATACACTCAGCGAGGGCCCGCCAGCACCCGCTGCCGGCGTGTCAATGTCCATGGGAGCGGCAGGCATGGACACGAACGTCCTGGGTCTGGAGGCTGCGGCCGGCCAACGCGTGAGAGCAGAGTCGCGTGAGGAGGACGAGAGGATCGGTCGAGGAGGGACAATGGCACGGAGCGCGCAGGATGGACGCACAGCACTGTACGGAGCGTAGCGGAGAGAAAGTGTAAGCTCGTCTCTATCAGCAGGGCCGCGAAGGTGCGGATAGACGGCCGAGGCGGGCGGAGGCTCTCGCAGAGAAGATGCGCCGAAAGCTTGTTCCGAAAGAGTGTCAATGGCAAATGCTGGAGAGGCCAATTGGACGGAGCTTCCCAGGGAGGGCTGGTCAGCCTTTCGCTGGTTCTTCCCCAAAGAATTGTTTTGGCGGGGGACCTTGGCCACAGCGTTAGGCCCAGAAGGCGCTAAACCACATTCGCGGCGCGCCCCACACACCGGGTTGACATGGCATTGTGGGAGTTTGGGCTTGCTCCGACTTTCGCTGTGGAAGCCGCTTGGGGGTGCGGGCCAGACGCGGGTTACGGCATTGGCACAAGCAGCCGAGAGAAGCCAGCCAGCACCTGCCCTGTGGATAAAAATTTCCAGTGCGCTGGGCAGGCGCGTGTAAAGCGGCAGACAAAGGCAGGAACAGCCTTAGCAGCCACGCTCCGTCAATAACCTAGCGAGGTAAGAGCAACCCGGTATTGTGGAAAAAAATACATCCCAAAGGAACCGGGGCCCGATTGGGTCGTCCTTAGGAAATTGCGCCTTGGGCCGTGCCTTCCACATTTCCCTCAACCTCTACACAAGGGCGGCATAAGGCAGGTACAGTCAGCTTACGGAGTACTTTTGACTCCGTACGTTCACTTGACTGATTTATACGAGACGACAAAAATAACGAGAGTTGAAGAGACAACGCCTCCCAGCGTTCACAACAGGTCCCACGCTTGCGACCCTTGGCTATCCGCTCCTCCACACATATAAGCGGTCCCACGCTTTCCTTCTGTAAAGAGCTGGACGGGTCGCCGATTCCGCCGGGGTGCTTGTTTCTGCGAAGTGCGGCTCCGGCTTACGATTGACGATTTACGACACCTCCCATTCACAGCCCGCTTCGGCCGACCAAGACCCCAGACCACAGGAGCGCAGTCCGCAAGCATACGTGTCGACGACAACGAAGCGGCCGACATTGAGAGTGCGCCGTCTGTTCTTCTGTGCGAGTCACCAGCCACAAGAAACAGCGCACGATGTCAACAACATCTGGGTAGGTCATGCCTCTTTGCTCGTCGTTGGCGAGGTCTTGAGTTGCGTTCATTCGTCACTCTCGCATTGCTGACCTCGTCTTCGCAGCGCCTTCGTTGCCGGCGGCATAGCCGCGTGCGGCGCCGTGACGGCCACGCATCCCTTTGAGACGGTCAAGATCCGCATGCAGCTCCAGGGCGAGCTGCAGGCCAAGGGCCACCAGCCGCACCACTACCGCGGCCCGCTGCACGGCGTGTCCGTCATTGTGCGCAACGAGGGCCTGCGCGGCATCTACCGCGGTCTCGGCTGCGCCTACATCTACCAGGTGCTGCTCAACGGCTGCCGCCTCGGCTTCTACGAGCCCATGCGCCAGGGCCTGACGGGCGTGCTGTACGGCAACAACTCCGTGCAGAGCCTGCCCATCAACATGTTTTGCGGCGCCGGCTCGGGCATCATCGGCGCGGCCGCCGGCAGCCCCTTTTTCCTGGTGAAGACGCGCCTGCAGAGCTACTCGCCGCTGCTGCCCGTGGGCACGCAGCACGAGTACCGCAACGCCTGGGACGGCATGAAGCAGATCTACCGCGCCGAGGGCCTGCTGGGCCTGTACCGCGGCGTGGGCGCGGCGTGCATCCGCACAGGATTCGGCAGCTCCGTGCAGCTGCCGACGTACTTTTTCGCCAAGCGGCGGCTGCAGCACCACCTGGGCGTCCAGGAGGGCCCCGCGCTGCACCTGGCGAGCAGCACGGCGAGCGGGTTTGTGGTGTGCGTCTTCATGCACCCGCCAGACACCATCATGTCGCGCATGTACAACCAAAACGGCAACCTGTACAAGGGCGTGTTTGACTGCCTGGCCAAGACGATCAAGACGGAGGGCTTCTTTGCCATCTACAAGGGCTTCCTGCCGCACCTGGCGCGGATATTGCCGCACACGATCCTGACGCTGAGCTTGGCAGAGCAGACAAACAAGCTGATGCGGAAGGTCGAGAACCGGTGGTTCCTGAAGGAGGCATCATTATGAGGGGGTGAGAGGAGGTAGAGAGGTGGTTGATGAGGTGTGCCTTTATATTGTTATGCATTTCGTGCCTTTTCTGCACTCTTTTTTTTCCTATTGGTTTTTGATCCCTTTGAATAGAGAGAGGATCTAGAGACATGTCCTCTCGGTGTTTGGTCACCCAGCATTTCCTGGCGAACGAAAAGGTGTAAAGTGTATATAGAGAACAGAGTAAGAGAAGGAAAGAAAATATGAAAGGAATTGGAACCAGGTGGGGATGAAGGGTCTTTTTGAATACATAAAACAAAAGAAACGGATTAAAATACATTTTGGATAATCGACACCCTACCTACCCTCCGTTCCTCATCTCTCCTCGACTTCGACATCGGCATCCCCAAGAAAGTCACGTCACCACACATCACCCTCGTCGCCCACCTACAGACCGCTGTCGATCTGGTCCGGAATATGCGTGCCCGTCCAGGCCGCCCAGTCACGGCACGTCTGCGCCATGATGCTCGGCACGCTCATCGCCTCAATCTTCTCCGGCTGCACAATAAACTGCTCCAGGAACCCGCCCGACGCGTGCCACGCAATGTGGCAGTGGAACGGCCAGACGCCCGGGTTGTTGGTGTCGAACTGCAGCACCAGGTGGCCGTTGGGCCGCACCAGCTGCACGTCGCGGCGCATGGGGTTCTCCGGGTGGACGATGGTGTGTCCGTCCCAGGGGCCGGGGCCCTCGTGCAGCACGTAAAAGTTGCTGCCGTGCAGGTGCATGGGGTGCTGCGAGGGCCCCGGGTTGTTGACAATCATGCGCACCGAGGAGTTGGTGTACAGGTTGCGGCCGTTCCACTCGACGGGCCAGTCGGCGGTGCTGGCGTTGCCGAGGCTGGCGAGCAGCAGCGTGGGCGCGTTGTAGTCGCCGCGGAAGCTGACGCCGTCAAACTTCCACAGCGTCACGTTGGAGGCGTTGACAAAGACGCCAATGTCAAAGGTGTGCGTCCAGCTGGGCGGCGGCAGCGCAATGGGGTACAGCGGGCGCGTGAGCGCCAGGTCGTCGTTGGCGCACGACCGCGGGTCGGGCACGCCGACCGACCCGATCGCCCAGGGCCGGGAGGTGGGCTCGGGCTCGGGCTCGGGCTTGGGCTTGGGGCTGGTGGTCGTCGGCTTTGGCTTGCTCGGCTGGGAGCTGCCCTCGTCGCCGACACCGCCGCCATACGAGCTCACGCCAAGACCGCCGGATCCGATTTCGACACCGGAGCCGACACCAGGGAGACTCGCCGCCCCGCCAAGACCAATTTCAAGTTTGCTGGCGCCCGGCGGCGTCGCGGTCGACCCGGACGACGCGTTGGACGGACGGCTGTAGTACACGGCCGCCAAGGCGTACGGCTGCTTGGCCGTCGAGCACAGGGCCAGGTTGCTGCGCATCCAGAACGAGGCGGTGCTGGCGTTGCGGCCCGTCGCGGCATTGGCCGTGACCAGCACGTCGGCGCGCTGGCCCACGCCCAGCGTCACCACTTTGGCCTGGTACGCCTCGATGGGAATGAAATCGTAGGCAATCACCGTCAGCATGTGGTCGTCGATGCTAACGTGCTGGACGCCCTCGCTGCCCGAGTTGATGAGGCGCAGGCGGTGCACCTTGCCGGGCTCAAAGAAGAACTCGGCCTTGGGCGCGTCGGACACGCAGGCGGTGTGGTCGGCGCTGTCGACGGTCGCGCAGTCGAAGCTGTTCTTGCCCTGGATCAGGTTGTTGTCCGACGGCACCTCGGGCTTGCCGCCGGGCGCGAGCATCCTCTCCAAGATGGTGAGGTAGTCGGTATGGTAG